CAACCCACTCAACCTTATCCAGCTCGATCACCATCACAAGCAACTACACAAAACCTAAACAGACCAACTAACCGACCCCTTCCTCATCAACCCACCCAACCCTCGAAGCAAGGAAGCCCTGCTCCATCAGGTATCAACACCTGTCATGTATGCAAAGGTATCGGCCATTGGGCCAAAGACTGCCCCAGCAGGAGGGTAGACCCTCTTAGCTCTCGACCCATGGGACCAAAGGTTATGGTCACCACAGCAGACCCCTTCGAGGAGGCCACCGACTCAGGAGATGGCCTCACAGGCAGCACTGAGATGGGTGACCCCGAGGCCATGGACCTCAGCTCATACCAGCAACCCATGGACCTCGATCACGAGGAGGAGCACGATGATGATGACGACGAGGGAAACGTCAGTGGGGTGATGCACTGATGGCATGCATTGCTCTACAAACCTCCTCGCCATCACTCTGTATATATCAAGATTGTCAAGTATGTTTCTCTACCAGTGGAGGCAAAGCAGTACTGGAGCTCTCTGGAATGGTTCAAGACCATCCTGCTCGGATACTAGCTGATACCGGTGCTGGTTTGTCCATAGTCTCAGATTCTTTCATTAGTAAGTACCAAATACCCACAAAACCCATAAAAACAAGATCGATCCATGGTGTCACCGGGCACCAACTCTCCATCAATAGTTCTGCGAGCATGCAGGTATCTATTGGTACACACAATCTGGGTGTGGTCGAAGCTTCAGTGGCCGACACTGCAGACTATGACCTCATCCTGGGGTTCACTGAGCTACGGAGGCTCAAACCCACCATACAATGGGATACGGGCCAGCTGGAGTTCAAGACTCAGGAGCAGGACCGACCCCCTAGGAGACCCCCTGAAGCAGCAAGAGCAGGGGACCTAACCATGAGGAGACCAACCCTTCATGGTAACGAGTTTGTCTCAGCAGAGCGCATACTACAAGCAGCTCTGGAAGATGGACCCATAGGGTTCATGCTGTTAGAGGAGCCACCATCATCACTCCCAGCCTTTGGTTTTGTACCTACAGGCGCAGACAAAGGAGTCGAGATGGAGGTGGAGGTAGATAAGGTGGTGACGGCTGCAGACATACCAAAGCCATACCAACACCTGCGAGATGTGTTTGATGAGGTGGAAGCAGACAAGCTGCCCCATCATACCGAGCATGATCTCCACCTCGAGTTGATAGAAGGAGGGAAGCCACCTCAAGGGCCCTTATACCTTAAGGGACCCAAGGAGATGTCCGAGTTGAGGAGGTACTTGGATGAGAACCTCGAGAAGGGGTTCATAAGACCATCAAAGAGCCCGGCACGATCACCGGTGCTCTTCGTACCAAAGAAGGATGGAGGTCTCAGACTCTGTGTGGACTACAGAGGTCTCAACGAGATCACTGTCAAGAACAGGGCACCATTGCCCCTCATCGAGGAGCAGCTGTTCTTACTCAGGAAGGCAAGGATCTATACCAAGCTAGACCTTAGAGCAGCATACAACCTCATCCGGATTGCTAAAGGAGATGAATGGAAGACAGCTTTTGGCACTCAGTTGGGACTCTATGAGTACCTAGTGATGCCCTTTGGCCTAGCCAATGCTCCGGCTCACTTCCAGTCATTCATCAATGACATCTTCCGAGACATCATTGGGATATATGTGGTAGTATACCTAGATGACTTCCTGGTCTTCAGTGACACTGAAGAAGCACATGTGAAGCATGTCACTGAGGTCCTTACTCGCTTAAGGAGCAACAGGCTCTTTGCCAAGCTGTCGAAGTGTGAGTTCCACACCAAGACAGTCGAGTTCCTGGGGTACATCATCAAGCCAACGGGCATAGAGATGGACCCAGAAAAGGTGCGCACTGTCAAGGAGTGGCCAATGCCGGAGTCAATCCATGACATCCAGAGGTTCCTGGGTTTTGCCAACTTCTATCGAAGGTTCATAGCCCACTTTGCTCGCATAGCCAAGCCCTTGACAGCACTGGTAAAGCCTATAGAACGGTTCAAGAAGCTCGAGCTACCAGAGGAGGCCCAACAGGCCTTCCACAAGCTCATCCAGGCCTTCACATCAGCAGGAGTACTTCAGCACTTCGACTACCACCTTCCAACAAGGTTGGAGACTGATGCAAGTGACTTTGCTATAGCAGGAGTGCTCAAGCAGGAGCATGAAGGACGATGGCATCCAGTGGCCTTCTACTCTAGGAAGATGTCTTCTGCCGAGAAGAACTATGAGATCCATGATAAGGAGCTCCTAGCTGTGGTCGCCTGCCTCACTCAGTGGCGACACATGCTAGCTGGACTACCGAACCAACTGGTCATCCTCACTGACCATGAAGCCCTCAAGTACTTCAAGTCACAGAGACGCATCACAGGACGACAAGCTCGATGGGCAATACTACTAGCAGACTTCGACTTCATATTGCAGTATCGACCAGGAGACAAAGGTGGTGAGCCCGATGCTCTCACCAGAAGGACAGACATGCAACCAGCCGGTGAAGAGCAGGATCACAATGTAAGGCAACTACTGCCTCCTCGAGTGTTCAAGGAGACAGCAGACCATGACTCGCTCCTAGTGGCCCCCATGATCTCGATGGAGTCCATAGCATCAAAAGGTCTCAAAGACCTGGTCAAGATCTTCCAGCCTTTAGACCAAGAGCTACAGGAGATACATAGGAAGAAGCCTTTCGAACTCAAGGATGACTTATGGTACAGTGGAGGAAGGTTGGTTATCCCCAAGGTGATCATGCCAGGGAGGACCAACAACCGACACTCAAGGAGTGCCAAGGAGGTAGATGGACAGTCTCTCTCTGTAGAGCATCTGCGATTCATGGTGATGACCCAATGTCATGATGGTATCACTGCTGGACACGTAGGAAGAGATGCTACCATCAAGGCAGCTCAACGACATTACTGGTGGCCAAACATGACAGCTTGGATTGCAGACTATGTAGCAAGTTGTCCTGTATGTGCTAGGTACAAAGCTCCTCGTCATCGTCCATATGGTTTGCTACAGCCACTAGCAACCCCAGACAGGCCCTGGGGCTCCATATCCCTCGACTTCATTGAAGGACTACCACCATCAAAGAAGTATGACTCCAAGACCTATGACTCTATACTAGTCATCGTCGACAGGTTAACCAAGTTTGCCATACTAGCTCCAACCCATAAGACAGTCACAGCCAAACAGACTGCAGTATTGCTATATGGACACATGGTTAGACTCTTCGGATATCCAGATCACATGGTCTCGGACCGAGGCAGGCAGTTCATATCAGGAGCATGGAAGGCATTTGCAGAGCAAATGGGTGTGAAGCACTCACTTAGCACGGCTTACCATCCTCAAACTGATGGTCAGACAGAGAGAGTCAATCAGGTCATAGAGCAATATCTCAGGATGTACTGCAACTATGAGCAGAATGACTGGGCCAACCTGCTGGACACTGCGGCCTTTGTATACAACAACACGGTCCACAACAGCATTGGTGTCTCACCATTCTTTGCATGCTATGGATGGAACCCCAAAGCTCATCCTGACATCCCTCAACGACTAGGAGTCAATGATCCAGGTCGCTTCGAGTACCTCATGGATGGAAAGGAGCGTTGCAAGTACCTCCAGGAGCAGATCAGAGAGGCACAACGTAGATCAGTAAACCAGTATAACAGGAAGCACAAGGACATCGAGTTTAAGGTGGGTGATATGGTCTATATCAACCGACGAAACTGGAAGACAAGGAGACCCACACCCAAGTTAGACACCCGGTTCGCAGGACCCTACCCAGTTCAGGAACGGGTAGGACGCCGAGCTTATCGAATCACATTGCCAGCAAACCTTAGGGTGCATGATGTGTTCCATGTCTCCATGCTCGAGCCAGCAAGAACAAGTTCTCTTCCTCAACGTGCTGAACAGCCCACCATACCATCACTTCCAGATGAGGACCTCGATTTCGAAGTCGAAGCACTCATCGACAAGCGCTCACACAATGGGACTACGGAATACAAGGTGTTGTGGAGAGGGTATTCAGAGGAAGCTGCTTCATGGGAACCAGTAGAGAACCTCAACTGTCCCGACCTCATCCAGGAGTATGAGGTGTCGGAGGGGGGACGAGTGAGTAGACAGAGTGGAGAAAGGAGGGGAGAACAGGAGGAGTAGAGAGAGGAAGAGGAAGGAGGATGACGTTGAGAAGAGGAAGGAGGATGACGTTGAGAAGAGGAAGGAGGATGACGTTGAGAAGAGGAAGGAGGATGACGTTGAGAAGAGGAAGGAGGATGACGTTGAGAGAAGGAGGAAGGATGATGTTGGCGACGTTGTCAAGGAGGAGGAGTCAGCATGAACCAGACCAGAGCATGCCTCGACGGAGCTCGGCTCTTAAGAGGGGGGTAGTGTCATGGGCCTGGATGCTCAAGAAGCAGGAGGGTCATGGGTTCATATGGAAGGAGCACAGGTATCGAAGACCTAGTCGACACCAGTAGAGAGCATGGTCGTAGTGCAGTCTCCATGGAGACCATGGACTCCTATGGACTCACATGCAAAGGAGGACCAAGCTCAAGGAGCATGCACAGCCACGAAGAGGACCAAGCTCAAGGAGCATGCAGATGGTTACCATTCAGGGGCTCGAGAGACAAGAGCCAAAGGAACTGTCACTGATCAAAGGAGGAGGAGCAGTGTCGAAGGAGTCGACACAGGTCATGAGGAGGAGGAGCAGTGTCGAAGGAGTCGACACCACTCAAGAGGAACAGGGGTGCCAAGCAGGAGAGGCCCCTGAGCAGTACTCGATGAAGAAGGTACTCTCTGGAGAGAGAGCAGGAGCAGCATCGCTGGCAATGCTGTGAAGAGGTATATAACCATGCTTCTCATCATCATAGGTCGAGTGGATCCCCATCCACTCTACTCACCATAACTAGTTATCACTTCAGCATAAGTATACATTAGTTTCAGTCAGCATAGCAGCAATCTATCAAGGTTGCTCCTCATCGTAGTGTGTGTGTTGTATCACCACTACCTGACGTCCGAAGGCGCCCATAGCAGGTTAGCGGTCCGGATATAGATAGAACCGAAGGCAGTAGTCCACTGCGGTCCGGGGATCACTTCAAGCATCAAGTCAACACACTGGACACTCGTGTTGACGCCACCAACCTTATCACCAACACCATCAACCTCATTATCATCGACATCACCAATCCTATCACCAACACCATCAACCTCATTATCATCGACATCACCAATCCCATCACCAACACCATCAACCTCATCATCATCAACACTCACACCAGACCTTGGTGTCATCATAACATTGATATCGATCGTGCCGAGCTACCCCTGAACGGAGTGTCCACAGAGGTCAGCCGAAACCTACGATAGTATATACCACGAACGCCACCCGCTGTCACTGCACAACTTGATAGTCACCGATACCGAGACAATAGCTGTCGCACAGTTTGATAGTCACCGAGTATCTCGACAGACTGACCTGGGTTTCAGGCGCGAGACCCCTGACACATCACTTGTGAGTCTGAGAGCCAACAGCTTGTTGTATGCCTCCATCCTAGCATTGCGTGGGTTGAACTGCTCTGACAGTCGCTCTGTGAAGTAGTGCCAATCATTGAACAACCTTCCTTCTCTAGCTCTATCAATACGGAGCTTGGAGGTCCACCACTCTCTTGCTGTCCCTTCCAGTTGAGCACCCATGTGATTGATCATCCTAGACTGCTCATACACCTGGTTGAACTTAAACCATGCTTCGGCTTCTAGAATGAAGATCTCCATGTCTCGGGGATTGAACTTTGGAAAGGGGGTGGCAATGGGCTTTGACCGGTTAAGCTCTGCCATGATGCTGGTATCCTCCTCGTGGTCCAGGGGGTAAGGATCCGTCCTAGTCCTGCTGTAGGGGTCCAGCTTAGTCTTGACATATCTTGGCCCCGTAGGTGAAGCATACTTCTCGTAGTTGATGTCCTCCTGCTCATCCAGGTTGAATGAGACTGATCGTCTTGGTCGTGGAGCTGGAGTAGGAGTATGTGGGTCTCCTATCATAGACTCATCTCCTCCTCCTGCTTGGTCTTCTGAGTGAGAGAGGTCCATTGTCTCCTCCCTGCTCAGTTGAGCTCGTTGTAATCGTTCCTCTCGATGACCCTGTCTGGTAAGCTCTAGCTGTGCTTCCAATAGAGTGAGTAGTCTATCGAGCTTATTGTTGAGGTCTGGGTCCGTCATGGTGATCGTGAGGAGCTGCTTGAACGATCCACTCTAATGTCAGGGGTCTCGCGCCTGAAACCCAGGTCGGTCTGTCGAGATACTCGGTGACTATCAAACTGTGCGACAGCTATTGTCTCGAGATACTCGGTGACTATCAAGTTGTGCAGTGACAGCAGGTGGCGTTCGTTGTATACACTATCGTAGGTTTCGACTGACCTCTGTGGACACTCCGTTCAGGGGTAGCTCGGCACGATCGATATCAATGTTATGATGACACCAAGGTCTGGTGTGAGTGTTAATGATGATGAGGTTGATGGTGTTGGTGATGGGATTGGTGATGTCGATGATAATGAGGTTGATGGTGTTGGTGATAAGGTTGGTGGCGTCAACACGAGTGTCCAGTGTGTTGACTTGATGCTTGAAGTGATCCCCGGACCGCAGTGGACTACTGCCTTCGGTTCTATCTATATCCGGACCGCTAACCTGCTATAGGCGCCTTCGGACGTCAGGTAGTGGTGATACAACACACACACTACGATGAGGAGCAACCTTGATAGATTGCTGCTATGCTGACTGAAACTAATGTATACTTATGCTGAAGTGATAACTAGTTATGGTGAGTAGAGTGGATGGGGATCCACTCGACCTATGATGATGAGAAAGCATGGTTATATACCTCTTCACAGCATTGCCAGCGATGCTGCTCCTGCTCTCTCTCCAGAGAGTACCTTCTTCATCGAGTATTGCTCAGGGGCCTCTCCTGCTTAGCACCCCTGTGCCTCTTGTCGACACTGCTCCTCCTCCTCATGACCTGGTGTCGACTCCTTCGACACTGCTCCTCCTCCTTTGATCAGTGACAGTTCCTTTGGCTCTTGTCTCTCGAGCCCCTGAATGGTAACCATCTGCATGCTCCTTGAGCTTGGTCCTCTTCGTGGCTTGTGCTTGGCCCTCCTTTGCATGTGAGTCCATAGGAGTCCATGGTCTCCATGGAGACTGCACTACGACCATGCTCTCTACTGGTGTCGACTAGGTCTTCGATACCTGTGCTCCTTCCATATGAACCCATGACCCTCCTGCTTCTTGAGCATCCAGGCCCATGACACTACCCCCCTCTTAAGAGCCGAGCTCCGTCGAGGCATGCTCTGGTCTGGTTCATGCTGACTCCTCCTCCTTGACAACATCGCCAACATCATCCTTCCTCCTTCTCTCAACGTCATCCTCCTTCCTCTTCCTCTCTCTACTCCTCCTGTTCTCTCCTCCTCTCTCCACTCTGTCTACTCACTCGTCCCCCCTCCGACACCTCATACTCCTGGATGAGGTCGGGACAGTTGAGGTTCTCTACTGGTTCCCATGAAGCAGCTTCCTCTGAGTACCCTCTCCACAACACCTTGTACTCCGTAGTCCCATTGTGTGAACGCTTGTCGATGAGTGCTTCGACTTCGAAATCGAGGTCCTCATCTGGAAGTGATGGTATGGTGGGCTGTTCAGCACGTTGAGGAAGAGAACTTGTTCTTGCTGGCTCGAGCATGGAGACATGGAACACATCATGCACCCTAAGGTTTGCTGGCAATGTGATTCGATAAGCTCGGCGTCCTACCCGTTCCTGAACTGGGTAGGGTCCTGCGAACCGGGTGTCTAACTTGGGTGTGGGTCTCCTTGTCTTCCAGTTTCGTCGGTTGATATAGACCATATCACCCACTTTAAACTCGATGTCCTTGTGCTTCCTGTTATACTGGTTTACTGATCTACGTTGTGCCTCTCTGATCTGCTCCTGGAGGTACTTGCAACGCTCCTTTCCATCCATGAGGTACTCGAAGCGACCTGGATCATTGACTCCTAGTCGTTGAGGGATGTCAGGATGAGCTTTGGGGTTCCATCCATAGCATGCAAAGAATGGTGAGACACCAATGCTGTTGTGGACCGTGTTGTTATATACAAAGGCCGCAGTGTCCAGCAGGTTGGCCCAGTCATTCTGCTCATAGTTGCAGTACATCCTGAGATATTGCTCTATGAGCTGATTGACTCTCTCTGTCTGACCATCAGTTTGAGGATGGTAGGCCATGCTAAGTGAGTGCTTCACACCCATTTGCTCTGCAAATGCCTTCCATGCTCCTGATATGAACTGCCTGCCTCGGTCCGAGACCATGTGATCTGGGTATCCGAAGAGTCTAACCATGTGTCCATATAGCAATACTGCAGTCTGTTTGGCTGTGACTGTCTTATGGGTTGGAGCTAGTATGGCAAACTTGGTTAACCTGTCGACGATGACTAGGATAGAGTCATAGGTCTTGGAGTCATACTTCTTTGATGGTGGTAGTCCTTCAATGAAGTCGAGGGATATGGAGCCCCAGGGCCTGTCTGGGGTTGCTAGTGGCTGTAGCAAACCATATGGACGATGACGAGGAGCTTTGTACCTAGCACATACAGGACAACTTGCTACATAGTCTGCAATCCAAGCTGTCATGTTTGGCCACCAGTAATGTCGTTGAGCTGCCTTGATGGTAGCATCTCTTCCTACGTGTCCAGCAGTGATACCATCATGACATTGGGTCATCACCATGAATCGCAGATGCTCTACAGAGAGAGACTGTCCATCTACCTCCTTGGCACTCCTTGAGTGTCGGTTGTTGGTCCTCCCTGGCATGATCACCTTGGGGATAACCAACCTTCCTCCACTGTACCATAAGTCATCCTTGAGTTCGAAAGGCTTCTTCCTATGTATCTCCTGTAGCTCTTGGTCTAAAGGCTGGAAGATCTTGACCAGGTCTTTGAGACCTTTTGATGCTATGGACTCCATCGAGATCATGGGGGCCACTAGGAGCGAGTCATGGTCTGCTGTCTCCTTGAACACTCGAGGAGGCAGTAGTTGCCTTACATTGTGATCCTGCTCTTCACCGGCTGGTTGCATGTCTGTCCTTCTGGTGAGAGCATCGGGCTCACCACCTTTGTCTCCTGGTCGATACTGCAATATGAAGTCGAAGTCTGCTAGTAGTATTGCCCATCGAGCTTGTCGTCCTGTGATGCGTCTCTGTGACTTGAAGTACTTGAGGGCTTCATGGTCAGTGAGGATGACCAGTTGGTTCGGTAGTCCAGCTAGCATGTGTCGCCACTGAGTGAGGCAGGCGACCACAGCTAGGAGCTCCTTATCATGGATCTCATAGTTCTTCTCGGCAGAAGACATCTTCCTAGAGTAGAAGGCCACTGGATGCCATCGTCCTTCATGCTCCTGCTTGAGCACTCCTGCTATAGCAAAGTCACTTGCATCAGTCTCCAACCTTGTTGGAAGGTGGTAGTCGAAGTGCTGAAGCACTCCTGCTGATGTGAAGGCCTGGATGAGCTTGTGGAAGGCCTGTTGGGCCTCCTCTGGTAGCTCGAGCTTCTTGAACCGTTCTATAGGCTTTACCAGTGCTGTCAAGGGCTTGGCTATGCGAGCAAAGTGGGCTATGAACCTTCGATAGAAGTTGGCAAAACCCAGGAACCTCTGGATGTCATGGATTGACTCTGGCATTGGCCACTCCTTGACAGTGCGCACCTTTTCTGGGTCCATCTCTATGCCCGTTGGCTTGATGATGTACCCCAGGAACTCGACTGTCTTGGTGTGGAACTCACACTTCGACAGCTTAGCAAAGAGCCTGTTGCTCCTTAAGCGAGTGAGGACCTCGGTGACATGCTTCACATGTACCTCTTCAGTGTCACTGAAGATCAGGAAGTCATCTAAGTATACCACTACATATACTCCAATGATGTCTCGGAAGATGTCATTGATGAATGACTGGAAGTGAGCCGGAGCATTGGCTAGGCCAAAGGGCATCACTAGGTACTCATAGAGTCCCAACTGAGTGCCAAAAGCTGTCTTCCATTCATCTCCTTTAGCAATCCGGATGAGGTTGTATGCTGCTCTAAGGTCTAGCTTGGTATAGATCCTTGCCTTCCTGAGTAAGAACAGCTGCTCCTCGATGAGGGGCAATGGTGCCCTGTTCTTGACAGTGATCTCGTTGAGACCTCTGTAGTCCACACAGAGTCTGAGACCTCCATCCTTCTTTGGTACGAAGAGCACTGGTGATCGTGCCGGGCTCTTCGATGGTCTTATGAACCCCTTCTCGAGGTTCTCATCCAAGTATCTCCTCAACTCGGACATCTCCTTGGGTCCCTTAAGGTATAGGGGCCCTTGAGGTGGCTTCCCTCCTTCTATCAACTCGAGGTGGAGATCATGCTCGGTATGATGGGGCAGCTTGTCTGCTTCCACCTCATCAAACACATCTCGCAGGTGTTGGTATGGCTTTGGTATGTCTGCAGCCGTCACCACCTTATCTACCTCCACCTCCATCTCGACTCCTTTGTCTGCGCCTGTAGGTACAAAACCAAAGGCTGGGAGTGATGATGGTGGCTCCTCTAACAGCATGAACCCTATGGGTCCATCTTCCAGAGCTGCTCGTAGTATGCGCTCTGCTGAGACAAACTCGTTACCATGAAGGGTTGGTCTCCTCATGGTTAGGTCCCCTGCTCTTGCTGCTTCAGGGGGTCTCCTAGGGGGTCGGTCCTGCTCCTGAGTCTTGAACTCCAGCTGGCCCGTATCCCATTGTATGGTGGGTTTGAGCCTCCGTAGCTCAGTGAACCCCAGGATGAGGTCATAGTCCGCAGTGTCGGCCACTGAAGCTTCGACCACACCCAGATTGTGTGTACCAATAGATACCTGCATGCTCGCAGAACTATTGATGGAGAGTTGGTGCCCGGTGACACCATGGATCGATCTTGTTTTTATGGGTTTTGTGGGTATTTGGTACTTACTAATGAAAGAATCTGAGACTATGGACAAACCAGCACCGGTATCAGCTAGTATCCGAGCAGGATGGTCTTGAACCATTCCAGAGAGCTCCAGTACTGCTTTGCCTCCACTGGTAGAGAAACATACTTGACAATCTTGATATATACAGAGTGATGGCGAGGAGGTTTGTAGAGCAATGCATGCCATCAGTGCATCACCCCACTGACGTTTCCCTCGTCGTCATCATCATCGTGCTCCTCCTCGTGATCGGGGTCCATGGGTTGCTGGTATGAACTGAGGTCCATGGCCTCGGGGTCACCCGTCTCAGTGCTGCCTGTGGGGCCATCTCCTGAGTCGGTGGCCTCCTCGAAGGGGTCTGCTGTGGTGACCATAACCTTTGGTCCCATGGGTCGAGAGCTAAGAGGGTTTACCCTCCTGCTGGGGCAGTCTCTGGCCCAATGGCCGATACCCTTGCATACATGACAGGTGTTGATACCTGATGGAGCAGGGCTTCCTTGCTTCGAGGGTTGGGTGGGATGATGAGGAAGGGGTCGGTTTAGGTTTTGTATAGTTGCTTGTGTAGTTGCTTGTGATGGTGATCGAGCTGGATAAGGTTGAGTGGGTTGTCGGATGGGGATTGAACTTTGATTTGGCCGAGACCCAGTTCTTAGTGGAGGCGACGTGGCATTTGGAAGTGAGTGTCTAGCCGAGGACTGCTGTAGTAGCATCCTCTGTCGATCGATCTCCTCGACCTCTCGATACCACTCCCATCTCTTCCCAGGTGGATTCCTCTCGAACTTCTCCTGTATGCTACGAGTGAGACTACCTCTGAAGAGATCAATCACTAGCTCATTGTCATCTAGGTTGACCTGTCCTTCCAAGTCTCTGAACCGCTCTACATGACGTGTGGCGGCACCAGGAGCATCACTTGTGAGTCTGAGAGCCAACAGCTTGTTGTATGCCTCCATCCTAGCATTGCGTGGGTTGAACTGCTCTGACAGTCGCTCTGTGAAGTAGTGCCAATCATTGAACAACCTTCCTTCTCTAGCTCTATCAATACGGAGCTTGGAGGTCCACCACTCTCTTGCTGTCCCTTCCAGTTGAGCACCCATGTGATTGATCATCCTAGACTGCTCATACACCTGGTTGAACTTAAACCATGCTTCGGCTTCTAGAATGAAGATCTCCATGTCTCGGGGATTGAACTTTGGAAAGGGGGTGGCAATGGGCTTTGACCGGTTAAGCTCTGCCATGATGCTGGTATCCTCCTCGTGGTCCAGGGGGTAAGGGTCCGTCCTAGTCCTGCTGTAGGGGTCCAGCTTAGTCTTGACATATCTTGGCCCAGTAGGTGAAGCATACTTCTCGTAGTTGATGTCCTCTTGCTCATCCAGGTTGAATGAGACTGATCGTCTTGGTCGTGGAGCTGGAGTAGGAGTATGTGGGTCTCCTATCATAGACTCATCTCCTCCTCCTGCTTGGTCTTCTGAGTGAGAGAGGTCCATTGTCTCCTCCCTGCTCAGTTGAGCTCGTTGTAATCGTTCCTCTCGATGACCCTGTCTGGTAAGCTCTAGCTGTGCTTCCAATAGAGTGAGTAGTCTATCGAGCTTGTTGTTGAGGTCTGGGTCCGTCATGGTGATCGTGAGGAGCTGCTTGAACGATCCACTCTAATGTCAGGGGTCTCGCGCCTGAAACCCAGGTCGGTCTGTCGAGATACTCGGTGACTATCAAACTGTGCGACAGCTATTGTCTCGAGATACTCGGTGACTATCAAGTTGTGCAGTGACAGCAGGTGGCGTTTGTTGTATATACTATCGTAGGTTCCGGCTGGCCTCTGTGGACACTCCGTTCAGGGGTAGCTCGGCACGATCAATATCAATGTTATGATGACACCAAGGTCTGGTGTGGGTGTTGATGATGATGAGGTTGATGGTGTTGGTGCTGAGATTGGTGATGTCGATGATAATGAGGTTGATGGTGTTGATGATAAGATTGGTGGCGTCAACACGAGTGTCCAGTGTGTTGACTTGATGCTTTGAAGTGATCCCCGGACCGCAGTGGACTACTGCCTTCGGTTCTATCTATATCCGGACCGCTAACCTGCTATGGGCGCCTTCGGACGTCAGGTAGTGGTGATACAACACGCACACTACGATGAGGAACAACCTTGATAGATTGCTGCTATGCTGACTAAAACTAATGTATACTTATGCTGAAGTGATAACTAGTTATGGTGAGTAGAGTGGATGGGGATCCACTCGACCTATGATGATGAGAAAGCATGGTTATATACCTCTTCACAGCATTGCCAGCGATGCTGCTCCTGCTCTCTCTCCAGAGAGTACCTTCTTCATCGAGTACTGCTCAGGGGCCTCTCCTGCTTGGCACCCCTGTGCCTCTTGTCGACACTGCTCCTCTTCCTCATGATCAGTGACAGTTCCTTTGGCTCTTGTCTCTCGAGCCCCTGAGTGGTAACCATCTGCATGCTCCTTGAGCTTGGTCCTCTTCGTGGCTGTGCTTGGCCCTCCTTTGCATGTGAGTCCATAGGAGTCCATGGTCTCCATGGAGACTGCACTACGACCATGCTCTCTACTGGTGTCGACTAGGTCTTCGATACCTGTGCTCCTTCCATATGAACCCATGACCCTCCTGCTTCTTGAGCATCCAGGCCCATGACAGAAACCTTCTCTCCAGTAGCACCCCTCGGAGCGATCAGAGCCATCTTAGCACTAGCAGTGCAGAACAACTGGGAGGTACATGCTCTGGACATCACTATGGCTTACTTGAACTCCACGTTAAAGGAAGCAATCTACATGAAGCCGCCAGGAGGATCAGGAGTAGCACCCGGCAAGGTGTACAAGGTAGTCAAGGGCCTATATGGCCTAAAGCAGTCTGGGCGAGAATGGAATCAGGAGTTTGACAGGTCTTTGCGACGCATGGGATTCTTCCAGGTAGAGTGCGCTCCCTGCATCTACACCAAGGGACAGGGTGAAGATATGGCCATTGTGGTCATCTACGTCGATGATACACTAGTCATAGCACCACAGCTGGAAACGGTCCTAAAGGTTAAGAAGCAGATTGGTCAGAGATGGAAGATGGAAGATAGTGGTGAGGTCTCTCACTTCTTGGGCATCAAAATCAGTCGAAACCGTGCGATGCGCACCATGACGATTGGTCAGTCAGGGTACATCGACCAAGTGCTGGCAAAGCACTTGGACAAACGCACGAAGCCGACCATGGTTCCAATGCAGAGCATACCGGAGGGAACCCTTGTCGCAAGCGCAGCACAACAGAAGGAGTATCCGGTGATTGTTGGCAAGCTGCTCTGGGTCGCCAACAGCACCCGGCCCGACCTTAGTCTCACCGTGGGTGTTCTCGCTAGGCACATGCGTGAACCATCGCAGGAGCATTATCAGGCAGCACAAAGGGTCTTACGCTACCTCGAAAGCACAAGGCAGGTTGGGTTGGTTTATAGGGCAAGTGAGTCGCAAGAGCCACTGGTTGCACACAGCGATGCAAACTGGGCAAGCGATGCCACCATACAGAGAAGAAGCACATCGGGGTCAGTGGCGTTAGTGTACGGGAACTTAGTAGCCTGGAAGTCAGCGACACAAAAATGCGTGTCATTGTCTGCTGTCGAGGCAGAGTTCATTGCAGCCACGGAAGCAACACGTGAGGTGCTCTTCCTCAAGCAGCTACTACGCTCAATTGGCATTGCCACAGGCACACCGACGGTCTACTCGGACAACACTGGTTGCATACAGGTTAGTAAGGACCCAGCACAGCACTGGAAGCTTAAGCACATCGACACCAAGTATCACTTCGTCCGTAACAACGTACAAGAGGGAAGGGTGCAGATCAAGTACGTAGACACCACAAGAAACTTGGCAGATGTACTCACGAAACCCATTGGGAGGCAGGCAATGCAGCAAGCAAGATCTGGGCTACACCTGCAAATACCGGCAGCAGTGTACGGAACGGGGTCCCCGAGCTATGCAACAGTGTTGAAGAACGGAGGTCACACCTTGAAGCAACAGCATAATGAACAGGGTACATATGCTGTTGAGGGGGGGAGTTGAAGTAGATAAAGCCGCACAAAGCGTGGAGACAGTGAAGGTAGTGCTTACGGCCGAGTAAAAGGCCTGAACATCTTAGCACGGACCACATGTGTCACAACCTACTCAAGGCAAATGCTTTGTTATGCTCCGTAGTCCGCCGCTCTTCTTTTGTATATATAGACTCCTAGCTCTCTCGCTCTCTCTCTCTCCTACTATCATCATCAACAAAGACACCTCAACCCCAACCACTGACGAATGACTCCAAGACGCTGACGAATGACTTCAACTGAGTGAGAGGTTGACAGGCAGGAAAGAAGAGCGGAGATTACAGCGACGGTGCCAGGGTGAACGAATACAACAAATAGCAAGGCGGAAAATGCCGAACGAATAAGAAAAAGAAAAAAGAAAAGAAAAAGAAAAAGAAAAAGAAAAAGAAAAAGAAAAAGGTTGCTTACTTACCGTGATCTTGGGAAAAGGTTCATTTTTGGAAGAAAAAGGCTCCGAAAAAAGGCACACTTACCTGCAACTGTGACTGATTCGCGATCAACAACGGTTTCTGCAACTCTGCACATCCACTGAACAAACTCAGTCAAAGTCAAAAAGATGCTGCACTGGATGAGTCGGATCGGTACAGCTACGACACCACAACCGCACTGCAACACTCTTGATCACTCTGCGTATCGACTGACACACACGCTCTCGTTCTCGGCAACGGCAAAAGTTTCCCCGCCAAGGCTGTTCAGCTTCACGTCAATTTCAATTTCAATTTCATTTTCATTTTCCTTTTTCATTTCTTCCACAGCGGCAGAGCACGACAGTGCTTCTATGGAAGCTAGTTACTGTAAGGGTCTAGCGTAGGCACGTTCTTCCTTTCTTCTCAGAGCTTCCCTATTTGGCTCATCTTCTGATGCTCTGGAGCGACTTTGCAATCATTATTTGACCTCGATTGAACCTTACGATTGCGACAATACAGCTCGTCATGCTCAAGCGCACTCACGATCAGAAGCTAATCAAGCCGTGACAAAGGTTCGATTGCCAAGAGTGCAAGCGCGTGACGCTGCCTAGAAGAACATCTTGTTAAGCTTGTCTTTAGCCGCACCTTTGATCGCTGCTTCTCGCGTGCTTTTCAAAAAGTTGCTCGCTCCACGTTCCAGCGATGTGAGACCGTCTTCGATACCGCTGACCATAGCACCGCGTGCTTTGAGAAGGTCGATGTTCTGATAGCCTGTTGTCCACGCCGATTCGGTAGATGCTGCTACTGCTTTTGCCTTGCTTGCATCTCGTTGGGCTGCGGCCAGACCTGATGTTGGTCTTCCTTCTTCCGGCTTGGCTCGAGAAGATGAGGCTTCTGGCTGCGGAGCAACAGGTGGTCTGTAGTCACGTGGTCGGAGCACTTCACCTAGCTTGAGCGCGTCTGGTCGCTTGGGTCCAGCAAGTGCTGCGTCCATCTGTGCTCCGATTGAGAGTGCTCCTGTAGTCTTGGTGCCGAACCAGCCTGCAATGCTGGTTGCAACTCCTGCTGCTGAGCCCACTGCGCCCGGATGCAAAGGCATCGCATGCGTCAAAGCCGCATTGAAGAGCGTCAGATTCGGCTGACCTGCTCTGCGCAGAGATGCAAACATGGTCCACAATCTCACGTCGAGGCTGCTGCAGACTTCAATAAAATCGCCATGCGCGTCAAAGCAGACCGATGGCCGTACGCCTCTTGACTCGCCAAGCTCGCGATAGTGACGTTGAAGACGAACGATGGGCTCCAGCTTGGGCAAGCTGAATAGCCGGATACTCGTTCGAGTTGCTATCGAGGCCACCTTGTCTTGCGCCCGTTCGATGACGCCGCAGCCAAGGACACCTTCTCCAACGTCTGCACGTGAGACGACAGGGCCTGTAACACCATATCGCAAGCTCACTTGGCGATCGGTGAAACCGAGCAACACATCAGCCTCCGGAACGGTAGCCTCGGAAATAGATCCGATGGGTCCATACTCTTGCTCGCGTAGAGCCTGTTGCAGCTCGTTAGGCAAGGCAGATCGAGCTCGGCCTTCGAGGTCCAGGATGTGGACGGCTCGCACATCGCTGAGCTCCTCCAACTTGTGTGTGCTCGTGCGCTCGATCAGCCACATGTCCAGCGTTTTCTGAAGCGTCCAAACGGTGGTCAAGCCATTTACCCGGATCACAATCAGACGCGGTGCTAAGCTGGGATCTTCAGCAACACGGCAGATACTGAAGCTAAGATGCATTATTGGGCTCTTAGACTCGGCTTCCAGCACCTTGCGAAGCGCACGAGCGTCGCTACTGTCGCCCATCGATGAGTCCTGCTGACCGCCAAATCCTTCTTTAAGGATCAGCTCTGCGCTGCGGAAGTCCATCACCGCTAAGGCTGTACCGTGAGCGATGGCCAGGAAGCCGATATTACTGCAAGCGAAAGCTGACACTTCTCCTCGCATCAGGTCGATCATGACGTTCGGCTTGAAGCCATCGTGTCGTGGATCTGCCAGGTGCTGGAGCATCACAATCTCGTCATATTCCTGCATGGCTGCGATTGGCGGCATCGCCGCGCTGTGCCTTGGTCCCGATGCTGGCGGCATGGCACCTGGGGCTTCATGATCGAACGAGCCACTGTGAGCATCAAAGTCTTGCATGCCATGTGCGCTCAGCCTCTTCGGGTCGCGACGCGGACGAGGCGGCGGCACACCTGCAGCGTGAGGGGTGCCCATCTGGGTCGGTAACTCTCCTTGGTCGTTTTGGCCGACTCCAAGCTCATGCATGGCCTGCGACATCTCAGCATCAAGCTGCTTTGCGGTTCCCATACCGTGTTCGGATCGCGGCGACGCGAGTGAAAGAGATGACCTGCCAGCTCCACGAGGGCTCGAGACTGGTGGGATCGCGAAATGGGATTGTTCCGCTTCCTCTCTGAGCGTTTCTTCGACTTCTTCTTGAATGGCATCGGTCTCGCTGAGCTGGGCGAAACCAAAGCGCATGTTAAGCAACTGCCCTGTTGACAGCGAGATTGTCGCTTCGAGCACTTCGGCAGCAAACTGCACAACATGGACTCTGGCTCGACCACGCGTCCTGTCAAAGGATGGATGTCCCATCATCGAAGGATCTCGCAACACGTTCCTCACGTCAATGGTCAGATGAGGCAAGGGTGACGGGAAGCCAGTCTGCAGCCAGATCCGAGGAGAGGGAGACTGACTGCGCAAGTCACCGTCGTCTACTTCACCCATCAGAAGCAAGTGCGGGCTAGCATCATAGAAGCGCACCGTGCCGTCGAGATGCCAAGAGAATAGGATGCGGAATGAGCTCGAGCGCAGCACTTCTGGAATGGTTTCGGTGCCCTCTCCTGACAGAGACGCAGATGCTTTACCTCCTGACAACTCGACCGGAGGCTTTGTTTCATTGTACGAGGAGCGGAGCGCGGAGCCTGAAGCTTCCTGCTCCTGCTTCTGGTTCAAGCCAGTGACATCTAATGGCCCTACCAACTTCCTGTAAGCATGTGGGGTCAAAGTTTCGAGCTTCGCGCCTAGGATGGCACCTCCACCAGCTAGAGTCAGCGGCAAGGGAAGATGCAGCTCTTTCTGCGGCACCAAAGGATATGGAGCTGAGCTTGGCCCAGCACCGGCGTATCGCGCAGCAGACGTGCCGGTCCGAGGGTGAGGTGGAAAAGCAAAGCATGCGAGGCCACGCGCAGCAGCAGGTGGCGGCAGAGTTGGTAGCGCAGGGTCTGCGGCAAGGAGTATAACTACAGCTGAAGGATCGTAGTGACCAGAATAGTGTGGGTTGCTGCGCGGCAGCAGGATGAAGTCCTCGACAGCACTTGACGTGGGATACACGACCTCAGAGCTGGGTATAAGGGAGTCATGCAGAGCGACTCGAAGCTTGTGGTTGGCTTCGACGGTGCCACCTCCCCACAGAGAGAGGGCTGCAGCATATGGCGGTAAGCTGACACAGAAGAGGCCAGGCGTGTCAAGTCCTAAATTGGCTCCGCCAAGGATAGTGAGAACGGTGCCCTTGAGAGGTTCTTGAGTGTACTCGGTGGTAGAGGTGCTGCGTTGGCGTTGTTGAGATTGCCAGCTGGCTGCACTCTCACTTGCCTTGTCGATCCATCCCTTCTCTGGGAAGCCAGACCAGGCAAGCTTGAAGACAGGTTCTTTTGGCGGTCTCGGGGTCTCCATTAGCGCCGGATCTGTGACTGGCTTCTCGACATCAAGGCAGTCGAGTGTGCGGACCATGATCGGCTTGTCATCATCACGCACGTGCCAGAAGGAGATGCAGCCATCTTCGTGTCCCATGGCAAATACTTCTCCATCGGGTCGCCATGCTACACAAGTGGCCGGCGATGCTCGCTCTGTCCAGATGAGCTGCGGGTTTCCACCAGAACCGAGAGCACCGGGCAGCAAGCGGAGCTGGAACGTCTTGAGCACAGCACGCTCGCGTACATCCAGAAGGATTGCACCACCCTCGTACGCCAGAAGCAGCTGATTGATGTCCTTGGGATGCGTTTTGATATCGATGATCAGAGGCACGTGACGGCGATTTGGTGCATCTGGCACCCCTGATTTGCGCAGAATCTCCTCCTCTTCCCACCAGAGGTTCGGCACGCGATAGGGCGAATGACTCATTCTCTCAAGGTCAAAAGTGTCGACGGTTCCATCGCGCAGACCGAGAAACATGTGAGAATGAGCCGACGAGACCTCGATAGAAACGACCTTGTTGCGTACGGTGTGTACGCCAACCCTTTGAGGGGTGTCTGGGTGTGGTGGACCTGTGATGCTATGCCCAGTCGAGGCGGTCGAAGCGCGATACTGATTGTTAGACGATCCTTGAGCTGCTCTGATTTGAGGATCTGGTCGTGAAAGGTCGTAGATGCTGATGTTATCTTTCTCATCTATGCAGATCAGCAGGCCTGTGTCGGACTTGAAGGTGAGGTGGCTGACTTTGTGGGCTGGCCGAAGCGAGAACGATATTTGCACTGCGGGCGAGCCGAACAGGTGGATAGTACCGAGCGTGGTGCCAACTGCGAGGAACCCCTGTACAGGCTCGAAAGCCATAGCGGTGACCTCGCCTGGTAGAGCGAGACCAGACAGTAGGCCTTCATTGAATGTGCCTGCGCTGCTGAGCTGTGCATTTGCAAGAGATCGAGACCAATCGGTGTGATAGGGAGTTTCGGGTACCTTGGAACCACCAGCTTGAGCTGCGCGATCGCGCAGAGACTTGATCCAAGACATGGTGTTTGAACCTCGGACTTGCCTAGTGCCAGGGCCGGCAATGTCTTTCACCACATCAGCGGAGCAAGGTTGATGTGGTCCGAAGCATCGTACGGTTTCATCACAAGCTTCGGTTTAAAGCCTTACATCGAGTGCATTTCGACATCACCTTTGTGAAGGCCTGTGCCAAACAAAAGGCATGGCGCCAAGATAAGCCGATGTTGAAATATAAAGAAGTTTGGTCCCGATAACTGGCGATCGGGGAGAGTCTGAGTACGATGTCACTGCTGCTTTAAGACAAAAACATGTATACTCAATTGACTAAGAAGCATGGTGAGAGCCTAGCGCTCCCAGCGTGGTATATATACATCTGGATGGTACATGCCGAATGTGGATATATCCTACTTAATGACGATGTCTGACAACGAGCGGGACTAGGCTGTACCCGATCCTCGATCTTCGATCAGATCGTCCTTCACCCGATCCTCGATCTTCGATCAGATCGTCCTTCACCCGATCCTCGATCTTCGATCAGATCGTCCTTCACCCGATCTCCGATTAGGTTTATGTCAGCTTTCATCATCATATTGGATCGCTTCCTTCGGCATGTCATTCTTCTTGTTGCTCTCAGCACGGACCGCACTATGTCGAGCTTCCACCATCTTGAGACGGCTCGAATCAGACACGGCAGTAAGCTCTAGATTTTCGACGACGAATCCGACCACATAATCCCCATGGCGGCAACGAACAGCTGAGGAGACGCTGCGATAGCGACACACAGCAAATAACACCTCTATCACGACAGAAAGGGAAGCGCGGGACACCAGACAGCTCACGACACATATCGGCATCATCATGGCTTCCAAAAGGGCGGGAGATACGATGGCGGCTACCGCCGGCCCGCCAACGCTGCCGAGAGTGCAGATAGCTGCAGAGCACTTACAGATCCTGCAACAACGCTTCGAATCGCTGCTATCTTCAATCGTGGGTCTCAAGGAAGAGATCGCAATGGTGCCAGGTATGGACGAATGGCCAGCACTGCTCCATCGATACACCAACCTCCTCTCGCATGCCTACTCGCTTGCCTCATCACTGTCATCGGCATCGCCTCACTTTCTGCCGTCACAATTGACTTCGTTCAACAAAGTGCTTGAAGCCGAAGCCGAGAACTCGAACTTGTATGCTGATGTCTCTGATTCTTCTGCACTCTTGGGCGGCATCATGGGAGGCGGTACTGGCAGCTTCACTGATGACGGCGTCAAGGCCACTGCATATGGCTTACCCGAGCTTAACTTTTACGACCGCAACAATCCCTTGCCATTGCTGTTAGCGCACCCAGTTCTTCCGATACCAGAAGAGAACATCAACTTTCTTGGTGCTCTCTTGCGAACAGCACCAGAGGCTGAGATCATGAAGGAGGAAGCAAGCTTGGTAGAAAGCTACGATACAACGTCAGCGGCCGAGATGCAAGGTTTTGGCAGCGATGATGTGGACGCCAAACTGGAACGCATTCAGGACGAAATCGCACAGCACGACATGCTGGCGATGCGTGCACTCCGCATGTGGTATCACCTCAGATATGCTCCAGATGAAGAAGGTAATGTGCTGAATCCGAGAGAGCGTCTGCCTGCTACTGACGATGGCGAGGGCGATGCGGAAAAAGGCGAAGAGTCGGAGGCGAGCGATGACGATGATGACGATGCTGAGGATGGAGCAGAGACAAAGAGAATGCAACAGGAGCAAAAGTATCGACGCAAGATGGAACGAAGCTGTTGGGATGCTAGAGCGGTCTCGGCTTTCCTGCGCGGACATACCTCGAGTCTTTGAGACGAGGCCTTGGTCAGCAGCTGGTCAAGGAAAGCAAGATTATCTCGATTCACATTGTACTGTACCTACACTACCACACACCACATCGCAAAGGGGACCTCGCTGCTCCTAATCCCATTCTCTCACCTTGCGCTCGGTGTCACCATCCATTTCCAGTGGTTACGGAGCCAATCGGCGCAGATCGGGAAAGTTGCAATTGAAAATTGGGTTAAAGAGATGCCCGATCGGCGAGCAGCGGATATTTTCGATCGCCAACACCAAACATGACCATCAGCAGCGGCTTCTACGCATCACATGGGCCGTAGATCCAATCTGGCTCCGAAGGAAGATCTGGTTTGAGAAGAGAGAAGCATGCTCGCAGATGGCGCTCCGAGAATGGGGTCGGAATATCAGATGGATAATAGCTACAACACAGCCTGGGCTTCCACTTGGGCTGGATGGCAGACAAAGAAGGGCCCAGCTCTTGGGAAAGCCACTTTGAGAAAAAGAAAAAGGTCTGGACCTGCGCAAAATGTAACGAGTATTAGAAGTTGGTCAGGCGTGTTGGTATCTGGATGGTGGACAGCTCATTGTTAGACCAGAATGTCGTAAGCGGCGAGGCAGTGGCGACAATTGGATAAGCGAGGGGAGTTGAAGTCATTCGTCAGCGTCTTGGAGTCATTCGTCAGTGGTTGGGGTTGAGGTGTCTTTGTTGATGATGATGGTAGGAGAGAGAGAGAGCGAGAGAGCTAGGAGTCTTTTATATACAAAAGAAGAGCGGCGGACTGCGGAGCATAACAAAGCATTTGCCTTGAGTAGGTTGTGACACATGTGGTCCGTGCTAAGATGTTCAGGCCTTTTACTCGGCCGTAAGCACTACCTTCACTGTCTCCACGCTTTGTGCGGCTTTATCTACTTCAACTCCCCCCCTCAACAGCATATGTACCCTGTTCATTATGCTGTTGCTTCAAGGTGTGACCTCCGTTCTTCAACACTGTTGCATAGCTCGGGGACCCCGTTCCGTACACTGCTGCCGGTATTTGCAGGTGTAGCCCAGATCTTGCTTGCTGCATTGCCTGCCTCCCAATGGGTTTCGTGAGTACATCTGCCAAGTTTCTTGTGGTGTCTACGTACTTGATCTGCACCCTTCCCTCTTGTACGTTGTTACGGACGAAGTGATACTTGGTGTCGATGTGCTTAAGCTTCCAGTGCTGTGCTGGGTCCTTACTAACCTGTATGCAACCAGTGTTGTCCGAGTAGACCGTCGGTGTGCCTGTGGCAATGCCAATTGAGCGTAGCAGCTGCTTGAGGAAGAGCACCTCACGTGTTGCTTCCGTGGCTGCAATGAACTCTGCCTCGACAGCAGACAATGACACGCATTTTTGTGTCGCTGACTTCCAGGCTACTGGGTTCCCGTACACTAACGCCACTGACCCCGATGTGCTTCTTCTCTGTATGGTGGCATCGCTTGCCCAGTTTGCATCGCTGTGTGCAACCAGTGGCTCTTGCGACTCACTTGCCCTATAAACCAACCCAACCTGCCTTGTGCTTTCGAGGTAGCGTAAGACCCTTTGTGCTGCCTGATAATGCTCCTGCGATGGTTCACGCATGTGCCTAGCGAGAACACCCACGGTGAGACTAAGGTCGGGCCGGGTGCTGTTGGCGACCCAGAGCAGCTTGCCAACAATCACCGGATACTCCTTCTGTTGTGCTGCGCTTGCGACAAGGGTTCCCTCCGGTATGCTCTGCATTGGAACCATGGTCGGCTTCGTGCGTTTGTCCAAGTGCTTTGCCAGCACTTGGTCGATGTACCCTGACTGACCAATCGTCATGGTGCGCATCGCACGGTTTCGACTGATTTTGATGCCCAAGAAGTGAGAGACCTCACCACTATCTTCCATCTTCCATCTCTGACCAATCTGCTTCTTAACCTTTAGGACCGTTTCCAGCCGTGGTGCTATGACTAGTGTATCATCGACGTAGATGACCACAATGGCCATATCTTCACCCTGTCCCTTGGTGTAGATGCAGGGAGCGCACTCTACCTGGAAGAATCCCATGCGTCGCAAAGACCTGTCAAACTCCTGATTCCATTCTCGCCCAGACTGCTTTAGGCCATATAGGCCCTTGACTACCTTGTACACCTTGCCGGGTGCTACTCCTGATCCTCCTGGCGGCTTCATGTAGATTGCTTCCTTTAACGTGGAGTTCAAGTAAGCCATAGTGATGTCCAGAGCATGTACCTCCCAGTTGTTCTGCACTGCTAGTGCTAAGATGGCTCTGATCGCTCCGAGGGGTGCTACTGGAGAGAAGGTTTCTTGGTAGTCGATCCCCTCTCTCTGTGTGAAGCCCCTTGCAACCAGTCGTGCCTTGTGCTTAACAGGTACACCATCAGCATCAAGCTTCAGCCGAAGCACAACCTTAGAGTCCACAAGTGGTACTCCTGGCGGTTGGTGCACCACCTCCCAAGTCCCCATTGCCTCGAGTCCTTCTAGCTCCTTTCGTATTGCCTCCTTCCAGAGCTGGGCATCCTCACCATCCATTGCTCCCCCAAGTGTTGGGTCCAGGTTCAGTATTGCTGTGTTGGCGGCGCCTACTGTGCTGTCTTCGGCTGTTAGGAGATCCTCCACTGCAGCCTCTGATTTGGTCTCCTCCTCCACTATGGCTGGCGTGACACTCTCCTCCTCGACCTCCGCGGTCACCACAGGCCTGACTGCCTCTTGTTGGCGATCACTCCATCCTTTGTCCTCATGGAACGTTGCTGAGTTGCTCCATTGAATTGACGCAGGCTGGTCCGGGTTGCAAAACTTCCATGCTTTGTGTTCGTCGTCATACCCAATCATGATGGCTGGCTTTGCTCTAGCTCCGTGCTTGCCTTGCTGGTCCTTCTGTTGAACATGAACCCATGCCAAGCATCCGAAGACTCGCAGTTGCTGGGCCAGCTTGTGCGCAGTGGTTCCATAGAAGGCCTCGTGGGGAATGGTTTTGGTGGCTGACGGGGTAAGGTTCATCACGTGTGCTGCTGCTGTGATTGCGTACGGCCACAACTCTCTAGGGCAAGCTTGACCAATCAGCATCGAGCGCATCTTTTCTTGGACCGATCTGATTGCTCTCTCTGCCCGTCCATTTTGGACACTGATCCCCGGGACGCTCTTTTGCCACTTAAAACCCTCTTGAGTTTGCCAGTCTTCAGCTGCTATGCTGCACCATTCTCCTCCATTGTCGCTGCGGAGTGTTTTGAGTTTCCTGTCCGTTGCCCGTTCCATCCTGGCTATCCACCTTCTCAGCGCCGTGAGTGCAGCACTCTTTGTGCAGAGTGGTTCCATGTAGATCAGAGAGGAGAAGTCGTCCACAGCAACTAGTGCATAGTGGTAGTTGGCATGTCCTTTGAAATCTGTCATCAGGTCTACGTGTACCAGCTCTAATGGTGCCTCCATTCTTTCCGACTCTGATTGGCTCATCCGTGCTCAAGTCTGTTTTCCTTGACTGCACGCATTGCAGTGCTTCGACTCATGTTCCATTTCCTCATCGGTACCTAGGTAATGGGCCCGGATTTGTCTCGTTTTGTCTCGTCCTGGGTGTCCGAACCTCTCATGCCATAGGTAGCTGTCTCGATGCTTCGTGTCCTTATTGCCCTCTGGGGCATTATCTAGTTTTCCTGTGTTCTGGTTGTCCTCTGGGACGCCATCTCGTGTTTCCTCCAGTTCCAAAGCCAGTGCTTGTCCTCGCACTTTGAAGTGGCCCTGTCTTCTGTCCCTTTTGAATTGTACTTGGGTACCATCGTTCTGCTTTATGGTAGTTCCAAACTCATCGAAGATTACTCGTGCACCATTCTCGATCAAGCCTTGTACGGACAATAAGTTAGCATTCAGTTTCGGTACATAAAGCACATCCAATAGTTGGATGGTGGCCTCACCGACCCGAAGGGAGGCATCTCCTATAGCCTTCACCTGAAGCTTTTCGTCCCCTGCCGTACTGATTTGGCCGACCTTGTTCGTTGAGGTGAGCAGCATTCTCTCATCATTTACCATATGATGGGTTGCACCTGAATCGATGATCCAGGTGTCGCATGCTGATCGCTCGCCCCTGTCGACTGCTAGAAAGGTGCACCCGAGTTCCTAGTGGTTCACCTCCTGTGTCGTACGAGCGACAGGTTCGCTTGTGCCTCGTGCGTTTGTGCAATTTCGAGCAATGTGATTTGGTCCTCCGCAAGCATAGCACTTTGGAGGGGCCAAGGGATTGCGAGGATCGCGCCTTCCCCTGGGTCCTTGCTCCGCCTGGTTGGCACTCCCCTGTTCCGCGTTTGTGGCGACCCTTGCTGCTCCTCTAATACGACCAGTGATCTCACCATCCTGCTGTTTCTTGGCCAGTGCATGGTAGGCTTCGTCATACTTGCAGTCTGGTTTGGCCGTTTTCAGTGCATCGACGGTGTTGGCGTAGAACCAATCTTGAGCCGTGCAGCGATAGAGAGTTGATTTCTTGAGGTCCTCGTCGAAACGCTTTCCGAGGCGTGCCGCATCGTTCCAGATCGAATCAAGTTCCTTGCCTAGTCTGACAACGTCTCGATTGTGCAAGCGCACTGTGTGGATACGATCCTGCAGTCCTGCTCGCTTTACAGCGTCGTTTAGTGTTAGTGCCTTCTTGAGTTTGGCATAGAGTGTGCTACCAAGTTGAACTTCTTCATCCACCCCTCTGACGGTGTAGGTGTCGATGCGGCTATCCGGGCTGTTATCGCAGCAGGCGTGGATGAGGCCCACGAGTGCCTTGTCTAGGTCTTCATCGTATTCCTCGCTCCCGGGTACAACGGTACCATACAGGATTTCCTTCGCGTTATGCACTCTCTGGAGGCAGTCGATAAAGGTGGGTTCCCAGGTGTGCCAATTGCTATCGCTGAGCTTCTTGATGTGAGCAATGGAGCTCGATACGTCCTTGGGGATCTTTTCGGTCTCCCCGCGTGGAGCTTGGTTGCTAATGTTGACCAGACCCATGGCCCGTACTATTGCTTCCTCTGCCGATAGTGCCGGGTTCGCCAGCTGGAGGATCCTGACTACCTGCGTGAGCCATCCTTCCTCCTGTCCATTGCTTGTGGTCGTTTGATCATCATCGCCCCTTCCCGTCTGTCCAGCTCTTGTCGATGGCGGCATTGCGTTGAGTGTCAGACTCTTAATCAGTTGAAGTCATTCGTCAGCGTCTTGGAGTCATTCGTCAGTGGTTGGGGTTGAGGTGTCTTTGTTGATGATGATGGTAGGAGAGAGAGAGAGCGAGAGAGCTAGGAGTCTTTTATATACAAAAGAAGAGCGGCGGACTGCGGAGCATAACAAAGCATTTGCCTTGAGTAGGTTGTGACACATGTGGTCCGTGCTAAGATGTTCAGGCCTTTTACTCGGCCGTAAGCACTACCTTCACTGTCTCCACGCTTTGTGCGGCTTTATCTACTTCAACTAGGGGCAGCTCGGTCGACAAGCGCTCAAAGGTCTCGACTCTCTCACATCGTAACAATGGATGAAATAAAGAGGGAAGTGTTTCCAACTGCGCTCTGTCGAACGCGCGCTACGCTCTAAAAAAATTTACGAGAGCCAAAAAAAACCTCTTCCGTTAACAATAATAATGATAATAATTCACCCCTTTGCTCAGACCGCCATCGGTTTTAGCCAGAGATTCGGTCGATGTCACTTTGTGCACTTTGTACACTTTGTGCACTTTGTACACTTTGTGCACTTTGTACACTTTGTGCACTTTGTACACTTTGTGCACTTTGTACACTTGATGCTGACTGAGACTGAGCCTTGGGTGTGCGCGCTCGTTTCTTTATGACAAGTCGCCACCTTTCTTGATTCTATAGCCTAGTTCCTGCCTTGCCTTTCCCTTGCCTCGCTTGTCTCTGTCTCTCAAGCCTCCTAAAATTTGGTTCGCCGCCATCATCTCCGCCTGTCGCCTTCTGTCCAATTCTAATGTGGTTCTCTTCTCTTCTCGCCCGCCTTGGCACAGCTCAAGTCCTCGCTTCTGTCGGCAACGCGGTCCTAGAGCTACTCAGCTTTCAATGCTACCACAGGATGCGCGCCATGCATCTGGCTTGCTTGTACCAATTTTGTGGTACCGCTCGCCACCAACACCTGATGTCTAAGCCTCCTTATCTCCGGCAGGGCCTTTGGCTCCTTTCCGGGCACCCTCGGCGTCTCTCTTACATGGACTGCGCTGTCTACTTACTTTTCCTTTCTCTATCTGATCGTTTGACACTCCTCCCCCTCCTCCTCCCTCCTCCCTCCTCCTCCTTCCTCCTCCTCATCGTCGTCGACCCCCCACTTTGGCCTGCTTTCTGCCTGTTGTCCATCATGGCCTTTCTTCGGTCACTTAACCACTCACCTTGCATCATTGTTTCTTTCCTTGCAACTGCTGCCGCAGAAACACCTGTCGACAGATCCTTTCTGACACCAAACTCAGGACCCTGTTCTTTTCAGATGCCTACATCGATGTGCCTCCTCGATCGATCAACACAAAAACCCTATGGTTCATGGCACAAGCCTGCCAGATCCAGGCGCCTATCCACCTAACCTCTACCGTCAACCTGCGCTCACACACTCCCGTCTCTTTACTGACATCGCCGCAGCACCGCTTCGCCACATCTCATTCACCGCTCTCCAGTATAGTACCATTGTGTACCGCTCACCAAAGTGCTGAGAACCGAGCTGAGCTACCCTTCCTGCCTTTCGATCAATTCCTTTTGGTAGACAGCCTGGCCTACCTTTTCTTCACACCACACCTTGTTCCATTGCTCAGCTAGGCATTCTATCCTCTTCCCCACATCTCATCATTGTTTTGTGCTACACTCGTTCTTTCATTACCACCACCACATCTACTGCTACATACTCAGAGCTCATCTCGACCTTGATGCCAGTAGATCCTCGAGCCTATCTTGACCACTCTCATCTACGCCTACTATCAACCAACCTTGATTAGAGTTCACCACCGCCACGCCAACCTCAGCCAATCCTCTCGATCATTTCATCGACATCTTTGCTTGCTGATCAACACCCAACACCTCTCTAAACTCTACTAACAAGCAGGTCGCAGAACGGCGACCTATTGGTCACCATCACCGCCGTCCTCTTGTCGAGCCAGCTTCCTAGCTGGTCTTACGGGCTTTCAAAGTCTCGGCGCAGAGATCCGATGGATGATGATCGGTACAACAGCAGAGGCAACTTTCGCTTCTTGGCACGAGCTGAACCTGAGCAACACCTCGCCTCTTCAGCCTCGTCGTCTATACAGCCTCGTGTCGCTCACTACGACCGACAACAGTACGACTCTTACACTACTCACTCTTTAGCACACCCTGAATCGAGCAGACATGCCCAACAACAGTACCACCAGAAGCCTGCACAGGTCTACCCTCAGCAACAACAACAACGAGAGGCAGAGTGGGCTTACAACTCGGCACCTTCTCGCTCGCCACCTTCCGCACACGATGTCGGTGCCAGATCTGCCTACCACATGTCGTACCGTGCCCCAGCAGATGCCCCAGCCCCAGCAGCACCCAGCCTTCCCAACCGATCCGAATGGCTCGTCTTGCCCAGTGTCAGCCATGCTCTCGGCATGTACGGTGACACTCGTCGCCAAGAACCTCGCTTCTCTCTCGTGATTCGACAACAGCCCCGTCGCGGTCTCGCTATCGGCAACAGTCAGATGTCTCTTCGCACAGCTCGTTCGGTCCCCATCGACCCACCTCCCGTCTGTGAGCTTCTCATCGACCGTAGTGGTGACGAGCAGCTCCTCTCACTCCCCGAAGTCTTCATCCGAGCTCAACTCGTTCGAGGCGATTCACCCATGGACGAGTGTCTCCCCGACACAAGACGCATCGAGCCTTTGGTCGGCGACACTCTCCAAAGCCCCTTCAACTCTCGTATTGACACACGCGAGGACCAGAGCTTCTTCGTCTTCAAAGAGCTTGGTGTGCGCAATCGTGGCATCTACAGTCTTCGATTTGATCTGTTTGATCGTGTCGGTTTGCGCATTTTCAAGATCGCTTCCATCTACAGTGATGCATTCGAAGTGCAGGGGCGAAGGAAACATCCTGGTCTCTCAGCTTCCTCCGCGTTGATGGATGCACTCGTGGACCGAGGAATGAAGTACAAGCTGAGAAAGGCAAACGACAAGGCAAACACAAAGAAGCGCAAATTTCCAGAAGACTTTCATTACCGAGATGAAAGGTCGATTAACGCAGCTGCACACCGAAGACAGAGCTATGCTGCGGGCGAATACGATGCTGCTCATCGACACCATTACGATGCTGCGGCCAGCTCCTCTCGCTCGCCATATGCGGATGCAGTTACGCAGCAAGCACAGAAGCAACAGCATCAGTTGACTAGACCCATCCTTCACCGTGCACACTCAGGTGAAAGGGTTCACGGTTTCTCAGCTGCTAGCTCGGCAATGCTCCCACCTCTTGCGACTCAGCTGGGAAGCCCCAGACTCAGTCCGCCTGGTCGAGCTGATAAGCCACCTCAACTCTCCAGTTTGTCGCGATTGGGTGTTGCCCCCGTCTCACGTGCTTACGCTTCGCACCTTCCTGCTCATCCACAGCTTCACACTTCACGCCCAAATTGGCAAGAGGAGGAGTACCACCAAAACCCCACCTCCACAAGCAGAGCTAAAGCTTCAGGCCGTCGCCTCTCCCCACACACATCGTCCGAGATGGACCGAACTCGACCCTCGTTGGAGTTTCGAACATCCTCTTCATCAGTAGCTACTTCCAACTCCACCGGTCAAGCTTCTACCGGATCACACTCCACTCCTAACTCTTCCACCACCGAAGGCACCCCTTTCTTGTTCAACAAGTCCAAAACCAAACCTGCTCTCGAAGATAGAAAGAACTCCGGTGGTTACCTCAGCGGCGGTGGTGAACTTGCCCCATCCTCCTCCGGTTCCTCCCCGGGATCGCTCCAACAACAAGCCAGACCAACTCTCCCACCTATCTCCAGCCTCTACGCTGCTTCCACAGCAGGCAGAAGAGCTTCAGCGGTAGCTCAAGAAGGTTATTTCGCTGGTGTCAACGCTCCCTCCCCACCTGGTTCTGCTCATCGTTCTCCCCGACACTAAAAATTGCTTTTTAGATCTCAATCGCAGTTGTATTCTCCTCTCTTGCTCATACTCCTAGCTTCTTCACTCGCTTCCGCTTCGGCTTCGGTTCGAAATAATATAGACGCCCCCGAACTGTTAGAGGGCTGCGGGTATATCGGCTCGCGTCAGGCCGATTATCCGATAATTCGCCGGCATACCGGCTATTAGGTGCCCGAGGGGGAAGAGATAGTTTCCCCGTCATGCTTCGCGGGGTAGATACATAAGGGGCAAGATTTAGTTGTTTCGCTCTTCATTAGCATGAAGTCCATCCATCTGTACAAACTGTTTGTCATCGCCATCTGTCGCCATACATAATCAAACCGTGTCCTACCATCCTAGCTTGTCACTCCCTCCAACAGATTATGAGACCTAGCGGTTACTAGGTCCCTCGACACCATCGAACTTCAACATTTGGACTAGCTCCTGGGAGAACAACCTCAGTCGCAGCAGCGGGCTCACCAACAAGGTTTGAGACCACCAAGTAGCTCGCCATCGAAAGGCTCAAGCAGTAGCATCATTGACAGTGCGGTCAGCAACACCAGCAGCAAAATCGACCAAGATGGATACGACAATGTCCATGACAGCGCCACCAGTGCTATGAGGTAGGAGCAATTACTACACCTGGCAAAGGCAACTGCGAATCTACGTTGACAGAGTCAACCCAATGGTGTGGGAGGCAATCACAGGAGTAGCGTTGTGTCAGAGGTCGCATGCCTGAAACCCGAAATCTGCTGAGTGAGCTTGATCCGACCGATTTCGGCGAAATCTGTCAAGTGAGCTTCTTCTGACAGATCTCAGTGAGATATGCTGGAAGGCTGTCTTCCGGCAGTTTTTGGCTGACCTCTGTGAACACTCTGTCCAGAAGTAGTGTGGCACATTCAGAGTCCTTGGATTACTTTATAGAAGGATGATGCCTGTCGTTGCACAGGTGTGTCACAGGGTCTGCGCAGAAGTTGAAATTTGATAAACCACTCTAGAGGCCACAATCAGGTGCCTGTCATAGGACCACATGTGCAGAAGAACTGGATCTGTATGAGAGGAGACCCTGTGCAGGAATCACAGGATCAGGCAAGTGGTGGGTTCAAACAGAGTTTGTCAAGATCAGTAGGGTCTAGGTCCTATGACAGAATTCATTGGGATTGGTAGGAGCAAGACCTTACAACAGGATTTGTCAGGATCAGCAGGACCATGACTTTACAGCAGATCTCAATGAAACTGGTTAGAGGGTGCCACTCCCCACTGATCTTACAAGGGGACATGTGAAGGTAGTGCTCGCCACTCAGATGAGGTGGGAGAGGCCACTATAGGAAGAGGATAGTGGCACAAGAGGGTTGTTGCGCCAGCAATGAAGCATGGGAGGTGTCATGGGTCTGGATGTGCAGGAAGCAGGAAGACCCATCAAGTCATATGAAGGGAGCACGGTGTCATGGGCCTGGATGCTCAAGAAGCAGGAGGGTCATGGGTTCATATGGAAGGAGCACAGGTATCGAAGACCTAGTCGATACCAGTAGAGAGCATGGTCGTAGTGCAGTCTCCATGGAGACTATGGACTCCTATGGACTCACATGCAAAGGAGAACTGAGCCACATGCGAGGAGGGCCAGGCACAGCCACAAGGAGGACCAAGCTCAAGGAGCAGGCACAGCCATGAAGAGGACCAAGCTCAGATGGTTACCACTCAGGGGCTTGAGAGACAAGAGTCATAGGACACTGGCAAGCAGGTCATGAGGAGGAGGAGCAGTGTCGAAGGAGTCGACACCAGGTCATGAGGAGGAGGAGCAGTGTCGAAGGAGTCGACACCACTCAAGAGGCACAGGGGTGCCAAGCAGGAGAGGCCCCTGAGCAGTACTCGATGAAGAAGGTACTCTCTGGAGAGAGAGCAGGAGCAGCATCGCTGGCGATGCTGTGAAGAGGTATATAACCATGCTTTCTCATCATCATAGGTTGAGTGGATCCTCATCCACTCTACTCACCATACAACTAGTCAATACTTTAGAAACACAAGTACTCATTAGTTACAGTCAGCATAGCAGCAATCTATCAAGGTTGCTCCTCATCGTAGTGTGTGTGTTGTATCACCACTACCTGACGTCCGTAGGCGCCCATAGCAGGTTAGCGGTCTGGATATAGATAGAACCAAAGGCAGTAGTCCACTGCAGTCCGGGGATCACTTCAAGCATCAAGTCAACACACTGGACACTCATGTTGACGCCACCAACCTTATCACCAACACCATCAACCTCATTATCATCGACATCACCAATCTCATCACCAACACCATCAACCTCATCATCATCAACACTCACACCAGACCTTGGTGTCATCATAACATTGATATTGATCATGCCGAGCTACCCCTGAACGGAGTGTCCACAGAGGTCAGCTGAAACCTACGATAGTATATACAATGAACGCCACCTGCTGTCACTGCACAACTTGATAGTCACTGATACCAAGACAATAGCTGTCGCACAGTTTGATAGTCACCGAGTATCTCGACAGACCGACCTGGGTTTCAGGCGCGAGACCCCTGACACACGGGAATTGAGGAATTGGGCAGATTGTGGGATTTGCAGTAGAGTTCACCAAGATCTGTAGAAGAAATGGCTCTATGGCAGATCTCCCCTAGATCAGCACAAGCAATGATGGTATCACAAATCCCACCAGGATCTGTAGTAAACAGGATCATATGACATATCCTGCAGAGATTAGTGGCAAGGATGATTGTATGACAGATCCAGTGGAGATTAGTGGCAAGGACATTCAAGGTCACCACCAGATGAGGTAGGGGCCCTACATGACAATGAAATTGGCATAAGAAGATGGGTGCTGAAGTCAGGAGGTAGATGGAAGAGGGGGGCATGAACTGTCATTAGGATGAAGTGGGGTGACCCCTATCAACAATGAGATGGCACTGGCTCTCCTCGACCCAGGAGCAGGAGAAGCAGGGCTCAGCAAGGAGGAGACACCTTGGTAGAGACCTCTACCACAGTACTTGACGAAGGTGGTACCCTCTGGAGAGAGAGCTGGAGCAGAGTCGCAGGTGACACTGCAAAGATGAATATAAACCATGCTGTCATGGGTCTGGATGTGCAGGAAGCAGGAAGATCCATCAACTCATATGAAGGGAGCATGGGAATCAAGGAATCAGGTGGAACATAGGACTTGCAGAAGAGTTCACCAAGATCTGCATGAGAAGCAGCTCTATGGCAGATCTCACACAAATCAACATGAGAGAAGATGGTATCATGCATCCTGCTGGGATTGGTAGCAAACAAGATCATATGGCATATTCTGTGGAGATTAAGTGGCAAGGGTGATCATATGACAGAACCAGTAGGGACTAGTGACATGAACCTTTGAGGTCACCACTGGATGAGGTAGGGACCCTGCACAATGATGAAGTCAGTGCATGGGATGGGTGCCAACATCAGGAGGTGGATGGAAGAGGGGGCAAGCATTGTCATTGGGATGAAGTGGGGCGACCCCTATCAACAATGAGGTGACATGGCTCTCCTCGATCCAGGAGCAGGAGAAGCAGGGGCCGGCCAGGAGGGGACACCTCGGTAGAGACCTCTACCATGTGTCACAGGGTCAGGGGATCAGCGTATGAAGTGTGTGCCAAATTGATCTATGGCAATCATTGGGAATCGATGATCTAATTGGGTTGGTAGCACATATGGCTTGTGAGATCAACCAAGTTCTGGGATCCTGATTAATCTCACAAGGATTGATTGGAGTCAGCCTGATTGGCATGTCTCAGCAAGCTGGCTGTCATGAGCAAGCATCAGGAGATTCAGGAAGGAGGATACCAGCAATAGAAGGAGAAGCATATGGAGATAACCACATGCAGGAGTGGGGACCAAGCTCAGCATCATGTGGATGGTTACCACTCAAGGGGTACATGTGTACAGCCACAGGGGACTGAGCACAGGGGCAACCACATGATCAAGGGGGCTTGGCAACAGGACTCAACAGGTGGTTAAGGGATTCACAAGATAAGGTCAAGGAGGTAGTTGCCAGTGAAGAGAGAAGGAGCTGTGTCAAGCAGACTGGGGATTGTCTACAAGGAGGAGGAGCTGTGTCAAAGGGGTCAACACACATCACCAGGCAAAGAAGAGTATGGAGGCAAAGGGGCAGTATCACACAAACCAATATGCTGTGCAAGCAGTAGAGGCACAGCATCAAAGGGAGCAACACCAGCAGAAGAGAGAGTGTCAAGAGGAGGTGAAGGCCTCTCAGGAGGAGTAGGAAAGGTGTTGCAGGTGACACCAAGCAAATGCATAAATACTCTCATTCTACTATAGCATACAAGTGGATCCTCATCCACTCTACTCTATACTTTACATACTCTTTACTTGACTCATAGTTATGTATCATTGCAATAACAGAGCTTTGCAATGACACCTCATACATGTGTGTTGTATCACCATTAGGTGTCAACTGTAGGCAGTGTTACTCAACACCTGCAGTCCAGTCCCTTACTGTAGGTGGTGTTTGCTCAACATCTGTGGTCCAGTCAGTTATTGTAGGTGGTGTCCAACACTTGCAGTCCAGTAACTCCCATCCCCTGTAGGTGATAAGCATATTGCAGTCCAGACAATGTTAGAGAGCATTAGCAACAGTACTACAAACACTTGTACTGTAAGGAGAGTATACTACTCTCTCTCCAAAGAATAAACGGATGTGCCATGCAGCCTCTGAATGGAGTGTTCAAGGTAGTCAGCCGAGACCTACCAGTACAAAGCTGTCTGGTTACATTTAGTTGAAACATCCTGAGTAGATCTTACTCGATTGTCCTCACCAATACCAATCAGAAACACCCAATCTGGTTTCAGGTGCATGACCGCTTACACCATGGTGCTCGACAAGAAGGTACTCTCTGGAGAGAGAGCCGGAGCAGAGTCGCAGGTGACACTGCAAAGATGTATATAACCATACCTTCTTGTCATAAGTGGTCAAGTGGATCTCCATCCACTCTACACCATAAGCTAGTTATCACTTTGACAAGTATACATTAGTTTTCAGTCAGCATAGTTGCAATCACAAGTAGATTGCTTCCATAGTAGCGCATGTGTCATATCACCACTCACTGACATCTGAAGGCAGTTCATAGAACCAGCAGTCCAGATATGATCAACACCAAAGGTGGTTCATAGCAACCTGCAGTCCAGCTTGCAATCATAGAACTGAAGGCAGTCATCCACTGTGGTCTGGGGATCACCTTATGCTATCAGTCGACACACTGGACACTTGTGTTGACAACATCAACTATCTCAATCACACCAGACCTTTGGTGTCATGCAATACATTCAAGTTATTGATCATGCCAAGCTACCTCTGGATGGAGTGTCCACAGCAGTTAGTTGAAACCTGCCATAACAAAACCATTACTGCATCTTCAAGTGAGAAAAGTAATAGAGACATCTCTACTACATATCTCAACAAGAATCATAATACCACAAGCATTGTCACATATTTCAACAGGATTCGTAATAGATGCGATTCTATTACAGATATCAGGTTTTGGGCATGCAACAGCTGACACATGCCTTCTTGTCATAAGTGGTCAAGTGGATCCCCATCCACTCTACACCATATATTACTAGCTATAACTTCACATAAGTATACTTAGTATTCTGTCAGCAAGTTGCAATCACAATAAGTTGCTTCCATTGTAGCACATGTGTTGTATCACTGCTCACTGACATCCAAAGGCAGTTCATAGTAACCAGTGGTCCAGATAATGATCATAGAACCAAAGGCAGTTGTCCACTGTGGTCTGGGGATCACCTCAAGCACTCAGTCGACACACTGGACACTTGTGTCAGTGTCAACAACATCATTCACACCAGACCTTGGTGTCTTTGCAATACATTCATTGTTATTGATTGTGCTGCACTACCTCTGGACAGAGTGTCCACAGCAGTCAGTCAAAACCTGTAATAGCAAACCCACTACTACACCTTTGAGTGGGAAAAGTCATAGAGTCTTTTCTATGACATATCTTGACAAGAATAATAATACACAGCACTCTACCACATAACTCAACAGGACCTGTAATAGATGCAGTTCTATTACAGATATCAGGTTTCAGGCATGAGACTGCTGACACACAGCTTGTTTTGCATGAACTCATGGTGTCAATAATGACTGTATCTACTTTGATTGTGTGACAAGAGTGTCAAAGATGGTGGGGCTACAAGGTGGTTCAGATTCTGGAACTGCTTCATTTTCCAGCCAGCACTTCATGTTCTGGCTGATACTACCTTAACCCTTGGTTGGCTTTGAAAATTAACCCTCTAAAAACACAGCTTACATTTGGGGGCATCAATTTCCTGAGCTTTTTTGAGTATTGGAATACTCTAGTTTTCGAGGGCAAAAAAAAAAAACTGAAACCCCCTACTGACTCATACTCAAGCCAAGATGTATAAAGACACTCAAGTTAGTTATTTTGTCCCTGTTTCCTCATCCATCAATTTGTACATACTGTTCAACGTCGATACAAGAAATACAACCGTGCCCTACCTTCTGTTGAATGATAGTGGACTCTTTGTGGCAGGACACGGTTGTATTGTGTTCTTGGTGTTTGATGAGTAAGTACAACTTTGGATGGATACAAGTGACTGGGACAAACTAACTAACTCGAGGACTATATATACCTCTTGACACTGACATAAAGATAAGAGGACGAAGCATGAGAGACAGGGCATGAGAGACAGGGCATGAGAGCCCCTTGGATGAGGAGACTGTTTCTCTTGAGGGAGTTTGCCACCTTGGTGAAAGGTGATGACAAAAAACTTACCTTGAGAAGGGAGACCTGTCGACCACCTCATCGGATGTGCCAATCACCCTGATGGAGGCTGCCTGACAGAGAGGCCGATGAAAGCTTATCATTGTGAGAAGATTTGTCGGCCGTCCCGTCAGATGCACTGATCACTTTGACAGGGATTTCCTGACAGAGAACCTGACAAAAGCTTACCATCGTGCAAACTTTCGTCAGCCATTCCGTCTTAAGGCAGGTGACCTTGTCGGACTTCCGGTGTAAGTCGATACCCCTCCTTCACCTTCGAAGTCCATCATCACTCCAATACTTCCGACATTGTGTAGAAGCAGCTACAAGATGAAGTGGCAGCTGCGAGAGGCTGCATAAGTTGTGGTGGGTTCATTGTCCAAAAGTGTTTAAATGAGCCAAAAAATCGAACCTGTATGATGGAATTAAAAAGTCATGCTATTGAACAATGAGCTATGCCATTGCATAGCTGGGATCCGTAGCTTTCTATCTATGTATGGTGAGATGGGGCTTTTTATTGCAGAATGAAGTGAAAAATGAAGATGTCTAGTGACAGCAGATTTATTTGATCACATTACGCGCGCATTGTATCTCGATGTGTAGCGACGTTTCCGCTTGTCTGTTTCACATTTTTGTTCCGCTCCGACTGTCAAGTGCGGAACAGAGCTGCGGAACACAAGTGCGGAACACAAGGTTGGCCCGCTTCCGTGATCACACAGAGTCATCAACGTTGAGCAGTTGCTCTCCTTGCTATCACAAAAACTTACTCTTCCGCTGTCACACGGTCATACGATCACACATATTCACTTCAGAGGAGTTCAAGAAATTCGAAGACTCCGTGTCCTACTGATATAGTGTCGGGTCTCGGACATTGACTTCAATGCATTCGCGATCAGGCACGTGACCTGTACAGGTGTCACCCAGCGGGAGCGCAGTTTAGAGCACGCTCGCTCAAGCATCTCTTTTCCTTTACGACCATCATCTCTCTTCGCGCTGGCCACAGGCAGCGCTTTTTGTCTCACCCACCACGCCCACCCAATTTCTTTGTTACTTAGGTCTCACGCGCATTCCGCCTCGCTCTCACGCGACGTTCGACCACCTGTGGCCCTTACGGCCACGGTTGGGAGCTCGCAAGCGACTCACACGAGTTAGGAAATGAATTCTTTCCCATCTCTGATATTGTGGATCAGTCAAGTGACCAGCGAAGACGTCGATTAAAAAATTCAGTGCCCTACGTATGATACAAAGTGAACTAAGAAATAGCAACGAAGAAAGGCTTCTCTCCGTCCCTTCTGGGCGTAGTCTCCTTCGCTAACTCCACAAGCGGATCACCGATTGCTACCCTGATCCTCTCCGCAGTGGCAGGGGACACCAGATGGAACGAATCCTTCAACACCGCAGTCTGCTCGCCTTTCGGTGCCAAATATTGCACTCTAGCGGCAGAGATAGCAAGTTTAAGCGCAAAGAACACCGAAGCACCCAAGAAAAGCGGGGGTTCACCAATACCTTTGCTCGACTGGATGGTTCCCAAATGCTTGTTGTGCTTCGCTACCGCAGGATTTGACGGGTCTTGTACCTTGAGGAACGAGATCCGCATGTCGGTCGGGGTATCGAGAAAAGCAGGGATCTTGTAGTTGCCCGGACCACGAGTAGCAAGCTGACCATTGTTCATGTATAAGGTCTCTTCGAGTGTAAACAGGCCGAATCCTTGGGTGAAGGCTCCTTCGATCTGACCGACGTCGATCGAAGGGTTGATAGAGCGACCAATGTCCATGTGTACATCTGCACGGACGATGCGGTGGTCACCAGTGATGGTGTCCAGTTCCACTTCCGAGATCGCTACACCTTGAGTGAAGTAGTAGAATGGTGTGCCGGTTCCGTCCTTCCAGTTGTATCCGATACCAGGTGTACGGTAGTGACCGATGGCAGACAGCTGGACACGGTTGAAGTAGGCCATGTGGACGGCATCCTTCCATGCCTCGACACCAGAAAGACCCTTGGCTGCTGCGTCTTTGCGGAACTTAGCCAACGACTCGTTGAGCTGCGTGCAGGCGTTCTTCAGCGCCATACCATTGAGGTCCGAAGATGCCGAAGCCGCAGTGGCCGATGTGTTCGATGCCTGAGCAGTGTTGGTCTCGGTTAGATGCACCATCGACACCGGGATGTCGAGCTCTGTTGCCACCACTTGAGCCATCTTGGTGTGCAGACCCTGACCCATCTCCGTACCACCGTGTGAGAAAAGCACACTACCATCGTGATGGTAGACATGCACAACACCGTATGCCTGGTTAAGGAAGATGGCAGTAAACGAGATACCGAACTTGGTAGGAATCATGCTGATACCCCTCTTGCGGTAACGATGTTTGGCATTGAATTCGTCAACTGCCTTGCTACGCCTCTCAAAATCACCCGAAGACTTGAGCTGCTCCCAGAGAGTCGGCACGTTCCAATCGACAAGCTTCTGCCTGAAGTGCGTCTCGTCGTTCTCGCGGTATAGGTTGAGCTCACGCATCGCTTCGGGTCGCATACCAATCACAGCGGCAGCTTTGCTGACAAAGTCTTCAGTGAAGAACATGCCTTGAGGACCACCAAACCCACGGAAAGCGGTGTTCGACATAGTGTTGGTCTTGCAAATGTATCCCTCTACGTGCAGATGCGGGATCTGATAGCAATTGTCAATATGGAACATGGCACGTTCGAGCACGGCCTGCGAAAGGTCCTGACTCCAACCACCATTGTTGTATACCTTAGCGTGCAGGCGTTCGAGCTTACCAGACGAGCTGAAGGCCAGCTTCCACTTGCACATGAAGGGATGACGCTGACCGGTGGTCAGCATGTCCTCGTCACGGTCAAGCATGACACGCACCGGTCGACCAAGCTTCTTGGCAGCCAAGGTCAAAGGAGCAGCAAAGGCAATGGTACGCGACTCTTTTCCTCCGAATCCACCGCCGAGTCGCTTGACACGCGTCACCACGCGGTTGTTCGGAATACCGAGAATGGAAGCACAGAAGACTTGCGTCTCGGAAGGGTTCTGCGTCGATGAGATGACCTCGATCTCGGAGTCCTCCTTGCCTGGAATCACCAAACAGGCATTAGTCTCCAGATAAAAATGCTCCTGGCCCCCCATGCGAGTCTCTCCTTCCAAGACATGGTCGTGCTGGCTCCAGCTTTCATCCAACGAGTCTCCGCGGTGAATGACGGGACGAGGCTTAAAGAAGCTCTCTGCCACAATAGCCTCGTCGATGGTGAGGATGTGCGGCAGGTCTTCATACTCGATCTGTACCTTGTGGGCAGCAGCCTGAGCATTGCGTTTGGTGTCGGCTACGATAACACCAACGATCTGACCCACAGTGTAGACCTTGCTCTCGGCGAAGAACGTCTCATCCATTGAAGGCGGGTTCCACACGTTGCTGCCACCTTCAGGAATGTCCTTGTAGGTGACGAAGTCAACGACGCCAGGCATCTGCAAAGCTTCGCTCGCATCGACCTTCTTCAAGATGGCATGAGCGCGCTGCGAGAGCACGAAGCCGGCATGAAGCTCGTTGGCAACAGGTGGCATGTCGTCAATGTAGACCGCCTCACCAGTCACCTGCTTCATTGCAGACAGATGCGGGATCGAATCGCCCACAGGCTGCTTGATAGCGACGTTCTCGAGATCTTGCAGACCAGATGTGACAGGTCGCTCGACAGTGCTGGTTGCCAGCTCCTCGAGATCAGGCAGAGTTGCATGCGCCGATTTAAGTTTTGGCAAACCAAGGTGTGGCGCAGCCAGACCCCAGAATCGTGTCACGAAACCAAGAGCAAGTGTTTTGCGGAAGATCGGCATACCACCGGGCACTCCGTAAGACAGCGGGAAGTCCTGCTTCGCAAGAATCTGCAACGTCTCGGAGAGCGACTCAGGTGCACTGAACTGCTTGCCTACCAGGAACTTCTGCACTTCAACGCTCTGCATCGTGGTGGGTCCCATACCTCCAAATGCGAAGGTTGCATTGGTGATCTTGTCCTCCCGGACCGACAAACGGAGACAGGCGTTGACAATAGCAATGTCATCATCCTTTCGCTTGGACTGCTTGAAAGCATGCACGACACTACCAGCGTCGTCAGACCAGGGAATGTAGAGCTTAGTAATGACAGCACCTGCTGGCAAAGCGGTCTTTCGGTAGCCGAGGAAGAAGTCACGCATGTTGACCGACTTCTCTGCCGACGAGGTCGTGTCGATATATGACAACTCGGCACCGGTTGCGACCCAAACAGGGTTGAGATCCGAGATGGGCGATGCGGTGGCGATGTTACCTGCTAGCGTGGCAACATTGCGGATTTGATTGGATGCAAAGTAGGCTAGGTTGTCGAGGATCGCACGCTTGACCTGCTGTGCGTAAGGTGCAGTCGGACGTTCAGACTTGAGTTGACGAACAAGGTCAGTGAGACTCAAGTTGGCGCCAACAGTGATACCGCGCTCATCGGACTTGTAGAAGGCGAGATCCTTGATGTGGTCAGAGACAAAGATCGAGACGCTGTACTTGAGGTGCTTGAACTTGACTTCGATACCAGTCTCTGTGTTCCCACTACGGATCTTGCCGCCCGGATCGAGACCGTACAGCTTCATGCACTGAACAAGAGACTGAAGCGAGCCTGGTCGCATCCATACCTGACGTGCCGAGATCTGTTTCTTGGGTTCAGCATCAATTTCGAGCTCATCGGCTTCAGGCTGCTCCTCGATGAAGACCAGATCTTGTCTGTCAAAGATGTCCTTGGCGAGGTAAGGTGGGAAAATGAGCTCGGAAGCTGCGTCATATGGCTTGAATTGGTTGGCGTCGAGCACCTTTGCGATTACGTCTGCTGTGGTAGAGATGCCTGGGGCGGTAGTGGTGGCTGGTGCACAGCCTTTTGACTTGCCATTGACCATGCAGCAGTCAGCACCTTTTGCACAGGGCGTTCGTGTGATGAGGTCGGCCTCAGGGGTTGTGGTGGGTTCAGCATCGTCCGAGTGGTCGCTGTTGTTAGCGCTCGAGCTGGTGCCGTTAGTGCCGTTCTTGGTGCTCTTGACGGTTGCGAACGACTTTGCAGCGTCAAGGATGGGTCGGTAACCGGTGCATCGGCAAAGACAGCCATCGAGCGAGTGTTCAATGTCTTCCTCTGTGAGGTGGCCGAATCCGTTGCGAACAGTAGCGTAAAGAGACATGACGATGCCTGGTGTGCAGAAACCGCATTGCGAGCCAAAGAGTTTTCCAATTCGTTCCTGAATGGGGTGGGGGTTGGACGAAGAGCCGATACCTTCGACTGTAAGGACGTGGCATCCGTGCACGGCAACGAGTGGCAGCAGACACGCGTTGACGGACTTGTACCTGTATGGTGCCTTGGAGGCCGAAGAGGAGGAAGATGATGCGGGCGCCTGGGTATCATACTTGCCGACAACGACAGTGCAGGCACCGCAACCACCTTCACCACACCCGAGCTTGGTACCGGTGAAGCCTTTGCTTCGGATGAACTCGAGCAGAGTCAGATCAAGGTCATCGCCTTTTGCTGTGGAAAGTTGAAAGCGAGTGTTGTTGACGGTGAAGACGAGCTTGGAAGATTCGGCAAATCGGCTGGGCATCTCGAAACCCTCGACCACTTTGGTCGCTGCGGCGGGGACTGGCATGCTGACTGATGAGAGTGAAGTTGATGAGAGTGAAGTTGATGAGAGTGAAGTTGATGAATTGTGCCGTTGTGCAGTTCTCAGTAAGATATTGACATGGGGGGTTTGAGGAGGCAGGAGAAGTCCGAAGGCGAGAAAGACGGTGTTCAGGATGCTGCTAGGGATGCAAGCGAGCGATACAAGGGGTACGAGTGGTGTCGGATGAGAGTAATAAGGATGGAGATGGGCAAGAAGAGATGGTGAGGAAAGGCAAGCAGGAGGGTGGCACAAGAGACAGGCGTGAGGGAGAACTCTCAGTCTGGCAAAGGGTTGTTTCGCGGGGAAGTGTTGGACAGATAAGCTTCTCTTGGTTGCACAAGCGCTCCCTCCCAACTCTGGTTGGCTCTCAGGGTTCTCGATTGATTTTGCCACTCCACGCCGAAGACCCACTTGGTCGGCCAAATCCGAAGCTGTTTTCCAACCTGACCTCGCATTCGAGCTTCTGGCTCGTCAACCTGTCCGTATCACGGACCGATTCGTATGATTCTTCTTGTGAACACTTCAACCCTTCATTCATCATGCATCTCGACTCGAATGCAGGACTATGAGCAGACAAAGCCTATACTGAATGTTTGTTGAACAGCAAGCTGAGCTGAGAATGTTGCCTGTCAAGATCCGGCTATTCCAAGCCAATCAGCGCTTTTTTTGGAATTTGCAAGCCATATCTGCCGAGGGCGATAAAGTGGGAAAAAAAAAAAAAAAAAAAACATTTCGCGCCTGTCGGTCTGCCAACACACGCTCGGAGAAGGCCGAGATTTCACCTCACTTCACAGCGAGCAACCTCATCTCTCTTCAGAACTGAGCTTCAACGCGTCACGAACCATACGAGCAAGAAGCCAGTAAGCTTGAAATGACATTGCGTGATACTTGAACGTGACATTCGATGCGGACGGAACAAAAACAAGAGACATACGAGAATTCGATCAGGAAGCGTCGCTTGTGAGTGTAGCAAGTCGACGACATGCAAGAGCGTTGATAAATGATGAAAATGTGTGCTGCTTAAAGCGTGAACAAAAAGCGCAAGTCGGAAACACTGAGACGACCCATGGCGCCATCGTCCTTGCCAATGGCTGCCTCGATCATGGCGCTCTTCTTGTTCTGAAGCTCGATAATACGAGACTCGATACTGTTCTCAATCACCATTCGCTTGACGACAATGGGTCGATGCTGACCAAGACGATGGATACGGTCCATCGCCTGCACCTCAACCGATGGATTCCACCACGGATCCATCAAATAGACTCGCGACGCTTCGGTCAGGTTGAGCGCAACACCACCAGCCTTGAGGGAGACCAAGAAGACGGTGACATTCGGATTTTCCATAAAGTGCTTGATGGTACGGTTGCGTGCTTCAGGTGACATGTTACCTTCCAGCCGGCAGATGTGGAATCCGGCACGTTGCAGTCGGAACGCGATGAGATCCAAGAAGTTGACAAACTGCGAGAAGACGAGCGACTTGATCGTCTTGTCCTCGCTTCTCAGCTGCGTCAGCTCCTCGACGAGAGCTTCGATCTTGGTGCTCGATCGCCATTTGTCCATGTCAAGTCGTGCAAGGATACCCTGGCGACCTGAGTCGTTCATTCGGATTGAGCTCTGAGGAGGCTCGAGCGCCTCGGCTTCCAGGTCGATCGAGAGTGTGGCGTGGCAGTAGGGACAATCCGGAACCATGCCGGGCACAATCTCGGAGTCGAGATACTGGCGAACGCACTCTCGGCAGAAGATGTGCTTGCATCGCGACATGATCGCATCTTCCGCTTCATCCGTGCAAATCCTGCAGACATGAATCTCGCTGTGTGCATCACCGAGCAACTTCGAGACAACACCCGTCTTGGATCGGAGCACCAAATCAGGATGGTTGGCAAGCTGCCTCATTCGCGTAAGCAGCGTGAAAATGTTCGAGTAGTTGTTGAGCACCGTACCCTGGTCAAGGTAAGTGCTGAACTTTCGAGTCGTGTCGGTGTACAATGAAGTGTAGAGATCCTCCTCCTCTTCATTGAACAGGTCACGTCGCACCTCGATAGTTCGAGGCGGCAGACCCATGTCATCGGCACGCTCGAGCTTGGTTCGCCTGAGCATCATGCGCTCAAGCAGAATGCGCAGACGGCGGAACGCATCTCGGCCTTCGCCATGCTGGGCACCACTGCGCTGGATAGGCTTCAGAATCTCATTGTTCCAGTAGCAGGTATGGTGCATGGGTGTGTGGCCACACATGTCACAGTTGCGCTTGTCACTGAACGCCCAGTGCAACGACTTGCAAGGACACTTCTTGCAGAAGTAGTAGGCGAACGGATCACCACCCAAGAAGCGGATCATCGAGTACAGTTCACCAACACGGTTCTGCAGCGGTGTACCACTGAGACACCATCGGAAGTCTCCCTGCAGAGCGAAAGCGCCTTTAGCCGTGTTGGTGGAACGCTCCTTGATGTTGTGCGCTTCGTCGAGGATGATGCGGCGCCAGTGGACGGCGTGCAAAGCCGACTTCTCCTTCAAGATCTCGTTCTTGCGGCGGAAACCCGACTCCTGCTTACGGAAGCTGCTCTCGAGCACAGCGTAACTGGTGAGCACGACATCGGCTGCCTTGAGCTCCTTGAGGTTCTGCGTGCGATTGGCTCCGTGCCATATGAGCACCTTGAGCTTAGGCTGGGTGTATGCTTCGATCTCGTTGCGCCACTGCATGATGGCGACGGTAGGGGCAACTACGAGACAAGGCTTCTTGCGATCAGAAAGCATGAGACTGATCATTTGGATGGTCTTTCCCATACCCATCTCATCGGCAAGCATACCACCTTTCCAAGTGCCTTGTTCCTGTCGTGTCATCCAGTAAAGACCTTCACGCTGGAAAGGCAGAAGCTTGATATTAAGGCCAGGTGGCTGCTCAGCCTCTTCAGGCTTAATAACGGCAACAGTCTTTTGCAGGTCCTCCCAAACTGTTTCGAGCTTGGGATGGTGCTTGATGAGCGCCTGAAAGTTCTTGTCGTACTGAGTGCGAAGGTCCTTCTTCTTAAGACGAGCCTGGTGTTTCTCGCTGCGGAGTCGTGCTTTGCGCTGCCTGGCTGTCTCGTATTGGGTGTCTTCGGCATAGTAGTTGCCGGTGGTGTTTTGCGGCTCAAAGTTGTTGTCGTCGTTGGTTGCATCGGGGTCCGAGTCGAATCGCATGTCCTCTAGGGTAGCAAACGTGCTTGGACCGGCTTCAGCAGCAGATGGACGGGGCCTGTTTGCCTTGCGCTTCATGGACAAAGGCTCTTCGTCGCTGCTGATGTTATCGAATGAGGCATCGGACTCGCCTTCGAAGTCAAAGTCAAGATCGTCGAGCTCATCCGACTCGGCCACGTCGGTCTTGAGCGGCTTGGAGGCGGGCGCGGCGCTGCGACGAGGCTGACGACGCGAGCGAGGTGTCAGATTGACATCGTCGAGCACGTCATCGCTATCTTCCTCTAGCTTTGCTTTACCTTTACCTTTGCCTTTGGCACTAGGCTTGCTGCCCACCTGCGTCTGGGTCGCAGGGGACCAAGGTCCAAGCTCCTCGTCCAGCAAGGCGTCGAGGGCAGCATCGTCGTAGGTCTTCAAAGCAGTGTTCGAAGATGCCCGACCACGAGCCGAAGATCGTCGAGTAAGCGTCGATTCTTTCGGTTCGACCTTTGGTGCCTTGGAAGTGGTGCTGGCGGCATCGGACTGTTTTCGTTTGCGCGAGTCGCTCGGAGTTGACAGAGTGGCAGGGTAGGCTTCAGCTTTGATCGCGCTGCCGCTCTTGAATGAGGCAGACCGGCTAGCCCTAGTACTGCGCGTAGCTGAGGCAGGGCGACCAGACTGCAGAGCCTGAGCCTCAGCGGCGACATCGAACGGATTCTTGAGGTTGTCATCATTGTCGCCGCCGTCTTCAACTGAAGTGGCGGGAGTGTGACTGCCAGAGGTGAAGGTCGAGTTGGTGCGGGACGATCGTGCCGTGCTTGGAGTGTCAACAGACGAAGCAGCAATGGAACTTGGAGCGCGACCTCGAGTTAGGCGTTTCAGAACAGGTGTTTCTGGCTGAATAAAGATGCCCTTTTCGTCATCAGAAGAGATCACAATGAAATCTTTGCTCGGGGTGGGCGCAGCCGACTGCCGAGATGAGCGACGAGGCGGCATTGCGACGTGAACTGCGGTGCTGATAGGGATGATCTAGGTCAAACGTACGGGAGATGAGGGAGCAGAACGAGCTGGGTTATGCTGAAGGAGTAGGGTGGCAAGGTCAAGAATAAGAAGAAGGATGAAACCAGGTCGAAGCATACCCAAACCTTGTGGAATCGACTCAGCCAAATTTCGCCACCAGTAGGGAAAGACGCGCCAAATTCCTAATCGAGGCAGCAGAGCAACAGATTGCGGAAACTGAGCTTTGTGTGTGTATGTGTGTGTGTATGTGTGTGTGTCTGTGTGTGCGCTGTTATGAAATTGTGACATCTGTGCTGCACGCTTGGCTTGCCCTGCATTGCACTCTGCAGAGAGCTAGCCGCGGAAGACTCACAAAGCGCTTTCAAAGCATTCAATTTTTTGCCAGAATTTCTGGCCAATTTTTTCAATCAATTTACGCGACAAGAAAACAGATTTCTTTTCCTGTGTTTGACACGCAAGACGCGCTCCTCTCAAACTCAAGTCCGCTTTCTATGCTGTGTGAAGCGAAGCCTCTTCGACCTGCTCAAGATTCGAGGTGATGAGGAGGTTCACCGCTTTCATCTGCTATCACACCTAAGCTACTCGGTTCTGGCGACGGTTCAGACAGACCATACACAGGGATGATACAAGTTTTCGTGATGAACAGATTGAGATTTGGTCAAAATCCAGCCTTCTAATGATCATTCCAATAGACAGGCACACCATAGACAACAGTGGCAGCGCCAGTGAGGTAAGGCAATCTGCAGTCATTGCGGCTTTCAGCGACGGCACGAGCAAGTGACATCTCGGTCGGTGGTCGACTTGCCTCTAGATTACCTTGGCTGTCCACTTTGATGTTGCGTGCCGATGAGCCAACCTGGCCACGTTCGCGAGCTTCCATCAATCCAAGACGACCAAAGACACCTTCGCACACCGAGTCGAGCTCTCGGTCCGTCATGTCCCACAGGTTGCCGACCATGGCGGGTGCACCGGCGCACATGTAGTTAAGCGGTGTTCCAGTGGGATCAAAGTCGCCGTTGTCTTGAAGCTCAGCCGAAGAGCAGCCCCAGAGCATGGTGACGGCGCATCGTTTCAGTTCGCGAATTCTGGATGAACGAATGAATTGCTCTGCACCACCGTGCCCGAAGTAAAGCACCAGATCTGACGAGGAAAGCGCACCTGGCAGCTCATCCACGATGGGTTGTCGACCGATGATGCCCTTCCATCCGTGCGTCGCACCCCGCCCTTCAAGCCACGGCTGGAACCGACTTTGGCTCTGCTGCAAATCTCCGCTCGGATTGAGAAGATAGAATGTCTTGCGCTTAGACATGCTGAAGAGCTTGCCGTTGCGCAACGCTACTTGCCACGCTGACATCTTGGCTGCATCGTCCAAGCCATCCTGCTGCGTAGCATTCCTATTCTTGCCGACCAATGGTTGTCTCGCAGTTTGCGAGGCTTTTGTGGGCGAGCGCGAGCGCGATCGAGAATGTGCTTGCTTGCCCTTCTGTAGCGGGCTCAACTCGTGGTCATCCATATCGACATTCTCCTCCTCATCCGCATCGCCTGCGTGGCAGGAGATCTTGGCCATCTCGATGCGATCTTGAAGAAATGCCATCGACGGGATACGACTGACGGCTTTGCCACGTAGGATCGGCATTGACTCCCAAGGGAAGATCGAAGCGTCCTTGTCGAGCACCAAGAAGATATGATGATCTTGCACCTCTTCCTCCTCATCCACTGCGACGTAAGCCATGCTGGTCTTGTTCGGCGATGACTGCGCCTTCTTTCCGTGGAACTCTTCTAGAGCTCCGCGCAGGTCCATCGCCGTCTCGTCCAGATCGATCTCATCCACTGCCACCTGAAAGCCGCTGAACTGTAATGCATCCATGACATAGTGCACCAGGTCCTCCAGATCCTCATCTGTACAGTCGGCGGGAAGACCTGCAAAGCACTCAAAGACAGCGTCGTCCAACTTCAGCTTACTTGGCCGCTTGTTGGCAGTCGGGAAGCAAGCACGGCGAACGATCTTCTCGAATCTAGCTCGTAGTGCCGTGTTGGCTCGAGCATCCGACGTAGGCTCCGAGAAGACGCCCTTGAAGCCGCCAAGCCATGTATCTTGAATGCCTTGGAGCAGGTCTCGCAGCTCGTCGTTGATTCGCTGTCTTTCACTCCACCACTGTCGTCGTGCCTCAATGCTCTGCACCTCCTTCATGCCGTGAATGCCGTCGTTGCTGAGACGCACGAGCTCAATAAGCTTCTCCTGCGCCGCCTTGAGCGTCAGCTCCTCCTCCTCCTCCTCCGTGCCGTCTCTTTGACTGCGACGATTCATTGGCAGGCTGTACAATACCGCCTCCTTGGCACTGCAGCCGTCGATGCCGCCACCGCCGTCCTGTCGCGTCAGAACGAGATTCTGATTGTCAGTATGTCGGATCGTGATCGAGATGACAGTCCAATTGCGTGGAAGCAGATTCTTGACGGAAGCAGGATCATGCTGTGCTTGCTGATGGCGCGCTAGAACGGACTGCCAAAAGGCGGACAGTGGGCTCGCCGATGGGGCGATTGGTTCCTTAGAGATGCGCTTGGTCTTGTTCAGCGAAAGTTTAGCGAGGCGACTTGGTAGCGCTTCTTCCTCGTCGTCCTCAGAGTCACCATGACTCTCTTCAACACGTCCCCGCACCATAAGTGTGCCTCTGGCATTAATCTGATCGTCGCCGCCCAGGCTCGGCCATTCCTGGTCATCCACTGCGAAAGTCTGAGGCTTCAACTTCGCAGAGACGGAGGTCAGCAAGGTGCGGCGGACGGACACGCTCGAAGCCCAGTCAAGCAATGCAGCAGCAGTGTTGGCTGCCATCTTGATGTTCCTACCCAAAGCTGCCTGCGTAGTGTAGACTTGTGCGAGACTGGCGAATGCTTCACGCAACACGAGCGAGTGCGAGTGCGATGTTCCCAGAGAAAGCGCTTCACGGAAGGCCGAGTCCGCCGGCGTCAACATGCCGAGCGCCGTCTTGACGGTCTCTTCCGAGATGGCCTGATTCGAGCCTGGTATGGCTGCAAGTGTGCGTACGCTGACCGAAGGGACCATAGGGATTGAGATGGCAGCTTCGGGAAGCATACTGAAGAAGTGGTCGTCTTTAAGATGCTCGAGTGCCCTCCGCAGTGAAATTCTGCCCTCCAAGACGAACTGATCAACACGAGTGTCGATGCTAGACAGCCCATCCTTAACAAAGGCTGCTTTCTCAGCGACCTCTTCGCATTTTTCGGAGTCGCCCATCAGGTGCAAAGTCCAAGCCTGTTTCTGCAAGAGTCGCAATTGCAGATCGGGAAGAACCGCCTCAATGCTCGAGCCATTGCTCAGTCTGGCACGCATCTGTGCAGCAGGCAAAGTTGTGCTGGACTTTCTGCGGTGATGCATTTGAGCCTTGGGCGAAGGCATTGCGACCTCAGTATCGGCGAAAGCCGTGCTGAGCGATCGGAGTGTGGCCTCGCCAGCGACATAGGAGCGAAGTGCCTCGCCGAGCTGCTCGATTCGCATGAGGCAGTCGCCCTGGACAGAGGACAGCGAGATGGCTTCCGGGATCCAAGTGTCTTGCAGGATCTTGAGACACCGGGACAAGTCTTGCTGACCCCGCTCGGTCTGGTTGAGTTGGAGTCGCAGCTCGCCACGATAGATGAGAGCACAAGCAAGCGGCAAAGCAAAGCCCATGCTAGTGGCAAAGTCGATGCCTTCACTTGCAAAAGCCTCGGCATCAAGGGCCGTGCCGCGAACGCTGTGCAACCTGCTGAGGCGCATATACGCGTCCATCAAAGCGCTACTGGCTCTCCAGAAGAAGCTGGTGAACGTAGGTCCGCAGAACTTGGGAAGCTCCTGCTGCTCTTGTTCTTGTTCTTTGCTCTTTTGCTTTTTCGTCTTGTCGATTAATTCCATCACAACATCACTCGAGGGCGCCGGTGGATCAGAAGAAGCTGCTTGAATCTCGTCGGAGTCATGTGTTTGTGTCTTTTGCGCAATGCGGGAGAGGAGGGTGCAAAGACGCACAAATTGGCGCACCGCCAAGTTGGTCGACTCGAGGCTGGATGCGAGGTCACCTCGTGCCAGTTGCAGACGGGCGCAGACCGCGAAGGCCACTGCTTGCTTGTCTTTCTGTTCGAGGCGTTCCATCGTGTTGAGGCTCGTTTTGTCACTTCTGCTTGGTGTTTTGGCAAGCTTGAGTGCATCACTGAACCGCGCCTGTGCACCAACAAGGTCACGCTCATGACAGAGAAGCTCTGCTTGCACCATCAGGCATCGGAAGCGAATGTTTTGCGACACTAGCACCACTTTGTTCGTGGGAAAGCTTGAGATCTTGCCCTCTGAAAAGACGTTGAGAGCAGATCTTAGAACGGTGTCCGCCCGGCTGATCTTGCCGAGGCCGAGATAGGTTTGTGCGAGGTCGGCAGATGCACGACAAAAGACCTCTTCGGACCCTGGCGCCACTGGGCTGCCGTTGCAAGTTGCCTGACGAACAGCTCTGAGAATCTGGATGCTGCAATGAGTCAACGCAAGAGCAGAGAAAGCCTCGTGGAAGGTTAGGAGAGACTGAAAAAACTGATGCATTCGGTCGAGATTGCTGACACGAATGCTTGAGGTCGTCTGGGGAGATTGGCGAGTCGTAGAAAATGTAGACGTGCTGAAAGCAAGCTTGCCAGTCTTGGAGGGCGGCGTCTTGGGCTCAGCAGCAGGCGTCGCTGCAGCTTGAGGAGGAGCCGAGCGCTGTCCAAGTGGTTTACGTGTCGAAGTAGCAGATTTGGTAGAAGCAACTGCCGTTCTGCGAGAGGCACTAATGACGGTTGGTGTCACTGAAGCCGTCACTGCTGCTGCTTTGGGCGAAGTGCGCGACGCTTGTGGCGTGGCTGGTTCCTTGCAAGATGCAACCAGAGCGGAAGCGAGACCTTTGCAGGCGTCTTCCACTCTGGTCATCACAGCTTGGGGGTCCTCGAAAGGTTTGCGCAAGCGAAGATGCAGGGCAGTTGATAGTAGTACGGAAGTGCGATACTGCGGTAGGAAACGACGCAAACCTTCGTCTTGCTCGAGTTGTTGGCGGTCGAGGCAAGCCGTTGCTTCTTCTTCCATCTGAGCGACACGTTCTTCCGAGAGCTGCAGCGTGTGTGACAACACATCCACCTCCAGTTGTTGGGCTAGTGTCCTTGCGCGACGAAGTGGGAATGCGTCGGCGTCGTAGATCTGCAGTAGCGCTCGATGAACGTTCGACAACGCCTTAGCTGAACCTGAAAGATGCGAGCGCTCACCCAGGAAGTGAGCTGCTTGCTCCAGGATGGCACCTTTGACGCCTGGTTCGAGCTTCGTGCACCTCAGCAGCCAGTTGGTCATGCTGTGTTCCTGATCGTTCAAGTCGAGGTCATAGGAAAGTTCATGAACGGAAATATCGACGACAGCTTTGATGGCGTTGTTGAGGACCTTCAATTCTGCAAACTTGAAACACTCGACGATGCTGTCGTTGCCAGCGAGTTGAGCGATTTGCTCTTGGACAGCAGGCGTAGTCCAAAGCAGCACTTGCCTGAACGTCTGCAACGCTTCCAGCTTCGAGCCAGCGAATCGGTATGACACCGCGGTGTAGCTGAGTTTCTTGCTGAGCTCTCCTTGCCGTTGAGCCAACTTTTGCTCGAGCTCCTGCTGAGTAGCCGGCGATAACGAGCTGTCACAAGCAGCTTGCTGAAATAGTTGTATCGAATCGTGGTCACAGTCGGCAGCAAGACGGAGGAACTCGACAGCTTCGACGTAGTTTGAGGCGTTGTAGAGAATACCTGCAGGATTTTGGAAGCTGCTGCTGAGGAGACGAAGTTGTTCCGAGAGCGTCTCCCTTGGCAGGGATTGGGCCAGGTCGCTTTGCAGCAAGTCCCGACCTTTCTTCATCTCGTTAAGTGCTTCGTCGCGGGCACTGCGCGACGACATCAAGAAGAGCTTGTTGCCGAGCACTCTCAAGCCGTAGATGATGTCCGTCAGGCAGGCTTCCTTACTTGGGAGGCTTACGGTTCGCGCTGGTGTAGACTTGTGATTGGAAAACAGATCTGCCGAAGGGGATATGTTGGAACACTTGCATAGGCTGGTCAAGAGCTTAAAACAGGCGCGTGCGAGTTGGTCGACATTTGCTGGCGCTGTAGTGTCGGGCTTCGGCTGACCTTTGCTGTTGGTGCCTTGGTGGCCCAATTTGCCGCAGCAACGACGGTAAAGCTGATCTAGAACACGATATAGCTTGAGTTGTGATGCCATCGATACGGTGTCAGGCCAGGTGCCAATTTGGAACTCCAGGATTGAGGCAGCATCGTCGAGCTTGGCTTGCGTATCTGCTCCACAGGTGCCTGCCAGAATCTTGTCGAGCGTAAGTACGCTGCCGGTGAGAATCGCACAGAAACGGACGATGTCTTTGTCATTGGTTTGCGAAATCGTAGCCGGTGCTGGACTTGCTGAGCTTGCTTCTGGGTCGGTCACATCCAAGTCCTGTGATGCGATAGGAGAATCTGCTGATCGAGCATCTTTTCTCCTTGCGTCATTTGTGTCGGCACCCGCCATCGCAGCGGCGGCGCGTTCTACGCCAGCTGCGCTTCCAGCTTTCCGGGCGATGTTGAGCCAGAGCTCGCAGAAGCGCTGGAATCCCTCGCCTTGGATCTTACTGCTTACCTGTGAGTTGTCCATGGCGTTGGCGGCTGTGGCTAGGATCATTTCGAAAGTGTCTTGAACGACATCGTACGTGGCTGCAATGTCTTGACCCGCGTTCTGAGCCAACTTCAGCACGGACGCTCCAGCACGGGCGACACGCTCCCAAAAGGCAGAAAGGTCGATGTCGCTGACTTGGACGAGCATTTGCAAGGCAAGCGTGCGCAACGGAAGGTAATCCTGACTGTGTGGCGCTTCTAGACGCTGCAAAGCCTTGGAAATGGCACGTTCGATCGAGAATGCAGCGCGATCCAGACTTCGAAGTTCACCTCCATGGCGTCGAGCGTACATTTGCCAAGCTAATGGGCCGTTTTCGTGATTCAAGTCTATCAAGATGGAATCAAGTGACGACAAAGATGCAGTTTCAAGGGCATAAATTGCGCTGCTGCATTGTAGATTGACGAGGAAAGTGATGCGTGTCGGTAGAGGCTCTGACGTAGCGGAAGCGTCATCAGGTATTGGCGGAAGCAGCATGTTTGAAGCCACGATTTCGCAGCCGAAGCTGTTCCCGTCTGTTCCTGCTGTGATACGTCCGAGGTAGCAGCAGTCTGCATGAGCAGTCTCGGCGAAACCCAAAGCTTTGATTTTGTTGCAGGAGCGAAGAATGACGGTTTCGACTTCGAGCTGCTTCTGCTTTGCCGAGCTCACATCGCGGGGAAGCAGCAGGAAGCGCGTCGCGATGCGGAAGGTTTTGATGGCTGAAAGAACGTGAGAGGATTCACTCGGAGTTTCGACAGTAGCAGTCGACCAGCTTGAGCTCGTGAGGTTTGAGAGAAAAGCAAGACTAGCGTTGACAAGCTGCTTCGAGAAGTAGACGCTCCGAGCAGACGAAAGCTTCTCTGGAGCAGTCGCGAGGTTCGGAGAAGAGCCTATCTCAGTATCGAGCTGGAGCGTGTCGGCTGTTGTCCCCAGCTGGAGCAGCACGTAGTGGGGCAGGGACAACGGAAAGGTCTTAGGTTTCGCAAGCGCTTCGAGAATCTCCGCTTCAGTCCAGGTCTCCTTAACGATTGTTGCTGGTGCCCTCTTTGGAGCTGGTACAGCATTGACGGAGGAAGGCATCAGAGCTGTTCGAGCACGAGCAGATCTAGCCGTTGAAGGGCCGCTCATGCTTGTCAAGGAAGATGGCCCGCTTGCTGGTGTGATGGGGGAGCTGAACGCAGTGCGAGAGGAAGCGGTTGTGGTGGTGGTAGTGGTGGTGGAGCTAGCTCGAGTGGAAGAAGACGCGGAGGCTGTGGACGTCGAGCGTCTCGAAGCTGCTGAAGACGTCGCTTTCGTTGTTCTCGATGCTGTCGTGGCTGAAGTCGTACGCGAAGTGCCTGTCACCGCGGTCTTCGTCGTTGCTGTCGCGGACGCTACTGGCCTTGCTGAGGTTGAAGCACTGACGGCACTTCTTTTTGCCGCTGTCCGGGTCTTTGGCAAAGCTTTTGTGGTGGCAGCAGGTGTAACAGCTTTGCTGATCGCAGGTGTTGCCGAAGCTACCCTGGCTGGCATGGCGATAGTTTATTGTTGGGGGAGTCCAGCGAAGAAAGCTTTTTAGGAACGCATCTGCGTAGCCTACGTAGCAGCTGTCGTGATGGCGGGCACAGATGAGTCGACGTTGAGCTGAAGGCGAACAGAAGAGGCCGATATCGAAGTGAAAAGAAAGGTGAAGGCAAGTCAAGAGGAGGTAAGGCGTCGTCGGCTTAAGTTACACAACACATAAGGAAAGAGACACACAAAAATGCCTTCAGGCTCTGTCACGTCACCGAGCAAACGCGGATGCACCGTGTTGACTCACGTGACTTCACCCAACTAACATAGGAAATAATGCGACCAGAAAATCCCAAAGCTCAAATTCCGAAACAGCAACACGCCGTCTTTTTGGAACTGCTTATTGTAATGTGAAGAAGTTTTGTCCCGATAACTGGCGATCGGGGAGAGTCTGAGTACGATGTCCTATTGTTTAAGGGCAGAAACATATATACTCGATTGACTGAGTGAACGTGGTGAAAACCTAGTGTTCTCAGCTTGATATATACATCTATGAGGTACATGCCGAATGTGGGAGTATCCTACTTCATGGTCTAGCTTGACAACGAGCAGGACCGTGTTGTACCCGATCTCTGGACGGATCTGCTCCGTCAGATCCCCGATTACGTTTATGTCAGCATGTATCATCATATTGGATCGCTTCCTTCGGCAGCATTTTGACAGTTGTCTGTGTGTTGCATGCACAAGCCAGACGGAAAGAAAGCTCGTTCAGGGTTCACTCTGTTGGTTCCAGGCGAAAGAGCCGATCGAAGAAGGAAGTCTCGAGTTCAGACTCACGACCTTGTATCTCTCTATCTTCACCACAAGCTCTGTCATCCCTCAAGGCAAAGCGACAGGCCACAGGCTATACGTAGTACGCACGAGCGAGTGCATCGCCACTGACATCATCCTTTGGACGTGGCGCTCGCGATGCTGGCTCACTGAACACTGAACAACAACGAGTTGGCTCGGACCGCTTCTGGCCGCTATTTGCACTTGATAGCACCCTGCACGCCAGCTCCACGCTGATACGGTCACCTTCACAGCGCTTCCATATTAACACACGCCTTTGCTCAGCATGGCCAATCTCGGCCTTGAGATAGCCTTACACTATGTCGATCACCGATGCTCGCGATGGTACCGCCGCGGCTGAACTAACGGCGGCGATAGCAACGGCAACAAACAAGAGCGGCAGTGGCTACTGCGCGTTTTGCATGCTTGCTGAGTTCGATATCGATCGCGGATCTACTCTATCGCACCAGTACCCTGCCCCGACCGGCTATGACGAGCACATGCTGGCGGAGCTCATGCTCCCAGATGGTGTCCATGCAAGAACCGAAGATTGGACCTTCTTCTTCCTTAAGCCGCCAGGTACACAGCGCCCAGCACTTCGAGATGCTGCCGAAGACGACGCAACCTCGCAATCACACGCTTCCACCGTTCCTTCTTCATGGCTGTCCCACGATCTGACGTACGTCATCAATCTTGTACGCACCAAGCACGACAACTCGGTCCGTCGTGGAGCCATGGTCAAAGCCATGGCTATCGGTACTCGGCATCCTTTCATCGAGATTTTTAAGCCCGCCCTTTTGCTCGCCCTTGACGACTACTTCAAGGAGCCCGGACTAGACTGTCTTGCCCGGCTGTACGAATCGATTAATCGTTTGGATTTGTCCGCGGCACCATCATTCAGTCGCGCCGAGAAGCTTGTTCTTCGTGGCTCGGATCGACGCGATCTGTTCGAAGAGCGCTTTGTGGCTGCGTCTCGCAACGAGCTCGAAGCTAACGCAGCAGCAACAACTGGCACAGCAGCAACGTCAACAGCATCGACGGCCGCACCAACGACACCAAGCGAGGAGATCGAGACAGCGCACTCATCACCAAGCAGCGTTGGCGGAGTCGAGATGATACGGCGCCGTACAGACAGCACATCGACTTTCTCATCCGAGACCAAGTCGCTCAAGAAGAAGCTTAGCGCAGCATCGCTTCGGCCCGCACTAGGTGCACGCAGGGCATCCACAGCTAACTCCGTTGCTGGCATGGCCGGCTCACAAGGCAGGAGGTCTATATCGACTTCAACAAGTCCGCTCCCCGGCGCGAAACCTCGTGATACTCACTTCTTCGATTCCGTTCTGACGTATCGCTCAGTACCATTGCCTATTCGTGTCCCGCTGACAACGTTCCCCGAGGAAGTAGGCGAGTACTCGTTGATCAAGCTCATTCAGACCTTCTCGGGCCCTCAATCAACCCCCACGGGTCCGATCCATCCTCACTTGCACACTAACGGTCCATTGACACATCCGATCATCGTTCTATTCAACGCCCTCGTCACGCAAAAGCGCGTTATCTTTCTGGGATATGGTCAGCCGGCGAACCTAGTTTCCAGCTACGTGCTTGGCGCTTGCGCACTCGGCTCGGGATGTGGTGTTGTGCTGCAAGGCTTCGCAGCAAGAGCGTTCCCGTACACCAACCTGCTCAATCTAGACGACCTTGAAAAGGTGCCAGGCTACATTGCTGGTGTCACCAACCCACGGTTTGAGGACCTGCATGCATGGGATCTCTTGCTCAACGTCGAGACTGGTCGTATACAGGTGGCTAAGGATATTGCTCCTGCTGCATCGCCCGCGAGTGGACCTTCACAGTCGCTGCTGCGGTCCGCGACTATGCCGCGTGAAGGCGTGGGCGCTGTCTCTGCATCAACTACATTTGGGAGCGTCTCTTCTGCCACGAGTCATGATCTGAAAGCAGCTGCTGATGCCGAGCTTGCGCAGTTTGGTGCTTTGCCGACAAATGCTTCTGGAACCGTCAGCAGCTCATCTATGCCGAGCAAAGGCTCTAGTCTGGGCGGCGCATCAGCCCGCGACCGCTCCAACACTGCTCAACAAGATGCTCGCGGCGACCCAAGCAACACCTTGTTTATGGAGGAATTGCAGAATGCTATTGCTGCGCACTTTGGCGAGCGTTTCATCCGATCGCGCGTCCAAGAATACGTCTCCCTTTTTGTTCAGCGTGTTGCTCGGCACGAAGAGCATTTCTATGGCCGCACATCGCTTGCGCCGACATGTCAGCCTTTCTTGAACGGCCAGCTTGGGTCAGGGCCGGTCTACGTGGATCGTGATGCGGAGATGCGCGAGATTATCTCGAATCAGATGCGGATCGAGGGTTTTCGTTCGACCATCGCGTACCATTTGCTAGCGGAAGAGCTGCAAAAGTACGGAGGCTATACACAGGCGATCCGAAACTTTGATGTTGCGCATCAAATTGGTCGCTTGAGGAGGGCAAGGAAGCTGTTACCGAGAGAGTCGGATTTGATCTTTGAGATGATTGCAAAAAGTGTGGTGACGCACGATCAGATCATGGAGGTGTTGGCGCTGCTACCACCACATACTGGCGGGTTGTTGCCGTTGGCGCTGGGGCTGTTCCATCCGTCGCAGGCGGCGAGGGATTCGGTGGTGGACTTCTTCCTGAGGCTCTGTAGGGACTCGGTCGGACGGAAGTTCGTGCAGAGTATGCATACTTTCCAGCGTCTGGCGTTTGCAAGGCTTGCGCAGGAAAGGGCTCAGCTCGAGATGAAGACTGCGCAAGAAGGAGATGCAGAGGTGCAAGAGATCAGCTTGAGGGGCTCGACTCAGGCGCCTGCGTCAGGGTCGCTACCTTCGAGTCAGGCCGTCGATACAGATGGCTACGGAGAGATGCGCTCGCCGACGGATCGTACTTCTTACTCAACGCCGGCTGCGCCGGAAAGAGAGCATGCTGGAGACGCGTCAAAAGCGTCGGCTGATGAGCTATCGTATATGTCAAGTCTTCGCAACATGAGCCATCCCTTCAAGTCGTTCGGTCCTGCAAAGGAGACCGCTTGGACCTCGTCCAAGAAGACGGCCGAGGCTGAGACAGTGGCGCAGAGCCACGCTGGAGCCTGATGCATCCACTTCCTGATGTCGATTCCTGTACTCATATGATACCCTGCTCTCGTTCTGCAGTATATCTTAGCTCAGCCATCTGGGAGTGTGTGTGTCTGTGTGTTGAAGAAGACATCGACAGTAAAGGATGAGAGGTTTTCCATTAGTGATGTTTGATCGACAATACTAATTTGACCAAATTTTCCGGAACTCGGGCTGTGGAAAAACAGAAGCATTTCAACTTGATTCCTCGTACCAACACTCCACCATCTTCGACAGACACACGACCACAACTCTATCTTGCAGCTTCTGGTCAGGATTGTAGAGGCACGATGGTGTCGACAGAAGAGGTAAGCCACCATACCTAGCACTGGTCGACCCATATTTGTTGCATGAGCCATGACTGACTTTATTTTCTTCCTCTTCGTATCATCTACAGGAGCTCAAGCAAGCTCTAACCACACTCTCTAAGCTATCCGACCTCAAGACCCCAACTGACGATGAAATTCACACACCAGAGTCCCGTCAGCAGGCGTTTCAGCTCCTTACCGCCTCTACACCGCTCTTCTCGACCCTGAAACGACTCAATCGCATAATCTACACCGATGTCCAGTCGCAAAAAACTCGCGTTGCCGAAGAACGTTCCAAAGTAGATATAGCCCGACTAGCCCTGCAGAACTTGAAGTACGAAGAAGCAATGCTCGAACTTGAAGTCAAAGTCTGTCAAGAATTCCAGTCCATCTTCCAAACAATACCCCTTCACTCCCTGGAGGAGTTCAACACTTTACGGAAGAGTTTGGGTGAGGAGGAAGGAGACGAAGAGGAGGGGGAGCAAGATGATCACAAGTTGATGTTAGCAAGGTTGAAATTTGAGCTGAAGGAGAGGAAGAGGTTGGAGACGGAGAAACAGAAGTTGCAGCAAGATAAGACGGAGGTGGCGAGGGAGAATAAGGAGAAGAAGGTGAAACTGGAGGAGACGGAGAAACAACTGAAGGATTTGTTGGCTGCTGCGCTTGCCGTACAAGCTAAGCTCGAGAGCTTTTAGAGTGATGCTCGCCTATCCATTGTACAGCGATCTCCGTTCATTGATGAAGGTGATCCTGGACTCGTCGATCTCAGCAAATGTTTTACTTTGTCAAAACGCGGAAGCTAAACGATATTCTCGACCTCAAGAAATGCTAGCCTTCCGTCTTCTGACGGGACCTTCCATCATGGTCTCCATCATAACAAGGCTTGCCTCCGTCAGGAGCCGGAAGCCCCCTCACGATCGCCTTGTTCACGAACGGCGACCGTCACCAAGAAGGGAGAACTTCGTCACGTCACCTACCTAGACTCTCGCTAGCCTCGGTAGACGAGCGGAAGCTCTATCCATCCGTTCAATCCAACGAACACTGTCCCCCCGTCAAGCTTTAGAGTCTCTCTCCAGCTTTGAAACGCGCAAGACCTGCGCACGCATACCCTGTATTTGTACGAACACACTGAATCAATCACAGATCGACATATTATCTGTGCGAGTGTGAAGGATTGAATCTTTTCCGGTGACTGATTATTTGATAAAGGTGCCTAGTCAAAGCCAACGCTTTTTCGTACCTGAGCCATCGTCCGTTGTGCAACTGTCTGTGCCTTTTCCTTGCCAAGTTGTTCCATTTGCTGCAAATACCCTGGATCGTTCCTTAATTTCTCTAGCTTGACTTGTATCGGTCTCAAGGTCTCCACCACGACTTCTGTTAGCGTTGCTTTGAGATGCTGACCTGAAGAAGCGCCCGTAGCCTCGATCTCTGCATTGAGTCTTGCAGCCCATTCTGATGGCCCTCCCTCCTCCCCTGCCTCCGTCTTTGAATTAGAGCTGTCGGCTGGCTTCAGAGCAGCCAGAATCGACAGCAGATTACTTACTCCCGGCCGATTCTGTGGACTGTAAGCTAGTGTTCTTTCTGCATCAGTGACTGCTTTCTTGATCTTCCTCTCTACTTGTTCCGGCGTATCGGTGATCAATATTCTCGAATTGACATCCGGTGCGCTCTTGGACATCTTACTTGTCGGATCTCTTAGCGACAAGACCCTCTTCGTCGGAGTGCTTATATGTGCTGGTAGCGGAAAGAACTTGTTGCTGCACTTTCGATTGTACACATCAGCCAAATCTCTACTCAATTCCAGATGCTGTATTTGATCTTCTCCCACCGGCACATGGGTTGCTTTATACAACAGGATATCTGCCGCCTGCAATACCGGATACGCAAACAATCCCAAGCTGAGGTCTTTATCATCCACCTCGCTTCTCTCTGCAACATTCTTCGCTGTGGCGATTTTGGATTTCCAAGTGGTCATGCGGTTGAGTTTGCCAAACGAAGTGATGCAATTCAGGATCCAAGCCAGCTCGGTATGTTGTGGCACCTGGTCTTGGTGGAAGATAGTGCATCGGTGTGGGTCAAGACCGATGGCCAGGAGGGTCGCCATCATTTCTGATCGTTCTGTGCGAAGACGAGAGGGCTGTTGAGGCATGGTAATGGCATGATAGCCGACGATGCTGAAGTAGAGTTCGTTGGAGGTGGAGAGGGAGGCGTTTTGGAGGTCGACCCAGTTTCGGAGTGCGCCGAGATAGTTACCGAGATGAGGAATGCCCGTGGGTTGAATACCGGAGAAGATCACTTTTGGTCGAGGCTTTGGTGCGGCTTGTGGTGAAGCAGAGGAGACAGGGCTATCTTGTGGTGCTTTCGAAGTGGAAGCGAAGGCTGAAGATGGTGAAGTGGACAGGCAGCGAGGTTGAGCTCGACTCGCCCTCAAAGCATCAAGAGCTCGACGCCGCATAGGGGATGACAAAATCGTTGTAGATAGAGATGCGAGTGCTGGGAGCTGGAGGTGCAAGCAAGGCCTTCAAGAGGTTTTGGAATGAGAAGATGTCGAAGGCCATGAAATTTGGTGTCCGAATCCCGAGGTGGAGGCGAAGGCCAAAAAAATTAAGGATCTTCGTGTTAACTCTAGAAATCTAACAGCAGCAGTAGTCGCTTTGAAAATGCCTGGCACCCTCGAAAGCTGCAGTGGTAGAGACCCCATTGATCAGCATGCACAGCATGCTTGCACATCGCTGCTTCAGGGCTGCAATCGGCCCTGGCACTGCCAATCAGGAGGAATATGAATAATCTAATGTTCTTAGGACAGGACGACGGCTTGACATTGTTGCTCGAAGTGAGTGTGGTGAGAAATCCATAGCTTATCAGAGCAGTTTCCGGTGAAAGGGAAGCGGAGACACTCTGAGTAGTTAGAGCTGCAACGGCGATGAGCGGTGTAGCACAAAGTCAGTCTACCTTCGGATCGCGAGACCTGACAGACGGGACACCGAACCCGCCAGTCTTATCGAGACTGAGGTCAGCTGGCTTAGCCCTGACTGGTCTGGTTGCCACAAAGATTGCGGAGTTGGAAAGGCCACCCGGTTTGCCACTCACTCGCTCATTGCGCATTTTCCAGTTCGCTTCGCTCTCACTGCTGCATTGCGGTAGGCGCTTCAACAAAAGCCACAGACGTCGATCGAATTGGGAATAGAACTGGGCAGAAGAGCAGTCTTGCTGACTCTGTCGTCTTGCGACAGGGATTGAGTAGGATGTCGTGCTAGTGAGGGAATGTGACTTCTAGTCCGATCTCACACTGACGCCAACTTGGCTCTACTCGGATATGTATCATGCCGGTTAACGAATACCATTACATAGTTGCCCCCGTCCTGTTTTAGCATCATATACTGGGCAACACATCTCTGTAACATACATGTATGCACAGAACGCTGGAACATATATATACTAGTCCTTATCCTGTGCTTAGTCCTCACATATCATCGCAATCGATACTTGTGATGATCGCAATTTGCTGTACATCCTACAAGAGTGCTCAATGCATCATTGATGGTCAATTGTTTTCATGGATGACGAGCTTGGTGAAAATGAACATTGCAGGCAGCAGATCCTCGCTTGGGGAGCCGGATTCATCTGGGCAAACTTTTGGTGCAGAGCTGCTGTGGAATGACGCCAGTCTGCTGCTTTCAAGGCGAGCGAGAAAAGATTATTATTATTCACGGGCGGCTTTTCTTAGGACTTTCAGACCCCGGCCCGCTCTCCCGTCAGTACGGCTGTTATGACCGCAGACAAAGCCACCCCCGCCCGCTAGCACAATGGAACTGCGGCCGCTTTCTGCTCGTCGGTCTGGCAGAAAATTGCAAAGTTTTCTGACGTCGGTTGGCAACTGATACTCGCGCTTTTCAACTTCAGCCGTCAGTCTCTTCGCATTGCGCAGTGCAGTGCTGTGCTGTGAGTGTGGGCAACCACAGGCAACGCCAATTGCACAAAAGGGGGAACCCTTCGCTGCAGGTGAAGTTGGGAAGGACCCTTTTTGCCTCTGAGCCGTTTCCGTTGCTGAACCGGTTGTCCACTTGTTGTTGATTGCTTTTGTTCAAGCCATGTGACCGGTGATCCTCCTCAACCCTGAAATGAAACTCAATGCATCGTCCGCACAGCTTTGACCACATTTGTTGTTCCAAGCACATCATCTCTGTTCAACCGGTTTTTGCTGAATGCAAGTATCTCGCCAGTCTTCAACGCTGCCTCGCTACCGTCTTTGTCGCCGGGATCGCCACTTGCGTACACGCCTGATTGAGTCGCTCTAGCGGATCACGCTAAGATTGTGATTGTTCCTGGTGTTAATGTGGTCAAGACCCTCCGAGCCTTCAGAACCCACGCTTCGTCTGTGCGATCTACCTTTCTAACCATATCCACCTCTCGCCGCCAGCGTGATCGAGCAAGCATCATTTCAACCTCCCCTTCTACATCAAATCTGAATATGTCCGCGGTCGGACAACTCAACGAGAAGGAGGCCCAGTTGCCTCCTCGTCCCGAGTCGAATGGCTCGTCATCCGATGATCTCGAACGTTCACCAAAGCCCTTCAAGAAGGAAGGCGATGCAACCGATGATATTGTAGAAGTCAGCAGCAACGCCGACTCCGAGGAAGCCCTCGCCGCCGCTCGTGTCAAGCAGGCACAAGAAGGTGGTACCATTGTTTACCGTACACTCTCTTGGCAAAAGGCAGCCATTCTCCTCTTCACCGAGTACGTCTGTCTCGCAATCTTGTCCTTCCCATGGGCTTTCTCCTACCTCGGTATGGCCGGTGGTCTCCTCGCCACTTTCGGTATCGGTCTTGCCGCTCTATACACGTCTCTCACTCTCTGGAGATACTGCCTCCGCCACCCTCATCTCCTCAACATTTGTGATATCGGATACCAGATCTTTGGCAAGAGCAAGATTGCATACGAACTCACTGCTCTTGCGCTCATTCTCAACAATGTCTTCATCATGGGTCTCCACACGCTCACTGGCTCCCAAATCCTTAACACCCTCTCAAACCACGGTACCTGCAGTCTCGTCTTCTCGCTCGTCATCATGATCCTCTCGATCATCCTTACCCTACCAAGGAAGCTCGAGCAGCTCACCGGGTTCGGTATTGTTTCGGCAATCTCCATGTTTATTTCGATTATGCTTGTCATGATTTTCACCGGCATTCAAGGTCCCAACCCCGCCGTCAAGGACTTCGACGAGCCCGTATTCATCACTGCGTTTGCTCCCAAGGGCACCGGCTTCGTCAACGGTTTCTCTGCCGTATTGAATATAATCTTCACATGGATCGGTATTTATCCAGATAGGCCTCTCCTCCGTCTCAGCATCATCCATAGACTCGCCAAAACCAGCGATGGATGGTGTTGTTTCAGCATCGCAAGGAAAGGAGCAGTTTACTGACATCGTTTTTTTTTTTGTTTTTTTTTTGTTTTTTTTTTTTTTACGTGCTCTGCTGCCGCTTTTTTTTCCGTTCGGCCCTTTTCAACAGGGCACATCATGTACCCTACCTTCATCGCCGAGATGAAGGATCCTCGAGAGTTCCCCAAGGCTCTCTACGCCGTCACCGTCGCCGAGTTCGTCCTTTTCAGCATCACCGGTATTGTCGTTTACCGATACACCGGCCAGTACACCACAGCCCCTGCTGTCGGAACCCTTCGACCTGTCTTCAAGAAGATCGCTTTTGCTTTCGTCCTCCCCACTACTATCATCATCGGTGTCCTCTACGCTTCTGTTGTCGCCAAGTACTTGTTCTCTCGAATCTTCCTCGGCACAAAGCACTACAACAACCACACCGCCGTTGGTTGGGCCGGCTGGATTGGATGCGTCGTCGTCACCTGGGTTCTCGGCTGGGTCATCGGCGAAGCCATTCCCTTCTTCTCTTCTCTGCTTTCGTTGATGAGTGCCCTTTTCGACTGCTACTTCGGTTATGTCTTCTGGGCCTTCGCTTTCTTCGAGCTTTACAAGGGACAGCTTTGGGTCGGTCAGTCTTGGGTCAGAAAGATCGAAACCGCCTTTCAGTTCGTGCTCATTGCTGCGGGGCTTTTCATCCTCGGTCCAGGCCTTTATGTCAGTGTGCAGTCGATCATTGACAACTACGATACAGGCAGTGTCAAGTCGCCTTTCACTTGCGCTGATAACTCGCTTTGATCGATCGAGAGAAAGCTTCGATATGATGGTTTTTGTTTCTCTCTTCCCTCGATTCACGTTTTGGAACACTTGTCTCCCTTTTCAACGCCAAAATAAGGTGTCAGGTATTCCCTGCATTGTACATTATCACATTTGTCTTCGAACCAACATCATTTGCCTGCGATTGACGATGTGATATTGATATGACTTCCAGTGTCAGTGGGAGTGATGTCGAGCAGCGCGCTCCGTGGAGAAGCGGACTGTTAGATCCGCTAGTGAACAATGAGAAAAAATAAAAATCAATCCAAGTGGCGAACCCTTAATCTGAATCGGCACTGGAATGCTAAAGATAACGATCCAGCAGGAAGTCTAAGTAACGAAGGATCGGGCAAGATCGTTCTAGGACGTAATCGGGGAAAGCAGATCTGATCGTGGAACAAGCGGAGCCGATCTGACCAGAGATCGGATACAACACAGTCCCGCTCGTTGTCAAGCTAGATCATGAAGTAGCATACTCCCACGTTAGGTATGAAATGTATATATATCAAGCTGAGAACACTAGCTTCTCACCATGTTCACCAGTCAATTGAGTATATTTGTTTCTATCTAAAACTAGCAGTGACATCGTACTTAGACTCTACCCGATCGCCAGTTATCGGGACCAACCTTCCACATGGAATGGCCGGAAGTTTCAAGATTTTCACTGCAGCTCGAGCTCCGGCTGAGCACGGAATCGGGAGGCTTACGTGGCTACAGTAAGCAACAGCGCTCGACCCAGGAACTGCAAAGCATTCACTCCGATTTCTGTACATCTTCCCTTTGTTTCACCACACGGACTACACGTTCACCGCATAGACTCTCGTCCCTACAAGAACGGAGCCCACATCAGACTCTTTCGTACAGAAACGGAGCTCGATAGGCTCGCCCAGCACGACTCTCCTCATTCCCTTTCATTGTCCTGCGCACACCTCGTGGCTCCGTGACAGCTTTTTCATTTCACGCTGTCCAACCTTCGACTGCTGGCAACCCTCTTTCTCCTCTTACTCTTTCTGAGACCCGCCCATCGCTCCAACTCTTCTCTGCTTTCCTCCACAACAGCCAGCGGGGGGAATCAGTCCGGAGACGACACGCACTCCACTTGTATGCTGCCCCTTCGCCGTGCAGTAGTCCGCTCAGCTCTGCGGAACTCGTCTGCTGCTCAGCGCTCTCTCCTCATTGCTTCTTCTTCTCCCGCACGACCAGTCTCCGCTGCCACCTGCAAGCTTCTTCGTATTCCAGCAACATCCAACAGCGCCCGTCACATCTCCTCCGCTACTCTCCCTAGCATCAACAACAAGATGGTCGTGGCCACTTCTTCCACCACTGGCGTCCCTGGCTCGTCTCGCCAGCTTGCAGCTCCGGCATCGACTGCAGTGACGACGGGCACCGGCTCGTTTGAAGGCTTGCCAGCTGGCTATGAGATCCGCGATACTCTTAACGGCTCCCAAGCCGCAGCACCGTTCGCCGTCTTCACAAAGGACCTTGAGATCTCTGCTCAGGATGACATGCGCTACCGTCTCGTACGCCTTGCCAACGGTCTCGAGGCGCTTGTAATTCAGGACCCCAAGACAGACAAGTCCAGTGCTGCCATGGACATCCGTGTCGGTCACCTCAGCGACCCTGAGGAGCTTCAGGGCCTTGCTCATTTCTGCGAGCATCTCCTCTTCATGGGTACCAAGAAGTATCCCCGAGAGAACGAATACTCTGAATATCTCTCCAATCACTCCGGAGGCTCCAATGCATACACCGGCATGGACAATACCAACTACTTTTTTGATGTCTCTCCAGACCACTTCGAGGGTGCATTGGATCGATTCGCCCAATTCTTCCTGGAACCTCTCTTCGACTCATCATGCTCGGAGCGAGAGATCAAGGCTGTCGACAGCGAGCACAAGAAGAATCTCCAGAGTGACATGTGGCGCAGTTTCCAGCTCGACAAGACCTTGTCCGACCCTTTGCACCCCTATTCGCACTTTGGTACCGGCAACTACCAGACATTGTGGGAGGAGCCCAAGAGCAAGGGTATGGATGTTCGCGACGAGCTGCTCAAGTTTCACGACCAGTACTATTCGGCCAATGTCATGAAGCTTGTTGTTCTTGGCAGAGAAGACCTCGACCAGCTCACGAGCTGGGTTATCGAGAAGTTCTCGGGCGTCCGCAACACCGGTCGTGAGCCTCCTCTCTTCGACCGCAGCCCATTGACACAGGAGCAGCTGCAGAAGCAGATCTTTGCCAAGTCGGTCAAGGATGTTCGCAAACTCAAGATTGCGTTCCCCATTCCTGACCAAGGACCTCATTTCCGATCCAAGCCCGGCTCTTTCCTTTCCCATTTCATCGGACATGAGGGTGAAGGCTCGATCTTGTCGCATCTGAAGAAGAAGGGATGGTGTGACCGTCTATCTGCTGGTGCGACAGGCGATGCTAACGGTTTTGAGTTCTTCAAAATCTCGATCGACTTGACTCAGGAAGGTTTGAAGAACCACGAGAAGGTGCTCGAATCGGTTTTCAAGTACATTCACCTTCTCCGCAACAGCAACCTCGAGCAGTGGACTCACGATGAGGTGGCTCGACTCAGCGAGCTCATGTTCCGCTTCAAGGAGAAGATCGACCCTGCCGACTACGCTTCCAGCACCGCTACACAGATGCAGATGCCATACCCTCGCGAGTGGATCTTGTCTGGAGGATGGCTCATGCGTGATTTTGACCGCGATCTGATCAAGCACACCCTTGACCACCTCACTCAAGAGAATTGCCGTGTTGTTGTCATGGCCAAGACCCTCCCCGATGGCAGCACCTCGTGGGAGAGCAAGGAGAAGTGGTACGGTACCGAGTACTCGATCAAGCCACTTCCTTCTCAGCTCTTGACACAGAAGCCAAGCGAGTTTGAAAACCTGCGCTTGCCTCAACCCAACTCGTTCATTCCTGCCAATTTTGACTTTAAGGCTCCCTTGGCAGAGGAACAGGGTAAGAAGCCGACACCGCGACCTCAGCTTGTGCTCGACAACGACAGCATGCGTGTCTGGCACAAACTTGATGACCGTTTCGGCCTGCCCAAGGCTAACGTGTTCTTCGTTCTTCGCAATCCTCTGATCAATGCAACACCGGCCACGTCGATCAAGACTCGTATGCTGATCGAGCTCATCTCGGACTCGCTTGTCGAGTACTCTTATGACGCTTCGTTGGCTGGCTTGAGCTACATGCTTGACTCGCAGGACCAGTCATTGGCTCTCTCGCTCAGCGGTTACAACGACAAGATCCCTGTCCTTGCTCGCAGCATCTTGGAGAAGCTCGCCAACTTCCAGATCGACCCCCGTCGCTTCGAGCTCGTCCAAGACCGCGTCAAGCGATCGTACCAGAACTTCGCCATCGAGGAGCCCTACCGTCACGCCACCTACTACACCACCTACTTGCTCCAAGACAAGATGTGGACACCACAGGAGAAATTGCGTGAGCTCGAGCAGTTGACGGTTGCCGAAGTACAGCAGTTCCTGCCTGAGTTGTTGCAGCGTATGCACTTGGAGGTATTGGCTCACGGTAACTTGGCCAAGGAGGAGGCCGTAGAGTTGTCCAACATGGTTTGGAACACGATCAAGTCTCGTCCTGTCAACAAGACCGAGTTGCTATCCAGTCGATCTTTGTTGTTGCCCGAAAAGTGCAACAAGGTGTGGAACTTGCCAGTGACCAACGCTGCTAACATCAACCACGCTATCGAGTACTACGTTCAGGTTGGAGAGCCGACTGATATTTCGGTTCGCGCTCCGTTGTCGTTGTTTGCTCAGATTGCCAACGAGCCAGTGTTCAATCAGCTCCGTACGAAGGAGCAGTTGGGATACCTAGTGTTCAGCGGTATCCGACGCAGTATTGGCAGCTTGGGATGGCGTATCATTGTTCAGAGTGAACGCGATGCTCCTTACCTTGAAGGCAGGGTGGATGCTTTCTTGGATCAATTCAAGACGACCCTCGAGAAGATGACTGATGCCGAGTTTGAAGGTCACAAGCGATCCATTATCCACAAGAAGCTCGAGAATGTCAAGAATCTGGTTGAGGAATCCCAGAGGTTCTGGTCTCCTGTCTTTAGCGGCAACTACGACTTTACCGCCCGATACGCTGATGTAGAAGCTATTGCCAAGACAACGAAGGAAGAGGTGGTGGACTTGTTCATGAGATACATCCATCCCAGCTCGACATCGAGGAGCAAGCTTTCAGTTCACTTGAACTCCACTGCTGCTCCTTCGCTCAGGTTCTCCTCCAAGGCCGTCGATGCTCTTGAGCAGGCTGTCAACGCTCAAGGCCTGCCAGTTCCCAAAGAAGCCTTCGATGCTCTGAGGGCACAGCAACCAGCCATCGAGACCGTGAAGGACATGGCTAGTGGCGCAATGGCTCAATCGCCCACGCCTCTGCCCGCTGAAGCTGCCAAGCAGATGTTGGGTCTTGTTGACTCGCTTGCTGCTCAATTCCCCTACACTGACGGTGCAGCGGTGGAGAAGAAGCTGGAGCAGGTGAAGAAGGTAGAGAGTGCGATCCCGGCGGAGGAGGTCAAGGATGCTACATCATTCAAAGCTAGACTCAACCCAAGTAAGGCAGCTGTCCCTGTGAGGTCGTTTGCTGAATTGGCAAAGGATCCGAGCGAGGAGGCTGAGGAGGTTGCGAAGATTGCCGAGGCAATGCTGAAGGGTGGGAAGTCGGTGGAGGAGCCTAAGGCTAACCTCTAAAACTGGTTGCAGATGGATCTTAGACTTGATAGTGGATGAACCTGTAGAATCGTAGATCTGATAATGTACGCTCCACTCTCCTTATCTTGGTGTGACCGTGATGTGATATACTGTGAGTGCGAGGTGTGGATGGGTGTGTTCAGTGAGCGAACGGAGCCGAGCAGCATGAGGTCCGTCTTGCCGAGGAGGAAGCTTTATCCTTGGACCCTGAGCAGTAGACATGGCGCACAGACCGAACACCGCTTCTCAACTCCCGACCTCCGTCTCAAAGCGGAGGGATAACGAGATGTGCTCAACTCGACCACGTCTACACCTTGGTCCATTTGCACATTCTCTATTGTAACGGTACAACAAGGTCCTGGCATCGGCAACGGCCACTGCTCCGGCTGAGATCTCTCAAGCGTCCTAGACCTCGAAGAAGTCAACAGCGTCGACCGTTTCTTCCGACATTTGTTCTCGCGAGAGAGCGACAATGGTTCACACATAGACATCATAGCGATTCGTCTGATAGTTGTCGAGCACTCGTTTTTCAGACAAGGATGAATTTCAACACCAACGGAAGAGTCATCCAGCTAGACAGCTACACCGGCATCTTCCTGCCACCCCACGACTGGTATTCCGACTCCGTCAATCGATATTCCCTCCTCATCCCTTCGTCGAGCTGGAACCCTCAAACTGAAGAAGATGTAAAATACACACACAGCCTAATCTTCCTAACACACCCAATCACCTCTTCTCTGCTTCTCGGCCTCAAGAAACGAGGATTTGGTAAAGGCACATACAACGGTATCGGTGGCAAACTCAATCCTTCCGAGACAGCCCGAGAATCAATCATCCGCGAAGCAGCTGAAGAAATCAACGTCAACCTTCTCTCCGAACAGATAAGCCCGGTCGGAAGGGCGAAAATTGATGTCGAACAAGGAGAGAAAGTCTCTATGGCTGTGTTCGTGGCACGATTGACAGAAGAGCAGAAGGGACAGGTGAAGGAGAGTGAAGAAATTGAACCACACTGGTTTGGGCTGGACGAAGGAGGGGAAACAGAGGGTCTGCCTTGGGAGTTGCTGAGGCCTGAACATCATATTTACCTGTCCCTTTTACTATATGGGATTCAGAGGGGATACCAAAAGAGGAAAGAAGGGTGGGAGAACAGGTTTGATTTGGAAGTGAAGTTCCATCCAGAGCCAAAGAAAGAGGACCAGCGACCGGAGAATGAAAGAACAGTGAAAGAATGGCGACTCTACGTCTATGACTCAGGCTTTTCTTGACAACCAATCAGGCTATGTTACAAATGCACTTGAACGTGGTTCAGCATCACAGCAAACCCCTAGCCTCGTCCCAATCCCCCTGCGCATCCTGTACATACTTTTCCAGTGGCAGGTCCTCCCTCTCCAACCCAAAAGGCTGTCCTAATGCGGCCGCGAAACTATCTACACCGTACAACATACCGGTAACTACCCCTGTAATACCCAAACACAACCACCATCTTTCATACAATTTCTGCACAACCACCACCGCCAGCAAGCTCGTCTGAATCGCAAGCAGCCTCGAGAAGTGCTGTGAGACTGAGAGGGGGATCGGAGTGTCCCGTACGCGTTCGAGTTCGGTCATGTGTGAGGTGAGTGAGTTGACCAGGCCGATGCTGTGGGCGTATACGGGACTAGTGAGGAGGGAAGTTGAGTGGAAGGCGTCGAGTGATTGCTGTAGGTGGAGTAGGGATGACAACGCGAGATTTGGAGATGAATTGCCGGAGGTGGCATGCGAGGGCAAAGGGGAATGGATGGTGCGAGGGCTGTTGAGATTGGCGATTTGCTTTTGTTTTTCTGTTTCTGCTGAACGGAGTGGTGAAGATGATGCAGAGGAGAGTTGCTGTTGACGATGAGCTGCTGCAACGAGTGCTGGAGGGAGTGACTCGATCAGATCGTCTCGCAGAAGTGATGGACTTTCGGTCGGGAAAAGCTCCATGGAACGACCTCGCATCTCATACATCAAGCTGATGCTGAAGAACGGGATCGTGGCTAAAGTTGCTTGTGCTTCTTTTTGTTTTGATTGATGGTGTGCAAAGCCTTGCATGGTTTCTGTACCCCGAGAAAGAGGCTGTGAGAGTAGAGTTGGTGCTAAGAGCCGCAGCAGTGATCTTGAAGTTGCCTGTACATCTGACCACTTTCTTCGCGCTGTACTCCAGCGGTCGATTGCGCTGTTGGACCTGAAAGCCAGGAGCAGCCCAGTCACTGTCGAGAGCGAAGCCATGACACGGTATGAAGCCCAATCAACATCTTTCCACACTTTGTCCCAATCCAGCGTCTGTGTTTCAGCTTCAGTTGTGTTATGGTAGGATGCGTCGAGAGAAAATCGTGCACGTGTTGGCCATGTAGACACGGTCAGAGTGTTGCGTTTGAGGATGAGGAGAAAGACACACCAGATGACAGCGAAGAGCGTTGGTCGGAGTGTATCTCTTGCTTGCGCACCAAGGTGCGACAGTAGTGGCCGAAGCATCTTTGCCTCCAAAGACTCGATGCCTAGAGGCTATGATGGTGGTATAGCAGGATGAAGTCTGAGCAGGAGCCGGGTCGTGAAAGGTGTTGGCTCGAACGTTGTTGCTCAGCAGGTTGGACCCTGAATGAGACGGCCAAAAAAAAAAAAAAAAAAGAAAAAAAAAAAAAAAAAAAACGCCGACACCTCCACTTTTTGAACTGTGATTTTGTGGAAAAGAAAAAGAGAAAAAATAAATAAATATAAAAAACAGTGCCTCTGGGTCACGAACGGTTGCATTTGATTATTGAGAATGACGTTCTAATATGATGATGTTGATTGACGTAAGCAGGTACGAAAGGGATCGGGCGAAGGACGATCTGATCGGAGATCGAGGATCGGGTACAACCTCTCGTTGTCAGACCTCGTCATTAAGTAGGATCTACCCATGTTTGGCAAGTGCCACTCACTTGTATATACAGCGCATGCATAAACTGTCCCATAATTTTAAATGTCACCATACATCACTCTAATGCTCAATAGCTATAAGTTGTATTGCCACACTGTCTGATATCATCTGAAAGCCCTGCTTCTTCTCTCCAAGACTGTGTAATTGATATTGACATTGACTAAAAAAAATTGTGCTATGAAGAAGAGCTGATTTTTTATTTTATTGTGGGACAGTTTATGGAGTGCTCCTCAACAACACCTTAGTACTTCATATTCCCTCCTTTGGCCTTCAGAACTGCCTTGATGCAGTCTGGAATGCTCTCTATTAGTGTCTTACATCTCTCTGGAGTGATCACTGTCCATTCAGCTTCACATCTCTTGAGCAGTTCATCCCTGGACTTTGCAATTGTACTATACTGTGAAAGTTGCATTTTGAGATGGTGCCAGAGGTGTTCAATTGGGTTTAAGTCTGGTGACTGCACCAGCCATTGCATAACCTTAATGCTATTACTTTCCAACCACATTATTGTCTTCTTCAACATGTGTTTTGGGTCATTGTCTTGCTGAAATGTGACATCAGTGTATGCATGCTGAAGCTGCAAATCTGAGATTGTTTTCAAAAGCTTGTCATTCAAGATATCAATGTATTGGTCTGAATTCATTGAACCCAGCACCAAGTGCATACCTCCCACCCCTTCCCATGTCATACAGCCCCAGATCATGATGGAGCCACTGCCAAACTTGACCATTGGCCTGACAAGCTTGCTGTTGAAGCTGGCATTCTTAATCCAACAGAACTGCTTACCATCTGGTCCAAAGAAGTTGATCTTTGTCTCATTGGACCATACCACATTCTTCCAATCCTCAACAGTCATGTCCTTGTGCTCATTAGCAAATTTGAAATGGGTTTTGCAATGTCTCTTGAGTAGCTTCAGTTTTTTCACTAACCTTCATGCTTTGTAATGACAGTAATGAAGTGCTTTTCTTACTGTGGTTGGGCATGCTTTGATTTGAAACATCTCCTGTAGTGCTTGACATGCTTTCCTGACTGTGGAGGTTGAATTGAGCTCAAAATAGTGATCCAGGAAGCAAACATGACAAGGCTGGAGTTTTCTCAGCCAGCCCCCCTTTGACTTTGGAACATCAGCAGAGGTGCTTTTGCTGATGTGATTCACTGTAGACTTGCTCATACCAAGTTGTTCTGCAACTGAATGGATAGATTCCCCAATTTGGATGTGAAAGAGTGCCAATCGGTGCCTCTCTGGGGTGGTTTTTGGCATGATGGTATAGATATGATGGTGTCAGACTGGAAGTGCTGCTGGATCGCTCACAGTCATCTGATTGAGCTGAAACTTTCCATGTCACTACTTTCGATGTGTATGAAGGTGCCCACCAAGTTACATTGCAAGTTTCATTGTAGTCAAAAGCCCACAAGGTCAGGAATGGAGTGGTGTTGCCATTTGGGAGCATGCTCCATAAACTGTCCCACAATAAAAAAAATTTCGGCTCTTCTTCATAGCACAATTTTTTTTAGTCAATGTCAATATCAATTCCACAGTCTTGGAGAGAAGAAGAAGCACTTTCAGATGATATCAGACAGTGTGGCAATACAACTTATGGCTATTGAGCATTAGAGTGATGTATGGTGACATGTAAAATTATGGGACAGTTTATGCACATGCTGTATATCAAGTGGGGAGCTCGAGGCTCCTGCCACATTCTTTCTCTTATTCAATTGAGTATACATGTTTCTGTCCTAAAACAGCAGTGACATTGTGCTCCGACTCTCACCGATCACCAGTCTTGGGGACCCATGCGATCCACTTTTTCTCATTGATGACTCCTCGTGTCTCATATCCGGCGGGAAGGGCGCTCGCGGCTGTCAACACGCAATCAGGCATGAAGTCGTTTGACTTGTTCCCTCCACTCGGTCTCGTACTCGTGGGCGAGATGGTCATGCGATCCGTGTTTTGAAATTCATGCAACCATTTGCTGCTGGCAACAAAGGCAACACACAAATGTCATCGGCAAGACAAAAGGCAGTGCTTTGTTGACCTTGTCGACCATGTGGTTTGCGGCGACTTTTCTTTTGTTACAATGTTGGAGTTTTTTTTAACCGTGCTGAACAGGATGATTGATTCGCTGACGTCTAGTGCAGACTGCGGATAAAGAGGAGGTGTCTTCTTTGGCTGTTATTGCCGTTATTGTCCAAAGCGACCGCACTGTTCGCAGGTCGGAAAAGTGATCTACAGAAGGACAAAGCAAGCAACATAACCCAATTCACACAACACTGAAGTATAAGCATTTTCACTCCCAAATGCTCCGGACTCGGAGAACGGAACCATTCCGGTGACAAGCGCCTCCTTGACATTGTGTCAGAGGTCGCATGCCCAAAACCTGATATCTGTAATAGAACTGCATCTATTATGAATTCCATCAAGATATGTGACAATGCTTGTGGTATTACAATTCTTGGCGAGATAGGTAGTAGAGACATCTCTATCACTTTTCTTGCTCGAAGATGCAGTAATGGTTTTGCTATTGCAGGTTTCGACTAACCACTGTGGACACTCTGTCCAGAGGTAGCTCAGCATGATCAATAACTTGAATGTATTGCATGACACCAAAGGTCTGGTGTAAGTGAGATGATTGGTAGTGCCAACACAAGTGTCCAGTGTGTTGACTGAATGCTTGAGGTGATCCCCAGACTGCAGTGGACAACTGCCTTCAGTTCTATCTTTATCTGGACTGCTGGTTTGCTATGAACCACCTTTAGATGTCAGTGAGCAGTGATACAACACATGTGCTACAATGGAAGCAATCTACTTGATTGCAACTACACTGACTGAAACTAATATATACTTATGCTGAAGTGATAACTAGTTATGTATGGTGTAGAGTGGATGGGGATCCACTCGCTTGCTATGATGAGGAGCATGGTTATATACCATCCCAGCAATGTCACCCACAACACTGCTCCTGTCCTGTGAGGCCCCTTCAGCTCCATGTCTCCTCCTCCTCTTTCTCACTGCTTTTCCATCCACACTAGATTTCTGCTCATGTTGTATCCCTCAACCTTTGTGGACAGATGGCCACTTGCTGCTTCATCTCTGTCAGGGGCCATCCCACTTCATCTGAGTGGTGACTTGCCCCCCCCCCCCCCCCCCCCCTCTCATTACTTGCTGTTGTTGGTACCCACCTGCTGGGACTGACTTCCATGTCATGTAGGGCCCCTACCTCATCTGGTGGTGACCCCAGGTGTCCTCCCCTTCTAGCCTTTTATCATATGAACATCCTTGCCATTGATCTCCACAGGACCTGTCATATGATCCAGTTTATTGCAGATTCCAGTGTGATTCATGATACCCTGAGTGCTCATAACAATCTAGATGAGATCTGCCTTAGAGCCACTTCTCCTACAAATTTTGGTGGACTCTATTACAAGTCCTACAATCTGCCTGATTCCTTGATTCCCATGCTCCTTTCATATGTCTTGATGGATCTTCCTGATTCCTGCACATCCCATCCCATGACACATTGCTCCTGCTCCTCCTGCTCCACCTTGGTCATGTGGACATCTCCTTGACCTGTGTGCACCCGTGACCTTGTGTGGACACCTCCTATGTCCCGCTCCATGTGAACACTACTAGTGTCTTACTTTTGCCCCATGTGGACACCTCTATTGTCCTGTTCCCACTCCATGTGGATCCTTTGACATATGTGTGTAGTGGCAGCCCCACCACATGCTCCTATGCTTGGACCCCTTGTTTGCATATGGTCTCCTTCCGTATGTTTCCGCTCACCACCGACAATGGCAATAAGCCTCCTCCAGCTATCCTGTTGCTTGTATGCAATTGCTCGACTCACAATGCATCAATGGGTCCTTCTCGCTGGACATTTGGCAAAATCTGCTGGATGGGCTTGTTCTGACCGATTTCGCATTTCGTGCACACAACGTGCCCAATGCCTGTCTAGGGTCTTCTGCGCAGGCCCTGTGAGACAGAGCTCCTGGACCGTTGCCATGTCATCCTTCGTGCGTCTCACGTGTCTGAGTCAGCTCGTGAATAAGCGGCGTGTGCTATCACGAGGTTCGGCAATTGGCTAAACTTTGGAGATTTTCCGATGTATCTTGAACTAAAACGACTCTTTGCTTTTTGTTTCATTTTTCCACAATTTGGCGAAGCTGAAGATCGGAGTGAGAAAAGCGCAAAAAAAATAAAAAATAAAAAAAATAAAAAAAAATAAAAAAATAAAAATAAAAGGAGGAGGACCGTAGACGAGAGTATAATGCAATGCAATGCAAGCACATGAAGTGAAGTTAATGTCAAGGTGGAGGTAATAGTACGGGAATGAAGGGAGAAGGTATAAGCTACTGTGAAGCTAAATGCTCTTGCTACCCCTTCGGCTTTGGCTAACTTAGCGTAGTCTCTCACCTTGACCCCAGATTTCTTGTGGTGTGAGCTTTACACTTTTCAAAAACACGCCGCTCGAGCTTGCTCTCGAACAGTTCGGTTCAGGGGTCTTCTTTCGGCACTCTGTCAACTCGGCTTGACCGAAGCTGACATAATCCCCCTTGTCGGCTCCTTGGCTTCATCAAGAACGGTTTGTTTCCCTCCAACTCCGGTTGGTCCAGAGCATTGGCCTCTTCTCACATGACCAACTATCCGTACTCGATCCCTCAAATCTTCGAGCCTTCAAAGACGTGGACGGAAGCCGATCAGGCAGGCTATTTCGATTCCATCACAACTCGATCGCAACCTCAAGTGCTTTGTCTAAGGTCCAACGGCAACTCTAAGCGCCCCGAGGCTGGTAGCTCTGCCCTCCACCTCTGAGCACTTACTTGATTAAGGGGACGACAGCCAGCCTACTTGCTGCATACATTCCTCTGAACTCAGCAGTCATCCACAAACGTCCAGGCAGTCATCCACAAACGTCCAGGCAGTCATCCACAAACATCCAGGCAGTCTTTCCCTATCAACCTGCAGAGCCGGCACGACGGCAGGTATCGCTGACCGAACCTGAACTCGACAACAATGGCGTCGTCCAAGGCTGAGTTTGTCCCAGGTGGAGAGGCACCTGCTCCTACTCTTCTTTCCGGCTCAGGTGGTCTCAGAGTCTCATCAGCTGCCGCTGCAGCTCGACCAGAAGCGCAAACACGCAAGCCGAACAGGTCAAGAACCTCAGCTTTCCTCAGCAACACGATTCTCCGACCACGAGGCAAGTCGGTCTCGAACACGCTCGTCAATGACTGGGGTCGACCTGTCGGTGGCAGTGAAGGGCTTGGATCGATCTACAACTCTGCTATGGACTCGCGAGAGAGGAGCCAGGTGCTGCGAAGCCTTACCACCTTGGAAAAGGACAGCGAAAACGATGTTACCGGAGCTGCGGCAGAAGCGTTCTCTGGCAATGCCACACCAAGCACAGCAACGAGGAATCGATTCTTTGCCAGCTTCCGTACCGACAGCTCCAGCAGCGCACAAAGTGGCCAGACAATAGAGGCTCCTCCGAGCTACCAGACCGACCAACGTCCTGAACCTCGACGAGGCAGTGAAGGTAGTGTCGTCTCTCACATCAGTCTGCCAAGCCACGAATCCGCTTCATCTCGCTCTAGCATTAGCCAGCATTGGACAAGTCGTCGGGCCTCTTTCTACTTTGGCTCAGCAGCTTCGTCGTCCGTTCCTTCATCAGCCACTTCCAGCGGGAGCATCTCACTTGCTGCTAGTCCAGCTCCTGGCTCTGTTCTTGCCAAGCAGCAACAGCAGCAGCAGCAACAACAACAGCAACAGCCACAATCACAACGACGAAGCTCGGGTCAATTTAGCGCAGCAGCTCGTCAGGCTTTTCGGCCTTGCCGATCGTTCTTGGCGTTACCCAACGGTATTTCGGAAGATGATGATTGGGATGCGATTCACAGGTATTTTAGCAACGGCTCTTCCGATGGTGCTGATAACAATACTCTTTCCATCACAACGGAATTGCCGACCAAAGCAAAGGCGTCGCCAAAGCGTGAATCTCAAACGCATCAATTGCCACATGCAGACGTGGCGAGCAACGCAATCAAGGCTATAGCAAGCACCACTGCTGTTGTTGACAATGACAAAGAGGATTGCATCTCTTCTTCGCGTTCAAAGGCTCGTTCGCACGATGCAGGTGGAGGCGAAAATCTGACAGCAAACGCCAAAGCAACAGCAACAGCAACAGCAACAGCAACAGGCGCAGGCGCAGGAAAGCAACTTCCTGCCGAGGCGGGTCATGATGCTGTTTCTAGATCTGCTGCTTCTTCGCTAGCGTCGAAATTCGAAGCTGGAAATGGTCGTCCGATCGGCAACGCAAATTTGACAAATCGCCGCGAGAAGGCAGAGAAAGACGACACTTGTTCTTTGCCTTTGATTTTGAACAATTTGTCACGCGTGCAAGAAATCCCTGGAGATGTAACTCCGGCATCTGGTCCGTCAGCTTCCAAGCAGCAGCAGCAATTGGAGCAACACGCTGCCGAAACTCATCAGAAGCAGCAGCATGATGCTCTTTCTTGTTTCTCCGACTCTGCTGCTCCCAGTGCTCTTTCGGCTGCTTCTTCTGCCGCTGCTTCTTCTGCTGCTTCTGCTGCTGACTCGTTTGCCCCCTCGGACGTTTTGTCTGACAGCTTGTCCCAAGCTAAAACCCTTTCTCTTTCTCTTTCTCTTGGCCCTGGCTTTGGCTCTCCTGTCCTTCGCCGTTCCCATTCACAAGCAGCAGCAGCAGTAGAACCAGCTGCACAAGCTGAGCCTGAGTCGTTCAAGTTGCATTTGCAACAGCAGAATGCGCAGTCCACTCTGACTGCCGCTCAAGCGCCATCTTCCTCCTCCACTGCTATCGCTGCTATTGCTGCTATCGCTGCTATCGCTACTGTCACTGCCCACGCTGCTTCTCCGTCCACACATCGTTTGAGCTCTTCGGCTTTCACTGCCGTCCCTCCTCCTCCTCCTCCTCCTCCTCCTCTTCCTCCTCCTCCTCCTTCTCCTCATTGTTCTTCCCCCCCACCTGTTGCCTCCTCCTGTACATCTTCATCTTCGGTCCTTGGTGCCGATATTGCTCCGATCTCGCTTGTTCCGATTCCATCTTTGTCTACTTCCTCTTCCACCACCAACGTCACCACCACTGCTGCTACCATACCTTCCCAGAGCACCTTGAAGCTTGCGTATATTCCCAACCTTTCCTCATCACAACTAGCAACGACTCAGCTTGACCACATTGCCTTGCCAACAACTGCTCCATTCAGCTCTCAGCATGACTTGTCTTTGCACTCCAACCCCCATCTGAATAGCACTGACCAGTCGAGTCGAACTCAGCTCAGACGAACCCAGCCTCAAGCGGTCTCCTCGTCCACGGCTGTCGAGCCTTCTTCTTCGCTTACAGACTCTGACAACCATCGTTGCTCGCTTCCTCCGACGCCTCCCACCTCGTTGGGTCCGTGCATCTCACCGCGCACATCTGTTAGTGGTGCCCGCGATTCTCGCACCGGTCTTCCTTCTCCCGCCTCTTCCGCTCACGGCAGCGCAACAGGTCTAGCTAGCCGTCGCGGCAGTGGCAACGAGCCAACAGGCATTCTCGTCAACGGTTATCTTTTCAGTGCAACCGGTCCATCGCCGAGAACATCTGTGGCATTCACTGACGACGTAGGACCTAGACCGACAGTTCAGTCAGCCACCTCTCCACCCTCAAGCACCGGCCGAGTCTCCTTTGATCTTCGACACATCTCCCTCTTCGGCGGCTCATCAGCAGCGACCAAGATGTCTTCCAACGCGGTTTCAAGCGCATCTTTTGCCGGCATCGGCAACGGACAGCCACCTAATACTTCCGATGCTAATGGTAGGCACCAAACCTCTTCGCAATCAGGCTCTGCCTCCAAGTTCTTCTCCCGCATTAGCCTGCCTGGTAGCAGTCGTCGTGGCAGTGCCGCTGATGGGTCGCCCTTGTCATCACCGCAAGCAAAGCCTCGCTCCCGTTTTTCCAGCTTTGGCCGTCTTGCTAGTCGAGGCAGCGATGCTCCAACATCATCACCCAACCGCAACCGTGGCTTGCCCAACTCGATGCAGCCTTGGGCTTCTGCCTCCACAGATGTGCTTGGCATGCGTCCCGCCGCCAATCAAGGACGCAACAGTCTCGCCCTCGCTCGTGAAGAGGCGACTCGACCGCGCAAGAGTTTGCATCTACCACGCACCAACCTCTTCGACTTGGACTTCGAGGACAACTCGAACACAACAGCAACCACCAGCACGGCTACACATCGCATCGAACCGCAAGCGCTGCCACCAATAGAAACGACGGCGACCACGGCAATTCTCAACAAGCCAGAGAAGCCTGCCTCACCTTCACTCAATTTGGGTCGCCGTCCGAGCTTCAACTTCTTGCGTCGTGCCAGTGCTACCAGCACCAATCCGAACGTCGACAATGTCAATGGCGAGCGAAGAGGATCTAGAGGCTCCACCCACTCGTTTGCACGCACCTTCATGAACAGGACGCTGTCTCGCAACAGCAAGACATCCGATACTCCACCAGCCACGGCACGAGGCATCCCATCGCCCAATGGCGATTCAGCCTCACCAATCTTCCGCCACGGCATCTTTGACACGCGGTCTTCAGTCACACCTGGCACTGTCGCATATCCAGGCATGTCGTCGACCGTCAATTGGAACGCTCCCGGCAACGCTCGCAGATCGAATCAGGCAGAGCTTGCCCCCGGCGAGGTCGATCCTACTGTCGCCATTCCACTTTATCCTGAATCGGTCGCAAGTGGGGCTGTACCAACGCAGCCAAAAGCCGTCGCTGACTTGGCTACTGGAGTCCTTGCCAAGCCTCGTCCTTCTCACGGCATCGACCAAGAGCAGGATGCTGGAGAAGCCAGTGATACTATCCCTGAACCTTTGTCTCCGACCGCAGCTTCCACGACGACAACAACAGCACCAGCAACAACTTCTTCGCCAGGGCAAAGCACCGATTCGCTCCCCTCGCGTCAGAGACCGGCACGCTCGTGCAATGCCCTTTCGCATTTGCCACGACTCAACTCGATGCGCACCGTTGCAGGCACTACCAGCAGCTCCCAGGGAAACTCGAATGGACACCGTGTTGCACGCACTGGTTCCGAAAGCACCACCGACAGCACCACCGCGGGAGAGACAAGTGAAGGGGAGCAAGAAGCTAGCGAAGACGAGGACGAGGACGATCTTACAGGTCAGACTTCTGATTATCACGATATGGGCACCGAGACCGATGACGAGACGGACGATGACCCTTCGCCTGCTGTCAGTCGCCGCGTATTGGCAGCCCACATGGCTGCTACAGGTAGCTCAGGCGGCCTCAATCGCAACCGACCCACGGAGTCGCTCATCCTGCCTCCCGCTCCTTCCTTCATTCCCAACCCTAGTAGCTCACTCGCGGAGCAAGATGCGGACGCTACGCCTTCGACATCGAGCGCACCAGGCACGAGCAATGGGCTCTTCAATCAGAACGTAGGCCGAGACTCCTGGACAAACTTCAATGCGGCCGGTTTCACGCCCTTCGAGACGCCTACACCCAGTTACGGTGGCAGTCGCATGTTCGCTGCACCAACGCCCCGTGCTCGTCAGGAGCAATCCGAGTCGTCCTACTTTGCCGCTCGTCCAGTTACCAGCAACAGCAACCGTGCCACGACAGCAGGTACAATGAGCGGCGATGCTCCTCCGCCTTCGCCTTCCATCATCAGCCGCTCTCGTGCCCCCTCTTCAGCCAGCATGCGAACAATGCGAACGCCCGGTTCAGGTAGCATGACTTCAGGTCCCGTTCCCACCCGAACCATGCCCACGCCTGGTGGCGCTCTGCCACCTTTGGTCTTGCATCGACAGATCCAAGCTGCTTCGGGATCGACGAGGTCCGGAATCGATCGCAGCAAGTCACCCGGGCTTGCCGCCGGTAGCAGTCGACCAAGCACTTCTGGCATTTTGACTCCACACCAGACACCAGCAGGCGATCGAACGAGGAGCCGAGAGCCTAGCATTGATCGACCTGCATCTGAGAGGCCCTCGTCTCCGGCTGCAGCCTCCATCAAGGCGAGCACTAGACAGATCGTCGGACTAGACGGCATGGCAGTGTCCACTGCGGCGCCACCCAGCCTCTATCAGCAAAAATCCAAGTCGCTTGTTGACTTGCTGGGTCCAGCATCGCGCCGCCTCGAGATCGACACCGCAGCTGCTTCTCGTCCGATCATCGTTGAGCCTTCGCCAATCGAAGCGCAGCGCACGCCGACCACGCCACGCCTGCCATCAGAAACTCCAGCTTACAGTAAGAAAGATGGGTTGGCACCGATCAACACGAGCGGAACGTCTGCGGCTTCGATTGCCTCGCCCAGCCTCGGCCGTCGACGATCGATGTTCGAGATGCGAGCTGAACCTCCACCGTACTCGATCATTCACAACCGACCCGACGGTCCTCAGGTCATCTTGCCGCGAGAGGAGGAAGGCAAGGAGAAGCTGCCCATGTATTACTGTGGCGTTCACATCGAAGGATACCTGCCACGCAAGATGGAATTCTCGGCACCTGGTGTTCAGGCTAAAGACCGTAGCTGGAAGCGACAGTACTTTGTTCTGCACGGCACGAGTCTGCGCGTTTACAAGAACGATCTTAGTGTGGACCGACATGCTGCCAGTGGGTCATGGGGTGAGATGATGGGTGTTCATGTGCATCTTGAGCCTATGAACGAGGATGGATCTAATGGATCGGGTTCCGGTATTGGACTTGGCGCTGCTGCGCGTGAAGCCATCTCGCACACTCCCTTGGGTAACCATCGCAACGAAGCATTCAAGAACAAGGAAGCCGGCACACAGTTTGATTCCAAGAACGGTCTGATCCGCAACTACACTCTTCAAGGTGCCGAGAGCGGTCTCGCAGCCGACTACCTCAAGCGTCGCCACGTCGTGCGTGTTCGTGCTGAAGGAGAGCAGTTCTTGCTCCAAACACGCAGCGATCGTCACGTTGTCGACTGGATCGAAGCATTGCAGGCTGCAACCAACGTTGCCATGGACCTGGAAAAACGACCCATGCCCAAGTTCATCACACTTCCACGTAGACGTCGTCGTCGTCGTCGCAACGCAGACGGCACCGTTATCAGTCCGGAAGAGCAAGAGAGGCGAGATCTGGCCGAAGCGCAACGACAATCGATCGCAGAAGCTGGGGGACGACTCAATGTTGGAGAGGAAGCAACGCCACGAGAAAGCATTTCACAGTCGGGTCGAGCAAGTATGAGCATCGAGAACGAGCTCAATCCTAGTGCGGCATTCGAGCGAATGCTGAGGGAAGATCAGGAAAAGGGTGGAAGACAGTCTGCGGAAGTGTTATGACTTTACGAGATAGAAATGTACACTAGATACACTCAACATGGATTTGACCATGCTTGCTACAAAGTTAAAGCAACAACCATGGTCTAGCTGGAAAGAATGTCGGATGTATAAGTAGAATTGACAGCAGATGGAAGCAGGGCGTCTGAGATACATAAGCTTACAGTGATGATGAGTATTGACGAGAAAAGAGAGTTGAAAATCCAGGGTCAAGAAAATCCAGTAGGGGGTTTCAGTTTTTTTTTTTTTTGCCCTCGAAAACTAGAGTATTAATTGAAGAATACCAAGGCTATATGCTGTCCGGAGCTACTAACAAGCTCGTATCCACAGGCATATGTTCTTGAGAAAGGTCTTGTATTTCTTGTTCATCAGTTACATCCTCAATGAGCATATATATACCTTATTGCTATCTTTGATCATGTCCAAATGAGATGAGCTATCTCCTATAGGGCCCCTGAGTTGCCACCCTCTGCAGTATAGCACATGATCCATTGGTATGGCAACCCTCATGTGCCTCATTGTCTTCAACACCTGTGCATGTTCTCAGCCCCTTGGTGTCTGTCATGGGAATGGATGCGCAGAGGCCAGAAGATCTGTCAAATTCATATGAAGGGAGCACAGGGATCAAGGGATTGGGCAGATCATGGGATTTGAGACAGACTTCACTGAGATTGGTAGTAGTGCCAGTCCTATGACAGATCTCACTGAGATTGGCAAAAGGAAGGATAGTACTACAATGACAAGATTGGCATGAGAGAGGATGGTACTATGGATCACACTGAGATCGGTGATAGAAGAAAGGGTATGGCAGATTCTGCCAGGATCAGTAGTAGGAAAGATCCTATCACAGATTCCGTGGAGATCAGTGGTAAGGATGATAGTGTGGTGAAGCTTCACATGCAAGTAGTGGGACCAAGCACCACCAAGAGGGGACCTAGCTCAGGAGCATGCAGCTGGTTACCACTTGGGGGCACACAAGATAGGAATAAAGGGGGACTGTCACCAGTCCAAGGGAGGAGAGCAGTGTAAGAGAAACCAGCAAGGAAGACATAAAGAGGAGGAGCAGTGTTGATGGAGTTGGCACAGCTCAAGAAAGACAGACGGATGGCACAATGAGGAGGAGGAGCCTCATTGGAGACTCCTGTGAGGTACTCGATGCAGAAGGTACTCTCTGGAGAGAGAGCAGGAGCAGTGACGCAGGCAACACTGCAAAGAGGTATAAAAGCCACACCTTCTTGTCACTAATGGTCAAGTGGATTCTCATCCACTCTACTCACCATACAACTAGTCAATACTTTAGAAACATAAGTACTCATTAGTTTTCAGTCAGCATAAGTTGCAATCAATAGATTGCTCCTCATCGAAGCACATGTGTTGTATCACCATTTCCTGATGTCCGAAGGCGGTTCTAGCAAACCATTAGTCCAGATATCGATAGAACCAAAGGCAGTTGTCCACTGCAGTCTGGGGATCACTTCAAGCATTAGTCGACACACTGGACACTCATGTCAGTGTCATCAATCCATACTCACACCAGACCATTGGTGTCAACCTCAAGTTCACTTAGAGTCATATCGTAGTTTGATCATGCCGAGCTACCTCTGGATGGAGTGTCCACAGTGGTCAGTCGAAATCTGTCATAAAATCAATACAACTACAGATCCCAACGAGAAAAGTGGCAGAGACGGTTCTGTCACATATTTCACTAGGAATCATAATACCATTAGCGCTGTCACATAACTCGACAGAATCGGTGATAGTACTGATACTACTACTGATCTCAGGTTTCAGGTGCGCGACCCCTGACAGTGTCTTGGCTAATGCTCACATATCCAGGTTGGAATGCTGACACAACTTCAACTCCCCCCTTTGACAGCATCTCCAGCCCCAGCAACCAAGCAAGGTGAGCTGTGTTGACACCCTTCAGGGGCTTTGTCAGAATGTTGGCTATGTTGCTTGCCATTCCAACAAAATCAATTGTGACATCACCCTCCTGGAAGTGATCCCAGACAAAACAGTATCAGGTGTCTATGTGCTTTAACTTCCAATGCTTGGCTGGGTCCTTACTCACCTGGATGCACCCTTGGCTGTTGGTGCAGAGTAACAGCCCTGCATCCAAGATCTCCAAGTCTTGTAGCAAATATGAAAAGAACAATGCCTCTCACACTGCTTCAGAGGCTGTGACAAATTCTGCTTCTACTGCCAAAAGCACTATGCATTTCTGCACATGTGATCTCCAGCTGACTGGACACCCATAAACATATGTGATCACCCCAGATGTGCTCCTTGTCACAGGGTCAGCAGGCCAGCACAAGAGAGTGCGCCAAATTGATCAATGGCAGTCATGGGAATGTCATGCAATGGAGCAATGTATGAAGGGTGCGCAACAGATCAATATATGGAGGGCACACCAGATTGATTGGTGTCATGGGCCTGAATGCTCAAGAAGCAGGAGGGTCACTGGTTCATATGGAAGGAGCACAGGTATTGGAGATCTAGTCAATACCAGTAGAGAGCATGGTCATAGTGCAGTCTCCATGGAGACCATGGACTCCTACAGACTCACATGCAAAGGAGGACTGGGCCCATATGTGAGGAGGGCCAGGCACAGCCATGAAGAGGACCAAGCTCAAGGAGCAGGCACAGCCACGAAGAGGACCAAGCTCAAGGAGCATGCAGATGGTTACCACTCAGGGGCTTGAGAGACAAGAGTCAAAGGAACCATCACTGGTCAAAGGAGAAGGAGCAGTGTATAGGAAACTGGCAAGCAGGTCCTGAGGAGGAGGAGCAGTGTTGAAGGAGTCAACACCACTCAGGAGGCACAGGGGTGCCAAGCAAGCAGGATGTCAGGGGTCTTGCACCTGAAACCCAGGTCAGTCTGTCGAGATACTCGGTGACTATCAAATTGTGCGACAGCTATTGTCTCGGTATCTGTCTCGACAAGCTAGTCATTCAGCAACTATCAAGTTGCGCAGTGACAGCGGGTGGTGTTCGTTGTATATACTATCATAGATTTCGGCTGACCTCTGTGGACACTCCATTCAGGGGTAGCTCAGCATGATCAATATCAATGCATAGGTTATGATGACACCAAGATCTGGTGTGAGTGTTGATGATGATGAGGTTGATGGTGTTAGTGATAAGGTTGGTGAATGTCGATGATAATGAGGTTGATGGTGTTGGTGATAAGGTTGGTGGCGTCAACACGAGTGTCCAGTGTGTTGACTGATGCTTGAAGTGATCCCCGGACCACAGTGGACTACTGCCTTTGGTTCTATCTATATCCGGACTGCTAACCTGCTATGGGGAGCTGTGTCGACTCCTTCGACACTGCTCCTCCTCCTTGTTATCCTGCTGCTTGTTTGGTACCCTTGTGCCTCCTGAGTGGTGTTGACTCCTTCGACACTGCTCCTCCTCCTCAGGACCTGCTTGCCAGTTTCCTATACACTGCTCCTTCTCCTTTGACCAGTGATGGTTCCTTTGACTCTTGTCTCTCGAGCCCCTGAGTGGTAACCATCTGCATGCTCCTTGAGCTTGGTCCTCTTCATTGCTGTGCCTGCTCCTTGAGCTTGGTCCTCCTCGTGGCTGTGCCTGGCCCTCCTCACATATGGGCCCAGTCCTCCTTTGCATGTGAGTCCATAGGAGTCCATGGTCTCCATGGAGACTGCACTACGACCATGCTCTCTCCTGGTATCGACTAGATCTTCAATACCTGTGCTCCTTCCATATGAACCAGTGACCCTCCTGCTTCTTGAGCATCCAGGCCCATGACACCTCCCACCTACATGCACTCCTTCTGTCTGATGTGTGATGCCCCCTTTCGGCACAGCTCCCTTTCAACTTAATCATGTGAATTCCCTTTGAACCTTGTGACCATACCCCCTGGTCATGTGGTCATGTCGGCACAGTTCCATCTCGACTTGTTTGGATCGGCCAACTAGTTGAAGCGTGCTGATCCGACTGACTCCGATGTCAGCACAGCTCCGAATACTTGTTTGGATCAGCCGACTAGTTGAGGCATGCTGATCCAACTGACTCTGATGTCGGCACAGCTCCACATACTTGTTTGGATCGGCCGACTAGTTGAGGCATGCTGATCTGGCTGACTCCGATGTCAGCACAGCTCCGAGTACTTGTTCGGATCAGCCAACTAGTTGAAGCATGCTGATCCAGCTGACTCTGACCGATCCCATGAGATCGATCTGGATTCCCGGGGTTTGATGGATCTTGTAAATCATGTGCACTGCCAACCCGATTAATCTCATTGATCCCTGATGGTTTTTGGCTCTGATCAATCTGGCACACCCTTCATATGTTGATCTTCTGTGCACCCTTCATATACTGCTCCGTTACGCGACATTACCATAGCTGCCGCTGATCATTTGGTGCACTCTCTTGCGCAGGCCAGCCGTCCCTGTGACAGGCGGCCCATAGCAGGTCAACGGTCCGGATATAGATAGAACTGAAGGCAGTAGTCCACTGCGGTCTGGGGATCACCTCAAGCATCAGTCAACACACTGGACACTTGTGTTGATGCCACCAACCTTATCACCAATGCCATCAACCTCATTAACATCAACACTCACCAACCTTATCACCAACACCATCAACCTCATCATCATCAACACTCACATCAGACCTTGGTGTCATCATAACCTATGTATTGATATTGATTGTGCTGAGCTACCCCTGAACAGAGTGTCCACAGAGGTCAGCCAAAACCTATGATAGTATATACAATGAATGCCACCCACTGTCATCATGCAACTTGATAGTTGCTGAGCAACTAGCTCATCAATACCAATACTGAGACAATAGCTGTTGCACAGTTTGATAGTCACCGAGTAACTCGACAGACCGACCTGGGTTTCAGGCGCGAGACCCCTGACACAAAGCACCTGCAGTCCAGTACCTCTTGTCATCTGCAGGCAGTAGTCTTATTGCAGTCCAGATGATGTCAAGAGCATCAAGCATTACAAACACTTGTGCTGCAATAGGAGAGTTGTGTCTGATACCACTCTCATACCCAAGTGTTACAGGTGTGCTGCATAGCCTCTGAATGGAGTGTTCAAGGCAGTCAGCCAAAACCTACCAGAACTCAACTGTCTGGTTACTTTCAACTGAAACATACCAAATAGATCATACCCAATTGATCTCACCAAAATCAACTGGAAACACCCAATCTGGTTTCTGGCATGCAACTGCTTACATCCTCCTTGACCAAGAAGGAATGAGAGGAGCATTGCTCGACGAAGAGGATACTCTCTGGGGAGGGAGAGCCAGAGCAGAGTTGCAGGCAACACTGCAACAAGGTATAAAACCATACCTTCTCATCATAGTAGCTGAGTGGATCCCCATCCACTCTACACCATATCTTACTAGTTATAGCTTTCACATAAGTATACATTAGTATTCTGTCAACAGTTGCAATTGCAGAGCATTGCTTCTAACATAGCACATGTTTGTATCACCACTCATTGACATCATCCAAAGGCAGTTCATTTTGTGGTCCAGATATTGATCAACACCAAAGGCAGTTCATACTGTGGTCCAGCTCTCTTGATCATTAGAACCAAAGGCAGTTGTCCACTGCAGTCCAAGGATCACTCAGTCACTTAGTCAGCACACTGGACACTTGTGTCAGTGGCAACAACATCAGCAGCACCAGACCTTGGTGTCATCACAGCACATCTATAGTTATTGATCATGCCAAGCTACCTCTGGATGGAGTGTCCACAGCAGTTAGTCGAAACCTGCAATAACATTCAAGCTATCACATAATCAAGTGAGAAAAGTCATAGAAGGCTTCTATGACAGATCTCAGCAAGAATAATAATAACAGCCTTTTACCACAGATCTTGATAGGATCAGTAGTAGTTGTAATTCTACTACAGATTTCAGGTTTCAGGCATGCGACCTCTGACACTATGTACAAGGCGATGACTAGTGTATGTCTCCCCAGCACTCTGTGTATGCGTGTACGACACAGGGGTATGCTACCCTGTGGACGAAGCTGAAACAAAACGGGCATCACCTCCTCCTCGGGTATCGGATAGCCTGTATGCCGATGCCTGTCGTGACAATCGGCCTAGGCCAACATGCTACGGATCCGAGTGAGCGAAGGCGGCGAAGGTGTGAGATCGAACTAGAGGTCACATACTAACCCTATGTTCCACCACTAAGGTTCCACCACTAAGCATCATAACGGCTTGTTCGCCGTCTTCGTTCATCATCTTCCGCTCATCCGCTCATACTTCCTCTTTACTCTCTCCCTCCTCCTCTCCATCATCGCGATTCCGTTTCGGCCATCTCGTGTTGTCGATTGATACACTGACGAGCTGCAGTCCTGCACGCGCCTCACAACGGACCTCCGGGACACACATTCGGCTCCTCATCAAGGATCCGTCATCCCGAACAAGCGGTCTCACCCTCCTTGCCTTGACGTGAGGCTTCCGTGGTGGCCCTGTCCCCGTCGATCCATCCCATTCTATAGCTCGGAAACCCTCGTCACGGATCAGTATTTTTCGATACATTGGTCCAGAGCTTTCTTCCCATCCTTCCATCACGTTGTCAACCCTAATCAATCACAGTGCCGATTCAGACCAACCGCTCATGAGCAAGCCTCTCGCCAAGATGAAATCTGTCGATTGACAAGCCTTCAACCCTCACCACGTATCTACTTCCAGCTTACACAGCTTGTCGACTCCGACTCGACCATCTTTACGCAGCGGTCGCCGACAACGGCTAACGACGACGTGTTGCGACAAACCCGTCAGTAGTGCGGATCAGGACTTTGGCCCGCCATGTCGCTGCTCGCACCCTTCGGATTTGGACAGAAACATGCCTACTTCCATGTCCAACTCACCATACACGAAGTCAGCAACGTCCCACTCGTCACTGGTCTCTTTGCGTGCAAGTGGAAGATCAAAGGCTCCCATTCGCTAGCCAGTCTACAACACTCTGCAGCCGCTGCCGCACACCAACAGGCCTCGCGCGTCGTCTCCACTGCAGCTCGCAAAGGCAAGGATGTCGTCTCCTCCAAGGAAGCCGCTAAGGACATCCAAGCAACAGACCATGACTCGGGCGCTTCCAACAGCTTAGCCATTGGTCCTCCACATGAATACGCTCAAAGACAACCCATCGACCCCAACAGCACCGACGCAGCTTCGTTCATCAGTGTATCTAGCAGAAGTACATCTCACCATAATCTTCACAAGCCCGCCTTCATCAGCAACCTGCTTCGTCACAAGGATAAGGACCATGGCAAGATGAAGGATGACGATTCACAATCACAGTCTAGCGTGCCTGTTCTGTCATCAGATCCTACCGGTCTCAACAGCGACCGTGCATCTCTCGCTCCAGAGGAGGACACCGATGCCGCCTCGTCATCCAGTCCAACCTCGCGCAGGGACAGCACCACCAGTCGCAAAACATCTGCTTCTCGCCCAAAGTCAATAAAGGATGTCGCGCGGCAGAAGGCTACCGAGACACATGACAACAACATAGACCCTTTCCTCTTTTTCACACAGGAACCCAAAGGCGAGACCGACTTTACAAAAGTTCATGAGCACCGGGTCGAGTGGGGACGTGACATTCAGATCGGAATGCGCGTCGGTATCGGCAAGCCAAAAACTTCAGGACACAACGACACTTCCCACAGTAACAGTCGTAACGACAGTCCCGCCTTGTCATCCAAATCCAGTGCCAAGGATCTTCGAGCGCGCTCTCACCGTGAGCAGCATCTTGAAGATATCACTACAGCGTGGGGTCGTCTGATGAACTCGGAGCTCAAGCTCACCATCAAGCAAGAGATGCCCGCCAACACAAAGTCGACCACACACCCTTCCGTGCTTGGTCACGTCTTGATCGATCTCTCCGAGTTTGCTCCCGAACCGCCAAGCTCAAGCTCCGGCAGCCGCCATCATCACCATCACCACCACCACCACCATCATCATCATCGTCACCATCACCATGGTCCAGGGGGCGAGCACTCGTATCGCGAACGCACTCAGCGAACAGAGACTAGGAAGTTCTTGCTGAACGACAGCAAGACCAATGCTACCGTCAAACTCACCATCCAAATGACCTTCCTTGGTGGCGCGCGAGAATACTATGTTCCACCGATTACAAACGGTCTCATGGTCAATGGTCTCGGCTCCATCATGGCGTCTAATTTGCTCGAAGCTGTTTCGCGGGACAGCGCTTCAGGTACGGCTGGGAACGGCTCTGGCTCCTTGGATAGTGGAGGCACCTCTGACGAGAGCAGTCTACGTAACGAGCCCGTTCGCGCTACTGCTCACATCCGCAATCGAGAGCTCATAGGTCAAGGTCTGCCCAGTGCTAGCAGTCTATCGTTGGGACACATGTCTTTCTATTCACAGCACAACATGTATGGACCACCACTCAAGTCCATCTACACCAAGCAGAAGTGGAATAACAAAGTCCCGACTGAGAATCTTGTCGCTGGCACTCCTGGCTCGGAAGGTGCCAAGAAGAAGCCGCTTCGCACCTCAGATACTTCCTTTTTCTCAAGTCGCAACCCGGCGGATCAAAGACCTGATGATCTCATGGAAGCTCTCTTCAAAGGCATCGCTGTGGGCGGCCGTCAGAATGGCCAGGTCCAGGATAATACTGTAGCTTCAAAGCCGGCCGCAGCTCCTGCGCAGAACTCCGAACATCTGGTAACTGCGGTCGACTCACAGTCGTTACAACTTGAGCACAAGGCAAGCCACTCGCCTGAAAGGACGCGAGAACGTCCACGCACCGTGAGCACTACGTCCAACGTCTCGAAGAAGTCGGATCGTTCCTTCTCTTTCGCCTTTCACAAATCTAAGGACAAGGATAAGGACAAGTTCGCAGACAAGGACAATGAACTCCGCAAGCAGCGTCTGGCACAGGGCAAGGAGAAGGCAAAAGGGAAGAAAAGCAGCTTCATGGCTCGCAGCAAGAGCGCGTCCAGCCTCGATGTGGTCAGTCTGCCTGGCGACAAGGCCAGGAGTACTCATCTCAGCGTTCCCGCTTCGGATGGCGGCAGACTGACGCCCGGGCTTCTAGTAGAGTCACCTTCTGCATCGACAGAGGCTCATTCTCGTCCAAGCAACGAAACCACATCCACTGGCGCTTCGCCCACTGCCACACGTGCGTCAACCAAGCGTCTTTCGTCTGTCAGATGGAACCTCGGTGATGAAGTTTCGTCAGCAGTCCCAACGCCACCGACACCGTCACAGGAGATTACGCCAGTTGGTGAGACGATGGACAAGGAAGCACTCGATCGCGCAGCAATGCCGCCACCACCCTCTGTTGTCGTAGACCACGCCTATATCCCAATCCGTGCAGGCGGCATCACTGCTGCTTCTTCATCTGCTCTCAACTTGACCGGTTCACAGACATCCCTGCCCGATGCGACTGCAGCAGCCGCAATTGGCGACGATAGCGCCCCCGAAGACGGCAGCAACCCTCTTCTCACTCCTCGCGCAGAGCCCCTATCCTTGCAGCCTCCCGTTTCAGCGTCAACAGGTTCCAAAAGGGACGCCGATGCGGCAAGCATCCGCACTTTCTCTTCGGTCACGAGTGCGCCAGGCGACGAGAAGAGAAAGATTTCCTCGAATGACCTGAAAAGTCTCTACCAAGCTGGCTTGTCGATTCCTCAGAGCTTATCAACCAACACATCCGTCGGCCTTGATCGTCTGAAGAAGACCAGCCGCGCCATCGGTCAATTCGCCAAGGATGCCAAAGAAGCCGCAAAGGCGAGCCGTCCATTCTCGCGACCCAATTCGAGCGCCGATGTAGCCATGTCTTTCCGCGACAGTCAAGGTGTCTCTGGCCGGGAACGTCGCTCGAAGGGCAATCGCGGGATTGAGCCATCCGAGGCTGCTTCCAAGGGTTGGTCTGGTGCAGGATGGCTTCGACCCATCTCAACGGCACCTGCGCCGCTGCCGCCATCTTCTCCCGACCTGTCATCGTCCGAACAGGATGATTTCGAAGAGGTAGATGGTCTCGACTCGAGCGGTGTAGATCGATTCGGATCGCTTGCTTCGCGGAATTCGGACGGTCGACGCTCGTCCGCCACTGATCAGACCGCTTTTTCGGATCTGCTGAACACGCCAAACACGGCTGCGACGAAGAGTTTCCGTTCCGACCGTCCCCAACACAATCGCAGTGACTCGTTTGCGTCGGTGTATCATGATGTTCAGGATGATGACAATGTCTGGCTTGAGAAAGCTGTCAGGTTCGATGCAAAGGCTGTCAACACTACCACCATTCCGATGCAAGGCCAGGCCTTCCGATTTCACTAACTCCGCTTACCACCACATTCCACTAGTATCCTCTCCGCTTTCACAGTTCAACTTATCTCAGCAACTACCGCTCTCTGTATTTGTACCGTATCTATCGCTATCCCACAATATGTATCGCACCTGGTTCACTGGAAAGATCAGAGCCTGAGATAGGAGCCTTGTGTGTTTCAAGCTGTCTGCCATGGACTAAACATAGTCTAGGCTGTGAATATTGACTATCTGTGTTAGACCGACGTCTTGTTTAAATAAAATTGGAATTTTTTGGTGGTGGAGGTCTGACCGCTTCAAAAGGTCGCGAAGGTGGAATGTGTGATCGACCGACCGCGCGTCTCAGCAAAAGAACAGTGATGGGTGTTGCACTCAACACCGTCCACTGTCCCAACCATCATCGAGCAACCGATAATCTTCTAGCCATCTTCACCCCTTTATCGAAACCTTCTCAGGTATACCATCACTCATCCTCCGAATCCACTCTCGCCTCGCCGCAACTCCCTTCACATCTCCCGAAATCGAACCCATCATGCCTGAGCCTGTCAAGGCCTCCAAGGAGGAGGAGGTACCTGTCACCAAGGCAGCTGAAGCTATCCCTGTCAAGCCACCAAGCGAGAGGGAACAGCTTCTTGCACTTCTCCGACACAACTTCATGCTGATCGAGCGCAGTGTCTCGCACATTGAACAGCGTTTCACTGCTCGTGTTCTACGAACACTCCCTTACGTCAGGAGAAAGGTCAACACCTACCCCGAAGTGCTGGCCCTTGCCGTGCAGGAGGGCATCCTTGCAAATGGTCAGGATGAAGCCACTCAGAAGCATCTCTTGACCTTGTTGCCACAGCCTTACAAGCCCGAGCCTTCCTCCGCTAAGAACGCTAGCACAACCGCCGCTGCTTCTTCGGATGCCATGGACGAAGACAGCGCCGAGCCCAAGGCTGAAGGCGAGAAGGATTCCAAGACTGCCGCTGCCACCACTCCTGCCGCCGCAGCGCCCACATCGAAGCTCGCTCAGAGGCAGCCTGAAGCTCAGCCAGAGCTTGTCGCTTACTTGCGCCTTCTCACGCTTGTCCACCTCATCGACAACAAGAAGCTCGACGCTGCTTCTGACGAGGCTGTTGCTTCCATCTCCACCATCACCACTCACAACCGAAGGACACTCGACCACCTTGCTGCCAAGACCATCTTCTACTTAGGCAGGGCTGAGGAGCTCAAAGCAGAGCAAGCCAAAGCCAAGGGTGCCCGTGTCGAGGGCGGTCTCACTGCGATTCGCAGTCAATTGCTTGGCCTTCAGCGCACAGCATCCCTCCGACATGACACCGAGACGGAAGCGACTATCATCAACTTGCTGTTGCGATCGTACATCGTTGAAGCCAACTTGTATGATCAGGCTGACAAACTTGTTGCTCGTGCTCCTTTCCCGCGATCCAGCGCCAGCAACCCTCAAGTGGCCAGGTACGACTACTATGTCGGACGTATCCGTGCTGTTCAGCTCGACTACACTCAGGCACACGTGCATCTTCAGCAGGCTATTCGACGTGCACCACAAGCCTCGCTGCCGCAGGAGACCGGAGCTGGAAGTGACGGTGCAGCAGCTAGCACCACTGCCGCCACTGGTGCAACTGCTACTTCTGCTTTCAAGGCCGAAAGCAAGGAGGCTGCTGCCAAGAAAGAGTCCAACCCTGTCGGACAGTCGCAGACCGCAGCTGGCTTCTTGCAAACTGCGTACAAATTCCTCGTTGTCGTCGAGTTGTTGATGGGTGAGATCCCCGAGCGATCTATCTTTCGCACCCCTGTCCTGCGCAAAGCCCTCGCACCATACATGGAGATCGTCCAAGCCGTCCGTGTTGGTGACCTGCAACGATTCCAATCTACCCTGCAAAAGCACACGTCCCTCTTTCAAACCGACAAGACCTTCTCCCTCATCGTCCGACTTAGACACAACGTCATCAAGACGGGTATTCGCATGATCTCACTCTCCTACTCGCGCATTTCTCTTGCCGACATCACGCACAAGCTCCACCTCGAATCGGAAGAAGACGCGGAATACATTGTCGCCAAAGCCATCCGTGACAACGTGGTCGACTCAAGAGACACAAGGGTAGACCACGAAAAGGCAGAGGTGGTCAACCGAGAGACGAAGGATCTGTACGAAACGGACGAGCCGATGCAACAGTTCCAACAGAGGATTCATTTCTGTTTGCAATTGCACAATGAGAGTGTCAAAGCCATGAGGTATCCTTTGAACGGTCACAAGGCGGAGCTGAATAGTGTAGCGGAGGCTCATGAGAGGGAGAGAGAGTTGGCCGCCGAGATTGCTGATGGTGATATGGATGACGATGATGACGATTGGGCTTAGAGCGTCCTCTTTCTCTCATTATCGCACACAGTAATCGTAGATCAATGCACAGCACCGAACGGCTTTGGAATGTGTTAGAAGCCTGAGATTGAGTTGCGGTGTGAGCTTCATTGCTGATGAAAGGCTGGTGGCGGCTGACGCTCGTGAATTTGTTGCATCTCGTCCTCTTCCTGTGCGTATTCGCCTTGCTGTTCGCTGCCTTGTCCATGAGTCTGTTCCTGACCATGTTCCTGGGCCATCGCCGCAGCCTCCTCTTCTTGTTGCTGTTTGATATGCTGCTTCGCCGCTTTCCTGATCTTCCTCTCTGCAGCCCTAATAATCTGTTCCTCCTCCGACACTTGCTTCCTCTTGTACTTTCCTTTCCCTACTCTCCTTTGGGGCGCATCACCTGTCGCAGTCAGATTGCCCAAACTTGCCAACGGTACATCATCATCATCATCATCCTCCTCGTCTCCTGGTGCTTCGACATTGATCTGGCTCGGATTCTGTTTAATCAATGCACGAAGCGCGGTTAGATTCGCATCGTTCTCCTCTGCATTCTCCCTTTGTTTCGGGTCGTATATGGGTCTGAAGAGAATTCGTTTCCGCGTTGAGCTGGATTGCGTGTTTGCTCTTCTCTCGTTTATCGATGGTGGAATAGGTCTGAGCCGGTGCTGATTACCTCTAGGGCGAGTAGGGTCAAAGTCATCAGCCAAGACTATCTCTGTCCCGAACAAGTCCATTCTTCTGCCCCTCAAAACAGTGTCATCGATCTTCATCAGTGGTGTGGGAGTGTCGAGACCGGTAATGCTGAGCATCTTGCCTGCACCCATATGTGGGCCTGCACCTCTGCTCTGGGCGGAGGAAGTCTTTGTGGCACCGCCACGGGATGGAGCGGACCTTTTGTTCTGTTTATCAGCTTCAGCACCACGATAACCACGGATGGAACGTGCGCTGCCTGAAGCCACACTGCCACTCTCAGCTTGGTAGTCTAACCCAACAGAATGGCCAAGAAGTGCACGACGAGCAACACGCTCAGGCCCAAGATCGAGAGTTATGAGCTCTTCTGTGTCTTCAAAGGACCAATCTGATTCGTATTCTTCGTCGGACGGGGAGGAAGGATGGTGGGAGGTGGATGAGCTTGGATCGAAAGGTGTGCTGGATGATGGGCCGGGGCCGAATTGGTCTTCTGGCATCCGATGCCAGGAGGCATCGATGATGGATGCTACCATAGTAGCTGATAATGCGACTACTCTTGCGCCTGCAGAGCTCGAACAGCTCCTTCCTTCGGCCTCGTCGCGATGATGGTATCGACAAGGTCAACGACGAACATCACAACAGCTCATGATCCAAAAGCAATGCTTTCTTTTTGGCTTTTCTGAAAATCATGCCTTTTCTCAACATTTTCGAAGTGGTTTTCTTTGTGCGGTGTGCTTTCAGCGGGCTGAGTTCAAGATGTGATGTGGAGGAGCGGGAGGGCACAAATTAATTCACTGTTCTGAAGCATGCAGGGTGCTGGTGTGCTGGTGTGCTGGTGTGCTGGTGTGCGGGTGTGTGTGTTGGCCTGCCGGCTGCACCGACAGCTAGAATTGGGCAATATTTCACAGGCTTTCAACCCTAACCGGATCAGAGCCTTTGTGTTGCTTTATATCTGTGAGCACGCACCGCCTAGACTAACCCAAGAGACTTGAGATATCACAACATCACTAGCTCAGCCACCTTCCTTCTAGTCCGAACCATCGGAAGAGCCGCTCTCTAGATGTACTTCCTAGTATCGGAAACGCCGACAGCTGCCATTGCGCAAGATCAGCAGTAAGGCTCTTGCCGCAGACTTGTCCAAAAGCGGGCTTTTCGAGCTGGTCTGGGAGTAACGAGATCTATTGACGAGCAGCCCTGCTCACCTATAGTTGCAGCATACAAGTGCTCAATCGCATGATCGGAGCCTCAAGCATAGGCATAACCTTGCACCATGCCCTTCGCCTGGACTCAAGATCGCGCAGCAGCGCCACAGACCACATCGGCAGCGCCGTCAGGGCGGATCTCGGCCTCTCCGACACAGTCAAGAAGCCATCGTCGTGGACTTGCTCCCTCTGCATCGATCAGCTCCGTCAGCACCAGCAGGCGAAGCGCTTCAGGCTCGCAGCTACCACCGCCACCTCCTCCCTCTTCTTTGTCTCTTCCAAAGGCTTCCACTTCTGCAGCCCTTACCAATGCAGATGAGAGTGGCGACTTCCGACGCTTTCTGGACGAAGCTCAGGCCAAAGATCAACGACAAAGGCTGCCACAGGCCAATGCGGAAGCTGCGACTCTAACTCCTGATTCGCATCGCCCTCGACGACCAGCCGCGGGTGCCGATGCTGCCGAATCACTCCGTCGCGTTGCGAGCTCCTCAACGCTCAGCAGTATGCACAGTCGGCGTGCAGCTACTATCGCCGGCACGAGGGCCGACCAGAGTGCTACCCCAGCTGGCAGAGCACGCAAGAACTCGACCATCTCGACTGCATCAAAAGCGCAAAGGTCCCTTTCGAATTACTCGGTCACTTTCCGCAATCCTACCTGCCAGTTCCTCGAACAGCTCTCAGTCGAAGCACAGACGCCCGAGCTCGGCATCGATGCTACTCCCATCATAGGCCGCACTGTCGACAACAAGAGTCATCTTACTGCACTCGGTCATGCGGCACAGCTGCAGAGCAGGAGCACCTCTGGTAATCAGTCTTCACCCAGCTCGACAAATGAGGGCAAAGCACCAGCAGCTTCTCATCCCACACCCGTCCGATCGTCTACTATCGCGGTGGAGACACCAACTGCTACTTGCTCTAGGCTGAGCACATCAAGATCTCCTACTCCTGCTCAGCCGACTCCTGCTGCTCCAGTGCTCTCGCCTACCGCTCGCAGCCAGCCTCTGTCTTCAAGACACAGACCGCAGAGCTACATCCACAAGCCTCCCACGGAGCCATCCGGCGTTTTGTCTCGGCGCAAGCTAGGTGCCACCGGGCTTGGCAATGGTCTCCCCACTTCTCCAAGTGCCTCTTGGACACAATCGAAACGTAGTGCGGCTGAGATGGAGCGCAGTTCATCCTTGCAGGTTGGCGCCAAGCTTCAAGAAGCGACGCGAGGGTCGGAGGCTGTGCCATTGCAGCAGAGTCCCAGTCAGCCTGCTTCGAGGAGAAAGTCTTGGTTCGGGCTCGGCTGGGCTGGCGAGGCGACGGATGCAGCCGCAGAGAAGGAGCAAAAGGTCGACACTGGAGCTGATGTGAAGGACGAGCCGATGGAGGATCAGCCGCCGCCGTCGATGAGTGAAGAAGAAGCTGCCTTTCGGAGATCGTTGGGTTATGATGACGCCTATGATCCCAGTGCTAGTGTTACCACTCTCAAGGCGGCTGCGCGTACTGCCAATCCGCGGCGCTTTCCTGCTGGTCGTGATTTGGACGCTACACCCAAGGTCCAGCCGAGTCATGCGCAGATTCCGCATAGGGAGAGAAGGGTGTCATGGCTGCCTTGGCGCAATATAGCGCCGCCAGCTGCGGATGAGGTTGATAATCCAGCAAACAATCTAGCGGAAGCTCCTGCTCAACCATTACCTGCGAAAGCGGACGATGTTGTCCCACACGAAAGTCCTGAAACTCAGCTAGCCAACGCAGCCCCGTCATCTGCTGCTGAAGAGCTACCGCCCACAGTGGCGAGCGCTGATGGCGAGGACACTGTCACCTACAGGACCGTAGTCAAGCGTGGCTGGATGGGCGCACGTTACAAAGTGCAAGAGCCAATACAGAGCTTGAAAGATATTTTCGAACCTCCACAGGCAGAATCTTGGCGAGCTCAAGAGGCTGACGGTGCTGCCAGCGCGAATGACAAAGCTGCCGAGCAAAGCGTTCAGAATCAGTCTAACGGGGCCAATACCTCCTACCCTCCCGCATCGAACTCTGGCGAAGATGCTAGACAGAACAGCGGCACATGGAGATGGCCATTCTGGTCAGGGCACGAAGGTCAGCCTGAGCCAAGTCGCGACTCAGCCGCACAGCAGCTCGAGGTGCCAGCGGTTCCGACAGACAGCTCCGCTCAGCCCGCAACCAATGTCGATGCAGCTGAGCCTATGGACATAGACCAGAACGGACCCCCTGCCGATGCGCCAATGGCTCCAGAGGGCGGTTCGTGGACTTACTCGTCCTACGTCGCTAGCTGGGTGCCTACCTGGGTGTACAATGCTCAACAGCAAGCCGCTGCGTCCAACAACGAAGGAGGTCAGAATCAGGTTGAGGCTACAGCGTCGGCCTCTGCTACTGAAATGCCGCTCCCGCGCACACCTGCCGAACAGGTCAAAGCAGATGCTCTAGCGTGTAACTCTGCAGCGTCCGCTGCTGCTACCGTCTTTGACGCTAATAAGGCCGTGCTCAACAACTCTACCAAGAGTGGCTGGATCAAGTTCTTTGGCTCTCGCAGTGCCAATCTTCCTGAGAAGATGGCAGAGGCTATCACAGCTGATGACGGCCTGGAAGTGATGGACATCAGTGAGATGGAGGGCTCTGCCAGGCCAGCGGCTACGGCTCGCACTATTGCATCGAACAATGGACGTCTGACTCCGGATGTGGTCAGAGCGACTCGTGCACGAACGACAACCGGCGGCAATCTGGCGGGATCTAAGGCGTCTTCACTTGCAGGAGATGGCGAAAGGGCTCGTACAAATACGCCGCTTTCGACTAGCAAGGACAGCATCAAGAATCTTAGCAAAACTACGATCACCAAAGCGGCGAATGTCACTGCTGCTTCGACGCTGGGACTTGGCAAAGGGAAGCGCACCAATGCTCATAATGGTGGCGGAACGGGTACCAATGGCGGTGATGGCGGTAGCAACTCTCAGCAGCCGGCTAAAGACATTAGTAAAGGCTTGGCACCCGGTGGCTCAGGGCCGTCGAGATCCGGTGCGTCGACACCAATGAAGTCAGCTGCAGACCCTGTAGCTTCAGCACCGCCCAACCTGGTGCTGCCATCCTTTGAAGACACTTTCACAAGAGCGCCAAGAATGTGGCCACCCAAAGTGAGTGTACTGGAGCGGACGCTCAGTGCTGTCAACAGCTACTTTTTCAGCAAGGTGCCGGATCTGGAGCGCATGAAACGGCCAACTCGCTACTCGACATATGGAGAGTCGAGTCTTGGTTCCGGAACATCGCTCGCTACGGCGGCAACGATCAAGCCGACGCAGCGACTTGCAGGGAAAGCCAAGGCCACTGGTGCAGGATCGAGTAAAGACAAGGGTGTCGAGACTGCATTGAAAGAAGTTGCAGAGTCTGCTCAGAGACTGCCACGCGCCTGGTCCACGGTCGGCATGCATGACAGAGCGCAGACGAAAGGTACTGCGGGGATTGGCAAGATCGTTGTCATCGGTGTGCACGGATGGTTCACCCAGAGTATCTTCAAGAACATGATCGGTGAGCCAACCGGCACATCTGCCAAGTTCGCGGCTATGCAAACGGAGTCTATCCGGCGGCACTTTTTGGAGGCTGGTCTCGAGTTGAATCCGGAGGCAATCACTGCAATCTCGCTGCAGGGCGATGGCAAGGTGGCTGATCGCGTGGATCGGCTCTTTGCGGAGCTGATCAGTAGGCCGAACTGGGTGAGCGATATGAAGAACTGCGATGCACTGTTCCTCTCGGCTCACTCGCAAGGAGCGATCGTGGCGACGCAATTGTTGGCCCGCTTGATCGAGCAGCGACATGTTCATGCCGAACACACTCGCATCTGTCTCCTCGCCATGGCAGGTATCCATCACGGCCCTTTCGCTCATCTGAGGTCAAGCATCACAGCGAGCTACATCAGCTACTTCGAGACCGCCGCTGCCAAGGAGCTATTCGAGTTCCAATCTTCCACCACCGCCGTCGCTCAGCAATACACAGCAGCGCTCAAGATCATCCTCGATGCCGGAGCCAAGTGCGTCTACGTCGGATCAACTGATGATAATGTCGTACCCATCTACTCGGCGCTGAACTCGAGCAGCAACCACCCGTCGATCCTTCGTGCGCTGTACATTGACGGACAGGCGTTCCCAAAGGTTGACTTCTTGACGAATTTGTTGGTGCTCTGCGTGGCGATTAGGAATGCTGGCCTGAGCGATCATGGGTTGTTGACGTTGCTTTCGGCCAGTGTGGCGGGAAGTCTCTATGGTGGGAGGGGACATTCGTTAGTGTATGAGGAGAAAGCGGTGTATGATCTGGCAACAAGATATTTGTTTGAGGTCACGCATCCGCTTTCGGATCCCACCTTGGTGCCTGGACCACCAGGAGCTACTTCTAGCAGCTTACACACGACGCAACACGCTTCTTACTCTTCTTCCCCTGCTAGCGCCCGCAAGGTCTCCGGCTCAGAATCCGCCCCAAAAAAGACAGTAATGCTGGTATCAGAAGCATTCGAAGCTCAACGTTGGAATCCTTACGAATTGCCATGGGCCCTTAGAGGGCTGTTCGAGGACAAACATGTCAGGAGTTTGTTTGCGGAGGATATGTTGAATCTGTTGAAGAGCTATGAACAGTGGAGGCCAGACCCGAAGAGTAAAGCTCTGAAAGACTTGCAGTGGAGATTGGCGCCAATGAGGAGTATTGCGCCTCCTCCGATCGATGAGGGGTTTGATGGGGAGGATGAAGCGGGTGGAAAGGAGAAGGACAAGGCGAAAGATGATGGGGGGAGTGGGAAGAGTTCTAAGCTTTGATACGACGCTAAGACTTTGTAGAGACGGCTTAATGTCATAGGTACAGCATGCAAATCGGTTCCATGTGTGATGCTGTGAGAAGTGTGTGGTTTTGACATGGTGTGAGTAGCGAGCTGGGCTGGCGCGTCAACGCGTAAATTGCAGCAGCCGCGTCATTGCAGCCAAAAAAAAAAAAAAAAAAAAAAAAGAAAAAAAACAAGTTTTTGTTGAAGATTACGATCCAGTGACGACGCTAAGAGGTGACGCAAAGACGACGAGATCGGAGATTGGGGATAACCGATCCTGTTAAGGATCGGGTACAACCAAGTCCTGCTTGTTGTCATGGTAGATCATTAAGTAGGAGTACTCCCACCTTTGGCATGTGCTGCTCACATGTATATACAGCTCACATGTAAACTGTCCCATGAATTTACATGTCACCATACATCACTCTAATGCTCAATAGCCATAAGTTGTATTGCCACACTGTCTGATATCATCTGAAAGCCCTGCTTCTTCTCTCCAAGACTGTGTAATTGATATTGACATTGACTGAGAAAATTGTGCTATGAAGAAGAGCCAAGAATTTTTTTTATTGTGGGACAGTTTATGGAGCATGCTCCCAAATAGCAACACTGCTCCATTCCTGACCTTGTGGGCTTTTGACTACAATGAAACTTGCAATGTAACTTGGCAAGCACCTTCATACACATCAAAAGTAGTGATGTGGAAAGTTTCAGCTCAATCAGATGACTGTGAGCAATCTGGCAGCACTTCCAGTCTGACACCATCATATCTATACCATCATGCTGAAAACCACCCCAGAGAAGCACCAATCAGCAATCTTTCACCTCCAAAATGGGGAATCTACCCATTCAGTTGCTGAGCAACTTGGTATGAGCAAGTCTACTGTGAATTGCATCAGCAAAAGTGCCTCCACTGATGTTCCAAAGTCAAAGGGGGGCTGGCCAAGAAAACTCCAGCCTCATCATGTTCACTTCCTGGACCACTATTTTGAGCTCAATTCAACCTCCATGGTCAGGAAAGCATGTCATGCACTGCAGGAGACATTTCAAGTCAAAGCATGCCCAACCACAGTAAGAAAAGCGTCAGGGGTCTCGCGCCTGAAACCCAGGTTGGTCTGTCGAGATACTCGGTGACTATCAAACTGTGTGACAGCTATTGTCTCAGTATCAGTCTCGACGTGCTAGTTGCTCAGCGACTATCAAGTTGCACAATGACAGCAGGTGGCATTCGTGGTATATACTATCATAGGTTTTGGCTGACCTCTGTGGACACTCCATTCAGGGGTAGCTCAGCATGATCAATATCAATATGTAGGTTATGATGACACCGAGGTCTGGTGTGAGTGTTGATGATGATGAGGTTGATGGTGTCAGTGATAAGGTTGGTGAGTGTTGATGATAATGAGGTTGATGGTGTTGATGATAAGGTTGGTGGCATCAACACAAGTGTCCAGTGTGTTGACTGATGCTTGAGGTGATCCCCAGACTGCAGTGGACTACTGCCTTCAGTTCTATCTATATCTGGACCACTGACCTGCTATGGGTCGCCTTTGGACATCAGGTAGTGGTGATACAACACATGCACTACGATGAGGAGCAACCTTGATAGATTGCTACTATGCTGACTGAAACTAATATATACTTATGCTGAAGTGATAACTAGTTATGATGGGTGTAGAGTGGATGAGGATCCACTCGACCTTTGATGATGAGAAAGCATGGTTATATACCTCTTCACAGCATCACCAGCAACACTGCTCCTGCTCTCTCTCCAGAGAGTACCTTCTTCATCGAGTACTGTACAGGGGGCCTCTCCTGCTTGCTTGGCACCCCTGTGCCTCTTGAGCTGTGTCGACTCCTTCGACACTGCTCCTCCTCCTCAGGACCTGGTGTCGACTCCTTCAACACTGCTCCTCCTCCTCAGGGCCTGCTTGCCAGTTCCCTATACACTGCTCCTTCTCCTTTGACTGGTGATGGTTCCTTTGACTCTAGTCTCTTGAACCCCTGAGTGGTAACCATCTGCATGCTCCTTGAGCTTGGTCCTCTTCATGGCTGTGCCTGCTCCTTGAGCTTGGTTCTCCTTGTGGCTGTGCCTGGCCCTCCTCGCATATGGCTCAGTGCTCCTTTGCCTGTGAGTCCATAGGAGTCCATGGTCTCCATGGAGACTGCACTATGACCATGCTCTCTACTGGTATCAACTAGATCTCTGATACCTGTGCTCCTTCCATATGAACCAGTGACCCTCCTGCTTCCTGAGCATTCAGGCCCATGACAAAAAGCGCTTCATTACTGTCATTACAAAGCATGGAGGTTAGTGAAAAAAAACCAAAGCTACTCAAGAGACATTACAAAGCCTGTTGCAAATTTGCTAATGAGCACAAGGACATGACTGTTGAGGATTGGAAGAATGTGGTATGGTCTGATGAGACAAAGATCAACTTCTTTGGACCAGATGGTAAGCAGTTCTGTTGGATTAAGAATGCTGGCTTCAACAGCAAGCTTGTCAGGCCAATGGTCAAGTTTGGCAGTGGCTCCATCATGTTCTGGGGCTGTATGACATGGGAAGTGGTGGGAGGCATGCACTTGGTGCTGGGTACAATGAATTCAGACCAATACATTGATATCTTGAATGACAAGCTTGTGAAAACAATCTCAGATTTACAGCTTCAGCATGCATATGCTGACATCACATTTCAGCAAGACAATGACCCAAAACACATGTCAAAGAAGACAAAAATGTGGTTGGGAAGCAATAGCATTAAGGTTATGCAATGGCTGGCACAGTCACCAGACTTAAACCCAATTGAACACCTCTGGCACCATCTCAAAATGTGACTTTCATGGTATAGTACAATTGCAAAGTCCAGGGATGAACTGCTCAAGAGATGTGAAGCTGAATGGACAGTGATCACTCCAGAGACATGTAGGACCCTAATAGAGAGTATGCCAGTCTGCATCAAGGTGGTTCTGAAGGCCAAAGGAGGGAATACAAAGTACTAAGGTGTTGTTGAGGAGCACTCTGTCATGGGCCTGGATGCTCAAGAAGCAGGAGGGTCATGGGTTCATATGGAAGGAGCACAGGTATCGAAGACCTAGTCGACACCAGTAGAGAGCATGGTCGTAGTGCAGTCTCCATGGAGACCATGGACTCCTATGGACTCACATGCAAAGGAGGGCCAAGCACAGCCACGAGGAGGACCAAGCTCAAGGAGCAGGCACAGCCACGAGGAGGACCAAGCTCAAGGAGCAGGCACAGCCACGAAGAGGACCAAGCTCAAGGAGCATGCAGATGGTTACCACTCAGGGGCTCGAGAGACAAGAGCCAAAGGAACTGTCACTGATCAAAGGAGGAGGAGCAGTGTCGAAGGAGTCGACACAGCTCAAGAGGCACAGGGGTGCCAAGCAGGAGAGGCCCCTGAGCAGTACTCGATGAAGAAGGTACTCTCTGGAGAGAGAGCAGGAGCAGCATCGCTGGCGATGCTGAGAAGAGGTATATAACCATGCTTTCTCATCAATAGGTCAAGTGGATCCTCATCCACTCTACTCACCATACAACTAGTCAATACTTTAGAAACACAAGTACTCATTAGTTACAGTCAGCATAGCAGCAATCTATCAAGGTTGCTCCTCATCGTAGTGTGTGTGTTGTATCACCACTACCTGACGTCCGAAGGCGCCCATAGCAGGTTAGCGGTCCGGATATAGATAGAACCGAAGGCAGTAGTCCACTGCGGTCCGGGGATCACTTCAAAGCATCAAGTCAACACACTGGACACTCGTGTTGACGCCACCAACCTTATCACCAACACCATCAACCTCATTATCATTGACATCACCAATCTTATCATCAACACCATCAACCTCATTATCATCGACATCACCAATCTCATCACCAACACCATCAACCTCATCATCATCAACACCCACACCAGACCTTGGTGTCATCATAACATTGATATTGATCGTGCCGAGCTACCCCTGAACGGAGTGTCCACAGAGGTCAGCCGAAACCTACGATAGTATATACAACGAACGCCACCTGCTGTCACTGCACAACTTGATAGTCACCGATACCGAGACAATAGCTGTCACACAATTTAATAGTCACCGAGTATCTCGACAGACCGACCTGGGTTTCAGGCGCGAGACCCCTGACACACTCCATAAACTGTTCCACAATAAAAAAAATTCTCAGCTCTTCTTCATACACAATTTTCTCAGTCAATGTCAATATCAATTACACAGTCTTGGAGAGAAGAAGCAGGGCTTTCAGATGATATCAGACAGTGTGGCAATACAACTTATGGCTATTGAGCATTAGAGTGATGTATGGTGACATGTAAATTCATGGGACAGTTTATGTGTGAGCTGTATATCTCACAGAGAGCACTAGGCTCTTGCCATATTCCCTAAGTCAATTGAGTATATTTGTTCTGTCTATAAACTAGCAGTGACATTGTACTTAGACTCTCCCCAATCACCAGTATTGGGACCGAAACGACTCAAGTTTCTAACAGTTTTCGCTCGGTTAGACCACGTTGAAGATATGTCGGCTTTTCAACTGGCATTCATGAGGTTTACCCGAGACACCGATAGAGCGAAGCCGTGAATAAGCGATATGCAGGAGAAGTGTATGAAGGTTGCCATGGCAACCAATCAGGAGCACTGCAGGAGGCACTCGACTCATCTCGGTCCAACATGCTCAGAGATAGTCCAGCGTGCTCAGAGATAGTGCTATAGAATGACGAAGAAAGCGATCCGACAAGATAATGTACTCTGATTTAAACACAATCAGTGATCAGATGGGATGGATCAGTCTGGAGATTGGGTGCAATGTAGTCCCACTCATTGCCATACTATATCATGAAGGAGGATACTCCCACATTCATCACACATCCCACAATTGTATATATATCAAACTGAGGATGCTAGGTCCTCACAATGTTCTTTAGTCAATCAAGTATAATTGTTTCTGTCTATAACTAGCAGTGACAT